CTCTTCTATGTTGGGGTACCTCAAACTATTCCTGCGCTGCGTGTTGCATTGCATCTTTATTGCTACAGTCTATCTGCACTATTATGTAGACTATCACGTTCGGCAAGTTTCGTATATGTTGGTGTTACAACCGGTCGATGGCGGGGTTTACTGCGAATGGCCGCCCTGAATGATATCTACTAACCTAGGCTAAGTGGTTTGAAGATGCGGCTATCAATCATTGTATCGTCCAACTTGACGTTCATTATGTCTTGGTTACGGTTGCACTGATGAGCCACTTCCTATTCGCAAGTCCTCCAATCCTGTCTCGTCATATGTCCTCGACAACTTATAGCCACTTGCTCTTTGCTGCGCTTGGTAGGAAAACAGACTGAAAATAAAAGGATAGAGCTATTCACTTCAGACCATAGATACCTACCTAACCTATATTGTTACTTTGGATATTGGACTTAGGTCTAACTAACACCGAACTGCACTACAGCATCTCAAATCATTAACTTATTACCAAAAGTTATACCCCGCCTTGGGGAAAGACATGACGACATGAAAATGAAGCTGCTCGCTGCAGATTCATAAGTGTATCAAGCCTGCCTGAGACAGTGTCTTGCCAGGTGGCTCGGTAGCTCACCGCAATTAAGAGGCGGTGCTGTTTGGCGCAAAAGACGGACATGCTCGGCAATCTGAGGTTCGTCTGCTCGGAAGTCCTGCGCCCCCCAACGAAGATCACCACGGTCCTGAAACCGCATGCTATGTACAAATGCGCACTGATTCCGCCACTCGCATCTTTTTGTCGGAACCACCCGCCGAACCCGCCAGGTTTAACCTGGTTGGTCAAGTAAAAATGTAATCTGAGACATAACCTACTGCCTCTCTACCTGTCTCTCCCGCAGACTGAGGAGTGTAGGAGGAGGTACTTGGTGGAACGGTGACATCCGACGGAGACCCTCGGCTATCTTGACGACAGAAGAGCGGCAAATCATAGATCACGAACCGGAGGACAACGAGACGTCAGGATTCAGAATACGCCATGGCTGTTTAGTCATACATTGACCGAATCTCTAGATACCTAGCTAGCTAGAACCCCGTAATAGGTAACGCTAAACACACTTTGGATAGACCATTTTTAGCAAGGCGAGCAAAATGGAGACGAAAAAAGTTACCAAAACTGGGGAACTCGATGAATACACGAGATAAAGCACTAGACTAGTAATTGCATCTAATAAAATAAAGTTCAATAGTAGCGGATATTCGAGTAGCGCACCCAACGATTCTCATATGATGGGTCACACTTGGAGATGTCTCCATACGATCGCCATGAGACGCTTGGACGAGCTTTTTCCTAGATGGCGCCATAGGCCCATAGCTCTCCTCTGTAGATAGCGTAGCACCGCTATCTCGTTTTTACACACCGGAGGGCTAGCGTTTGAGAAGGCAACCACATCAGACAGCCTCGAGATTCTTGTTGGTAGTAATCCGCAGTTAGTAGGTAGGTCGTCGTCGTTGTAGTAGAGACGTATGTACGCTAGTTAAGCTGGTAAGATGAACCAGGTTATTATTATGTACGACTTTTCTAGAACAGGTTGTCTTGGCCGCGCGACCCAATTACACAGGGCGCGCAAGGGAGACAAGACACGATACTAAATATCGACTGTGGTCAGATTGAGGCAGAGAAGTCCAAGGCTATTGTACACTACACAACAACTACGGGTTACATAGTACGTGACAGCTGCAATCACACATCACACACGCCTAATTACATACCTAAGTATACTTCCCCGACCCCTGCCCACCGTCGCAGTTAACAACCTCCTTTTTGCGGAAACGGACCCCGTCTAAGCCTCGCGATTTCACGAGGGGGCTAGCTTACAGAGTACGTAGGAGCGGGGGGGGGGGGGGGTGTTCGCCTCGGCCGGCCCGATTAAAAGAAAAAAAAAAAGCTACGCTAGGGGTTGGGAAGGGGTCGCAACGAGGCCCGACATAGCACAAAGCGTTCAACTCACTAGACCAAATTAACTACTAACACAGCAGCACAGGCACAGATAAAACAGATAAAATAGACACGTTATTCTTATTATACCTACTGCCTTATCGATTTCGACATCGATCTGGTATCTAGCCTTCTCCGACGTTGTTTTGAAACAAAACGAAGAAAAGAAAAAATAGATAAAAAAAAAAGACGTCGGGCAGCAACCGGCCAAACGGCGATAACAAACCTTGAGGGTTTTTTTTTTCTTTCTTGTTTTGTTAAACCATTGACGATAACGTTGACGATCTCACCAAAATCGCTGCTAGCCTGCTGCTACCACTACTACTTCCCATATAACTAAACCCCATTACCGCGGCAGCAAATAAATATTTTCTTAGCAGCAACATGTGACCTCAAATAATTGAATACAGTAGTTAAGTTAACCCGTAGACTGACAGACAGACTGACAGACTGAGAGAGCAATATTAATTAGCACCCCCCTGCACAGCATCACATGACACGACAGCACTATTGGCTTTTTTCCCCATACCATAGTAGTAAATAATACATAAATAAAGCCTTTTAGCGAATGCCGATCTACGACAATCTGCTAGGTACTTTGCTTGCTACCTTGTAGGTAGAACCCCAAGCCGTGCTTCTAGCTTTCTACTCATCCCGGCCGCACTGCGATGCTGGATTACCGACGGACGTGAGAAGAGGTAGGTAGGTAGATAGGTAAGGTAAGGTAAGTATGCAATCATAAATCGATCACCGCTGCAACGTTGAGGTAATTAGGTAATGAAGAGCGAGTTGCCCTTACATGGCAGGATGGGAGGACGAGTGGATAGATGGATGGGAAGAGAACAGCAAACTTCGAGAAGAGCTCGGAGGGGGGCAAAATGCGATTGAGTTGCGCGTCCTACTTTCGCCGCATAGGCGTAGCAATCAATTACCAAGAGTAGGGATTGTATTATAATAGTATAACAGGTAAGGCCAGGTAGCGATGCGGTATAGCACATACATACCTTGGGTACCTAAGGTAAACCAGGTAATACTCCAGCAGTCAAGGTATGCGGTTTGTTGGTGATTCGCTTACCATCTTGAGGCTTAAGTAACGCGGCGAGCCCTATTTCTAGACAAGTGCAAAGGAAATTACTTGGAGAACCTGTTTGCTGAGGTCGTGTTATTAAACCTTCCTAGGCACAATACTTGCCTATATCTTGCTCAGTTATAGAGAATCTAGCCAACTGGTAATGAAGACGGAAAATCTTGCACTAGTACGTATACCCTTTATAAGAGGTAGGTAGGTTAGGAGGTACATAGTTGCCATCACTAGCTTCAACCCCAGAGTCTGCAATCTCTTAACCCTTGCTTAATCCCGGGGAAATAATCGAAAGAAAGGCGATACGATGCGATGCGATGCTGGTACTCTATTACCAGGTACGCGGTTGTTGTTGGTTGAAGTTCGAGGAAGTCGACGCAGCACCACCCCTTTGGACAGCTCCTCAATTATACACTATGTAGGTACCCAGCAACCCATACAATAACTATCATGTCTAAAACAAATAGTTCTCCTCACATCTCCCATATTAGAGTAAGTATCCAGGCTTTTGAATAGGTATACCATGTACCCTTTTGAAAGTGTTCAAATGAGATTGAACCGAACCCTCTCTATATGTAAGTCTCAGTCCGATAAGGGGCTCATAGCCAGCCTCCTTTTAAACCCCTTTTCGCAACTAAGAAGTGAGTGAGTGGGATTCTAACACATTTCATCGTTGAAACAAGTTTGGCTCAATATTATGTGAATTAGTTGAATCGACTGGGTCTCGCTAGGTTGTCACGAAGTATTTTATCTTGAAGACTTCTTAATTGCCATTGATTCCAATATAACATGTTGCCGTAGGATTAGTAGCGAATGTTTCGATACCTAGTGCATCTCTATGGATGTGTTATTGCAGCTGATGTCAACATTACCGATGGTTTTCATTTTCATATGTTTCTGACGTTTTTTCTTTTCTCGACGTAAAGGAGCTGATACTTTTTAGTAGTATGTATAAATGAGATGTAAATCGTCTTAATATATCAGGGCGTGTCTTAGACGACGGGCTTGGCTCAAACTTATTGGTGCCCCTTTTCCTTTCAGCTTGGCTAGAATGTGCATTACCTTCGCAGTCCGCATTAGTACATGTAGGATTTACACATCTGCTCATTTAAAGCTGGTGTTAGATAGATAATTGGCTATCAAAATCGGAGAGGTTACCAAACTCCGGAGAACCGGCTTACCGATGCTCACCTGCAGTTTAAAATTACACGTATCCTTTGGACACCGTCCTGACATTAAGTACCTAGGTAAATAAATAAATAAACATATTCTACTATTGAAGACCGGAAGTTTAATTGTAATTTTCATTATATATATATATATATATATATAAGATATATATTTGAGTGTGTGATGCAGTGAAATTATTCCGAAAAGTAACAACAATCGCGTGATGAACTGCCCGAACCGATAGCGAGTTGGTAGGAACTACGATCAGCTGGAACGACAGCACAACTTGCACTATAAATAGCATACCTATATTTGCCGAATTATCAGGCGGCAGGGCGGTAGACCGTACCTAAGGTTAGGAAACATCCAACCAGCCCCGTTTGAGCTAATGCGGGTTAGGACTCCACTCGGAACCCCGAGTAACTCATTAAGGTTTTTTTTTTGTTTCCTTTCAAACAGCGGAACTCTAGATTTTCATAATTCCAGAACTTCACCTATTAACCCATTACTTATCCATACCATTACCATTCCGCAATTTCACCTTATCTTTCGTTAATACTTACCAATTAACTACCTTGAATTAGGTAACCCTTTTATAATTCCTTGCTTCTTAATAATCCTTACTCTTGACATTTTACCATGTACACATCCTAGCTCTCTCTCTCCCTATCTCCCCCTCCCCCTCTCTCTGTGTGTGTCCTCATAACTACCGCCAATCTGGAAATTAATGAGTTAATCGACCAGATCGGACAGTCTCTGACTATGTCCAAGCCGTATGGCGTCGAAAAGGATACTTCGCTACCTCTCGGCCAAATTCGAGATCGAACTTCATCTTCAATCATCTCCTCCGTATTAAGCATCGTCAATGATCATATCGTCAACAAGGAGAATTGGATCAAGTCTATCGAATGCCTCTATGTGGCCAAGGATAACGAGGAGCCTAGCGGCAAACGCCGGCGTGTAGAATACGGACGTGTAGCCTCCGACTCCTCGGCGCTTCTGAGGAGAAGATATCTTGATCTCGTGTCGGAGATAGAGGGGGGACGCTACGTTGATGATATACCCTATGTCGCTGTTTCGTACACGTGGCAGGCGTCAAAGGAGGAGGAGGCAGAGGCAGAGGCAGGAAGAGGAACGGCACGATGCTTTCTCGTCGAGTCTCGTAACGCCGGCGAGCCTGCCCTGCCTAGCAAGGTGAGGCCCATGATCTGGGAACGAGTACTTCGCTATGCCGAATATGTTGGCTGCAGAAATATCTGGATCGATAACGAGTGCATCGACCAGGGGAACGAGGCGGAGAAAGAAGCAGCAATCCAAAGCATGCACCTAGTGTATAGTCTAAGCGAGTGGCCCATTGCCCTCCTCACGCGTAGGATCAATACCGCAGAAGAGCTCGAGCTCATCATCAATCTAATGTGTGACGAAGTCGCCCCCGAAGATGAACCAGCCATGTTAGATCTTCTGAGTGATATTACCTCTGATCTCTGGTGGACGAGAGCCTGGACATTTCAGGAAGACTATAGAGCTTCTACCCGCATGATGTTACTCATTCCACACAGCCGGAACTTAGAAGGATGTAAGCGAGCTACGGTGCCAGGTCTCCGCGGCATCATGGTAGCCGAGGTCGAAGGAGAGATTGGCATACAATCAGCAGCCTTCAGGGAACGGGCTACAAAGTTCTGCCTTTCCTATCGGGAAGTATCAGATAATCCGGACCTTTGTAACAAGATCATTAAGAGAGCTACAAAATACAATGTTCTTCTCAAGGACAAGTCCTCGACGTACTCAGCATCGCGTTCTATGTCTCCAATCATCCTTTCGGACATACTTTCGCGCGGCATCAAGAACGAATCTGACCGCCTTGCTATCATGGCTAACTGCTGCGAGTATGGTACTCGCATTGACACCAACTCTCTCAATAGCGACGGTAGTAGCCTTAGCTTGTCGATCCTTGCCCAGTATCTTCTCAATGGCGAGATTATAGAAAATGACCCAGAACGACCTACCCGGGGTACGCTCAACCACAACATCCATGAATACATTTACGAACAATCTCTTAGTAGTTTTCGCCCCCCTGTCCAACAAGGCCTCACGTTCATTAAAGGATGCCGCTTTAGCAGCGCGCGACTAACTCCAGAGGGAACGCTAACTAGAGGTCACCTCTGGAAACTAGGCAAGGTCATACGGCGGAGACCGATGAAGTATGAAAAATACAACACGTTAAACCCTCTCGCAAAGTTTGCTACCGAGTTGCAGTATAGAACGTACGGCGCCTCTTATTCGGACCTTGCGACTCGTCTGATCGCCACCGTCTACGACCCACCTCGCACCACATGCCGCGGGGGAATGTGGCTTAGTTGGATGATCAACGCGGTTAGCGAAGCCCTGGAGCAAGGGAAGGCTCTTCGATTGGGGTCTCTCGTTAGGTCCCCGGCGGAAGCCACTTCCTACAGTCCCTACAGGGCCGTCTTCATAGGCGATAGCCGCGATGATTGGGAAGATGAGGACGAAGTGACCTATGCCTTCACTTCATACCAATTCCATAAGGAAGACATGCCGGGGTATAACGAGAAGCACGTCTCGCTGGAGGTCGATATCGAGTGGCAGAGGAGCGACATACCTGAACCGCCTGAAGGAGGCTCGTCCTACGCGCCGCCGAAGCTGTACATCAAGCGGTGGCTCAACGGGCTCTGCTTCTTCGAGGGGCTCGGGACGGACCAAGTCTTGTTCCCGTGGCACCCGACACTTCTAGAATAGGCGTTTGGAATTTACGACTTGGGGCTTTCAGGTTGGGGATTTTGTAAGAGAAAGAAATAAAGAGACGAAGAAAAGAAAGAAAGAAAGATATGAGATGAGAATACGAAACGAGAGAATGAGGATCATTAACGAGCGTTTGCATTTTTTTATACAATATTTACCCTACCTATCTCGGTATCTACCTACCTACCTACCTAACCTTTTATTTACCTGTTATTTATCATCTATCTACGGTATGTCTTACGTGTATATGAGAAGAAGAAGCTCTTCAAAGTTGGGGAGAGGAAGAAAGAACGAGCCAACGGACGGAGGAAAGAAAGAGAGAAAAGAGAATGAGGAAATCTGGATCTAGAATAAATACCAACTGGCATGAGTAAATATACTTATTGACTGGCCTACCCTTGGGGATGATGATGATGTCTTTTGAGAGCGTCGAAGTTTTATTCGTGCCAATGTGCATGTGGTTTGACTGTTGGTAGATAGAAAGAAAGACTAAGTGCTAAAGCGAGTTTCTTCACAAAGTAAGTAAGGCAGCTAGCTTTCTAAAGACTGCAACTCGCCCTATCTCATCCCATCCCATCTCGACCTATCTATTCCGCGCCCACTTAAGGTTAGGTACCTATCTACCTAAGGGAAAGTGGCCGCCATCCGGATTTCACTAGGTATTTGTTTCTCCAAACTCACTCTTTAACCATGACTCGATCTCATGATAGATACCTAGGTAGGTAATGCGAATATATCCTCTCTTCAGCAGTACATATGCTGAACCTATACTGGCCATAATAGGGGGGGGGGGTCAAACAATAATACACCGCCACCCTGCCTGAACACTGCCACGTACCTAGACAACTACCTACCTACCTGACCCCCTGACCCGTATCCTCCTCCTCCTCATGTAACAAAACAACACAACCCACAATCTCAGAGTCCCTCACACGAACACACGACACGGCACGACACGGCAATACAATACAATGCATCATATCATCACGCAAGACAATACAAGGCTACTTAGTACATTCATTACACTACCACTACACTCCACAATATACACACGCATCACACATATCCATAAAGTCATAAAATCATCCATTCTACGAATCTTTTTTTTCTTTTTTTAATATTCGTTTCATTTCTCTGTCTCTTTCTCGCACTTTCTCTCTCTTGGCTTTTTGGTTCCTGTTTAGCTTTAGCGCTTGGAACCTCTCGAATTGTCGGAAAACGTAAAGCCCCATTCAGTATAGAGAGGCTATCCGACAATTTCCTCCTTCCTCCTCCCCTTTTGTAGATCGTAAAAACTTCGCCTAGGCAGTATGTAGAGAAAGAGGAAAAAAAAAAAGAAAGGAAGAGAAAGGAAAAAAAGGAATAGAAAATAAATTCGTCATATTTTCCTCTTCCCTTCTGACTCTTGAGTCGTGCTCCCCCTATTTTTCCGTAACGCATTGGTATACAGAATTGGGTCAGCAGATGGTCGGTATCACCGAGAAGAGGTAGCTTTAAAAAAAGGAACGGTTTGGAATTTGGTCTTGCCGAAATTGCCTAACATGAATTTTTGTTTTAAACACCAACTTTTAGCGTGGGTGGGAAAAAAACATATGGCGAACATTAAAAACGACAACAATTCGAGCGTCGGGAAGAGAAGAGAAGAGAAGAGACGAGGAAAAATAAAAATAGAATAGAAAACCTCAAACTGGTGTAAATGCGATCCACAAACAACAAAAATCTGCCCGGCTTTCCGCCTTTCTGTCTGTCTGTCCGGGGCGTCTTTGCTTTTAAACTACCATCGCGGATAATAAAAAGACAAAAACAGAAACTCGCCCGTATCCTCGGGTAAAGTACCTAACTCCGCTGCTTAACTAGTCCACACACTCTCAAACAAAAGAAATAGAAAATGCATAACACGAGCACGCCCTAAATCCCAGAAATAAAAACGCCGGTGCTGTGGATTTGATGTATAGTAGAAATGATTTCTCTTTGGTAATGACAAGTAGCTTTAGTTTGAAATACGCTCCAGACGTAGTTTTAAACGTGATAACTGGAATTCGATCCATTCTAATTGGGTTTATGACTCGGAAGATTTGGTATGAGGCCGTGGTGTTGGCTCCTCAACTGCTTCCTCGTCTTCTGGGGCAGTTACCGTTGCCGCCTTTGGTGTTACATCAGGATCTTTGCTGACAGTATTTGGATCGAGAGTTAGAGAAACTTCTGGGGGCGTCTCCAAGGCAACTTTCGATGGTGATATGGCTCGTGAAAATGGCGAGACGTCATAATCTCTTGAAGGGGTGGCTACTTGGGTTGTAGGCTCTGGAGTAGTATCAGACGAGGAGATAGCGAGACTATCGTGGCTATTTGCTCTCATCATTTCAATCCCGAGTTTCGAGCTGGGAGGTGGTTGCTTGCCACGGAACCCACGATCTCGATGATTACCAAGCTCGTCGTCTTCATCATCAGCCGAATCGTTGCCTTCTAGACGCCGCTTCTCCACATGCTCACGCCTCGAGCGTAGTTTCTCCAGAGACTTTCGAGGTACTGGCGATCTAGGCAGCTCCATTTGGGCCGGAGCTGACTGTTGAGAAATCAGTGGAATAGGCATTTTCGATGCCCCTCCAGAACTTCCAGATGCCTCGTCGTTGCTAATCCCAAGGCCAGACTCTTCTCCCCACTCGCCCATACCTTTTCTGCTAGGTGCCACAGGTATCTCGTCAGTAGTAGCAGACTCGGAATCTCCAAATAAACTAGAACTGATGGAGTCTTCTCTACTCGAACCCCTGAAGCTACTGCTCCCCGGGTGAGCAAATCCGGAAGATGCCGAAGTGGGACTGTCTTCCACCTGCGGGTGTTTTAGTCTCACACTGGTGATAGGATTTGGAATGGGTAGAGACTGAATTTGGCCTGGCGTTGGTGGTTTCCACTGGCAAAGGTTTGTAAGCACTTCAATTAACTTGGAAGAGCTTATGGGCTTCTCGATGAGAGAGTCAAAATAATGAGGAGCCTGTAACTCCTTCAAGTAGGCTGTGATTGCGACAATCGGTGTATGAGCATTGACGTTCTTGACTTCGCGCACCATTCGGGCAACGTCCGAGCCGCTTATTCCAGGCAACTTGAACTCGGTAAATATGATATCAAACTTGATTTCGCTAACCGCGTATCGAACCGCATCCGAGCCAGTCGAGGCAGAGATGGTACGGCATCGCAGCTTTTCGAGCAGCTTCTCCATAACCATTCGTGAAACTGGGTGATCCTCGCATATTAGAACGTCTAAAGAACGGAATGTCGGACTATCAAGCATGATAGCCGACATTCTGCGAGTAGACTGACGACGTCGCTGCACTTTCAGAAGAGCACTCGCCCGTTCATTCTCGTTGTCTGATGACGAAGGAGACATATCAAAAACTTGACTTCGACGATTGCGATGATGTGCAAGGAGGTCTGCAGCTACAGGACTGCCTTCCTGAGAGCCTACGGTTAGAGATCGGGATCGCGTCGAGGATTCACCGCTCGGCTGTCTTGGGGTTCCTACTGTCTTGTGTGGTGATAATGGTAACGGCAACGGAGGCGGTGCAACTTTACCCTTCGCAGGAACCGGGGAACCTGCTGTTGCTGATTTTTGAAGGGTTGGGACGGTACGAGGGACATCAAAGAAACTCCCGGGTTGCAAAGATCCAGTGCCGGATTGTTGAGAAAGGCTCGAAGAATTGCTCGAGGCTTTTCTACGACTTTCAGCTCCTTGCCCTGCATGGAAAGATACGAGAAGGGGCGAGGAAGGCTGAGAAGCACGGCTAGGGGATGAATTGGCGAGACTGGCTGTGGAAGGCGATGCCGGGCGTTGTGATGCTGACGCCTTAGCATTGGATAAGTTACGTTGTATCGGCACGGACATGATCGGGCTCCCCTCAAGGCCGGGACCTGGAGACGTAGGATTATTTCCACCTGGACTCGTTCCGGATCTATTCTGTACAGCCATCGCCTGAGCTTTTAGTTGCTGGATGACGTCCTTGTTGGCTTTGTCGAGGACTGTAAGGTTCTTAAAAGCAAATGTTCCAAAATCATCCGAAGCCACAGGCTCACTAAGTCGACGACTCTTCAGATCTCGGATGTGAGGAGGTATATGCAACGGCATCAAACCTCGTTTAATCTGATTGACTTGAACTTGAGAGCGGACGCGCGAGAGGGCATCGTGCGGACGATCAGGATAATCCGGTGTTGCAACCGACGGGGGCGAAGCTTGATCCTCAATCTCCTCAGTGAAGGACTGCAAAGTCGCACCTCGAGCGTCGAAGTACTCAGTGTCTTCAGGGTTTTCGGGTTGAGGAACAAATTGGGCATCATCTTGCAGTAGAGTACTCCAATTAATATCTTCAAACCAAGGGTGACTGCGAATCTCTTCTCCACCAGATTCGTATTTACCGTCCCGATTTGAGCCTAGTCTCTGTTGCGGGTCGATGCAGAGCAGTTTGTTGATGAGGTCCTTCGCCTCAGGCGAAACGTCGTCTGGCTCATCGGGCCACGTGATCTTTCGCTCTAGTATATTCTCGAAGACTTGTTCTGCCTCGCCGGCATGGAAAGGGGGATACCCGTAAAGGAATTCAAACATGATACAACCGACTGACCACCAATCGCTGGTCTCGTCCTGTCTAGCTCCTTTGATGGTCTCTGGGGCGAGGTAGTCGGGAGTACCTACAAACCGACGGTTTGTGTCTTCGGGGTCAAACAGAGCCATTGGAGGGGGCATCATGTTTGACTGGGGCGGCGTGTTTCTATGTATATCGCTATTATGGCTGGTGGTCTGCTGAAGCGACAGCAGATCAGGAGAAGCATTACCGCCATCACTTGCATCATCGCGTGGAGATCGTACACTTGCCTGGCTATGTTGAGGGTCGCCCAGAGAGAAATGTCCCATCATATGCGTGAAGGTTTCGCTACCACCACTGTCGCTACGTTGGCCAGATGGATGAACTTGTGAGAGAGTGAAATAGGACGGTTGCCCAGCTCCATTATCCGGGGTGATCTGCGGTGTAGCAGCAGGGGAATGGTGACTGCCGTGAAGGTCAAGTGAAGCTGATCGAGACGATGCCACAGATGTAGACCTGACAAAAGGCCCTGTCTTGAGTAAGTCGGGCGTGGGCTCGGCGTTTCCGCTATTTAGAGCCCTCTTTTGACGACCGATTAACCCCATGCGTGATAGACCAAAATCAGTCAATTTGAGATGACCTTTTTGATCGATGAGAAGATTATCGGGTTTAAGATCACGGTGGATTATGCCCCGATCATGTAGGTGCTCTACACCGAGAATAACCTCACCGAGATACTTCTTTGCCCATTCTTCTGGTAGTCCTCCGAGGACCTTAATTAGAGAAGCACAATCGCCTCCATTAAGATACTCCATAACAAGATACAAGTAGTCCTTGCTAGAGAATGTCCAATATAACTTTGCAACGAACTCGCTCTCCCCTTGCCACATCATAATAGCCCTTTCTGCTTTAACATTAGTGACTTGATTCTTGGCCACCATGTCTGCCTTCTTCAAAACCTTGATTGCGAAGTATTCGCCGGTGGACTTCTTCTTTGACAGGTAGACACTACCAAAAGCACCCTTGCTGATCGGTTTGATGATTTCGAAGTCTTTGATAGAAGGCGGGACTGCGCGTGCCATTGGTGGATGGTTGGCGGGATTCAAGCGGGGAGACACAGGTCGATTTGGGAATTCCGACGTAGTCGTCGACGATTGTCGCCGGTGATGCGCAAATATGGCCGGTGAGCTAAATTCACTATTGGGGAGCATAGGCGAAGCCTCGGGAGAAACGACCCCATCTTGAGAATATTGAAGACTACGAGGCTTATGTATTCGTAATGGCGAGGAAGGTTGCGCACCTCTCGAAGGCGACTCTTGGCGGTGAGGTGACGATGTGCCGGTAAGGACAAGACTGCGCCTTTGATGCTGTCGTGAACTGGTAGCACGTCGTAAATCACCCCGCTCGGACATGGGCGAATCAGTTCGATGTGATTTGCGCGCTACGGAAGCGGATCTGACACTACCATCACTGTCTCCGGTATCAGTTTCAAGCAATGCCGAACCCCGGCGAGAAGCTCGAGATGGATATGATGTGCTTAACACTTCCCGGTGGGATTTTGGTGTCAGACATTCCCTAGGGCTGCTTGACCTCGTAGATTCAATAATAGAAGACGGACGCTTGTTATCTGAATCATCCAAACCCACGTTTTTCAAAGCAAGCGCCAGTGAAGAAGGCGTATCGAACGAGCCTGCAAAAATAGGTTCTTCCTGCGCCACTGGAGTCTCTCCGATCGCTTCATCCTCCTCCTCCTCCTCCTCCTCCACCACCACCACCTCTTCTTCTTCTTCTTCTTCCTCTACTTCTTCGCCTTCTTCATCCTCGGTCGAGTCGCTTAGACGGCCTTCCGCAATACGGGCTGCCTTACGCATAGCATCCTCAATGCAATTCTCCACTATGACAGTAAGTTCGACCCGGATACGTTCCGCGTATTCGATTATCCTTCGATGCCGAAATACAGCCTCAACTTTCTCTTTAGCGACCCGTTCGGTTTCTGCGCACAGTAAAGCCAAACCTTGTTCCTGTTCGAGGGTGTTCGAGCCAGGAGATTGCCATTGGAGCACTTGGGATATTCGAGATTCAGACTGCGGTGACTGAGTGCGAAATTCTTGGGACGAGGATTCTTTAATGGCAGGTGTGCTAATTTCGATAGCAGTATCACACAGATCCAACAGCAACTCCACAATACGGGCCTGCGGGCGCCGCACCGCAAACGATCGAGAACGGCCATGGCCAAATCCGGTCGACCGATCCCTCGACGAAGGAGTAGGGGAGGCCGCTCCAGGGGATGATGTGGTAGAAGAAGGCCCTATAGGCAAGCCCCTGTACTCGGCAATGGGTAACGATCCTGGCTCTCCTGAAAGAGCACGGCTCTTGCGGGCCTCTAACGCATCTAGTACCTTGACGATGGAGTGCCGGTGTTCGGTTAGATTCTCCTGTGCTATCTGAACATCCATTTCGGCTCGGTGTTCTTGGAGACATAGGTCCGTATGTTTCTCGAACCACCAAGGCGGTATTTGGCGTTCGCAGATGCGACATAAAACCGGCAGGGGCGGCGGGTTTTGGGCAGGGTCGTCGTTTCCAGACTCAGCTAGCTGGGTTAGATAACTAGCTAGAACCTCTGCACCAGATCCAAGAGAATCTACAAGCAGCGGTGCCAAGTCGATTTTTATCTCTCGAGGTGCAACCCAAGGTCGTAGCATCCACATCGTCTAGGAGGGGTTAGCTTCTAGTTAGCCAGTATACGAAGTTGGGTTCCTTACGTGACTTTCGCCTCCAGTAGTGCGATCATAGACCATGATCCCTTGAGCCTCTAACTCGACCGTGGTAGGCATGTTTTCGTCCGCCTCAGGCTCCTTACGAGTATCAACGGGGTATAGCTTAGACAGAGGACCCAAGTAGACGGTAAATCGGATATACTGGCTACGCGAATCGTCATTCTTCATTGAAGTAATGGCTTCGGCAAATGCAGACTTGTCTTCGCTAATGATTAAATCGGCGATCGATGTCCCTTCGACAGCATTTATTTCTGTCCCAATAACATCAGCCCATGACGGGCTAACCCAACGAATGGTGCCGTCGAGATTTAGGTCCACAATAACGTTTAAAGTTTGTTCCGCGGCCTCACGAAGTTCTTCGCGCTCTTCCCTAATGTCCGCGCTTAAAGATCTTTCCATTGAACGGCCGATAGCTTGAGCACGGAGCGAGCTCACGGCCGGGGGGGCCAGCCTCGTGGTATCCTCATCCATTGTTGGAAAACGACCAATTCGGTGTTCAATTGCAATGATGGCATCGGGTATTTAGCCTCTTGTATCGAGAAGAAGCCCTCGACGTTTCTAGCAGAGGCGCAAACGCGTTCGGGCGAAAGGTAGGCGTATCGTAAAGTTTGGTTCTCGGTCAAGAAACGACCTCATGCAAAGCCAATATATCTGGCAGAAAGCCAGAGTCAGAAGCTTGCGGGAACCCGAGACATGACGGTGAGCGACGTGCGTAGGTAGTCAGGTCACTCGACGTTGGCAGCGGTTGGTCCGTTGAAGACAAAAATATAAAAGAAGTTTGTGAGGACAAGCCTCTCAGCTCGCACCGAGACGGCCAGTACGCTACGCTCGAGTACTATCGCGATCCGATCGTAAATTTAGGTATTGACAAAGGGGCGGTAGTATTAAGAGGGGGGGGGCTGACGGAGGGGCCACACAGAAGACGAAGTTGAAAGAACACAGGGACCTTATCCCTAAGAAAAAAAAAAAGTGTTATTAACGCAAGGACCAATTTCGTTTTAAATTTCGAGGATTACAAACATACAACTTGATGTTCTCGATCTGAATATGAGAGAATGAAATGGGGTGTACCTTAAAAAAGGTAAGCCAGATAAGTTTCTTGAAGAAGTACAACAACACTTGATTTTTGGATCCGAAGTGGGTATACGGATTTACAGCGCGGGTCGTTTACCGATTAGCCTTTCTTCCCTTTTCGGGGCGGCGCGTAAAGCAAGAGTCAGTCAGCAAAGAAACTTTGGTGCATACTAGGTACTATGTATACCTACATTCAGGTATTATATTAGGTACCTACATACCTAACATAGTAGCACGCCGTGTGCATACAGTTTACAAATTAGACATCATACTGTAACAGCCTAGAGCCAGAGCGGGGGAACTAACAGGGGTTATGGTGCGGCGTTGTTACCAATTTGCGCGGTATATCTTTCCTTCCCCTATTAGGAACTACCTACCTTAGGTACCTACCTCCTACCTAACCTTACCTAGGTCCTAAGATACTAATATAATACACGCTATCGCTCTTATGAACTTTAGGTACCTAATTGAGAATGGAAGAGAAAAGAAAAGTTAGAGGCAGACGGGCATAGGTACGACACATCGCGTTAGGTATGGATTACTTTAGAAGTAGGTACTGTCTAATACAGCTAAGGCTTAGCGCCTTGAGCGCTTATCATGCGGAATCCCCCCCTCCTTGTTGGGAAACAGGGCATTTCTTCGATCTAGTGTTTTACAAAATATTCCATGGAATTTTCTATCCCTTTTCTTTGTTGCTTCTATATCATATTCTATTTATTATACATCAAACGCCTACATGCATACCTAAAGGTATGTACCTAGGGTAGGTATATTTAGCATTCTGACAAGCCACAAAAGAGTACAATACAAATACAACTTCCGTTATTCTCAATTCTCAGCTACCGGATAGAGTACCTCTTACAAGTTAACAACCAACCCACTGACTGTCCTAGCCACCATATCCGAATCTGACGTACCCTACATACAGGAGAAAGTCTCACCAACCAACGTTTATAACCAAACAGATCTTAGGGCTTCCCTAGCTAGTTGTCACCTTAGCAGCACTAACAAATGAAAACAAATGAATGGCGACAGATATGGGGTCCAAGTGATCCCTCTTGCATACAGCTAATCCCAAATCCCACCAGTTGCCGGTCTTGGAGTAATGTTTACTTCTTAAAACCAAACATGAAGTGTCTAGGTACCTGGTACGTCAATGCTACGTCTCTAGATGATGATGGGTTCGTCTTTATTACCGTTGTTTATGCAGTCATCCCATCCTAGCATATAGAACCAGACACACCCTCACGATATAACTCACAACCCGGTAGTACCTACATTGTATCAATGTATTTATTGTATTGTGCCAGTGCTGTCTACGTAAACTCGACGCCGCACCCCAAAGGGGTGCTGTGCTTTAATTAAGGAATCGGGCAAGATTAGGGATTCGATCCGAAGTACTTCCGAACAAGTGTAGTTCCTACGCGTTTTAGAGTATTTTCCAACATTTATAAAATTTTATAAAATATTATTATTCCTTTTCTGCTTTTAGTAGGTAACAGGGATCGGAATAACCTCTTACTGGTGCTTGAAGTCTGGTACGCTAGCCTAATTACTGCCCGACTTCCTAATTAAAGCGCAGCACCCCTTTGGGGTGCGGCGTCGAGTTTACGTAGACAGCACTAGTACACGAATCTACCTACGTTATGTGTTATATAAATACCTAGTCATAACGAGACATCGGTCGATGAAGTTCCCAAAACCCGCTACTATCACGGCTTCGCCCTTCCGATTAAGGAGTAAATACTCGTTTATCCTGGAGCTTTTATATAGAGAAAGTAATTTTTTTTTTCCTTATTCTCTTCATTACCCCTCCTCTATCCTATCCAGGTACCCAATAGGCATCGATTTCCTAAGACAAAACTGCATTAGCCAACAATGAATACCGCCAGAGAATTACAGGTTGCATGAGCCACTTCACAAGAGGTACCTATTGACATTCACCCAGAAAAAAAAAAGAGAGAGAGAAAGTCCAGCATCTACCGTTCCTGAAGTCGACCTAGAAAACAAAAGGAGAAGTGGGATGACCAGCACATATTTTCGTAATATCGAGCGACTTCTAGCGACAACTAGACCTAGACCCGCTCTCCAGTTCACACAACATCGTAACAACCTCACCCCACTACTCATCGTCACATACCTACATGTAGCCTGTAGGCGGCATGTACGTATGTACGTATGTACATATATGTATGTGTGTACTATGTAGTCCCCATCTGCGGGTTCAAGGTTCTCCAATTCTCCTTGCCAATCCGCCAATGTAACGGCTGAAGCCAGACCTTACAGAAAGTAAGTACGTACAGATATGCCTACCTAACGTTGTAGGTAACTTAGGGTACGCTTCCATATCAGGGATATATAATCAGGGGGATACCTGGCCAATCCTGATCAACAATAGTTTCCCGCTCGCCTCGCACAGCTCCGGTAACCAGTCGCGATAATGATGTACAATTATAGGTAGTTTGTCCCGCGATCAACGAGGGCAGCTCATATAGTCCAAGCTTTGCACTACCCGATCATAAACGCACTTTTTCGTGTCAAGCCAGAATTGTCGGTTTGGTTGGTAATGTCTCCTGTCTCCCAAGCCGGTAATTTACGCGTGCAGGTCTACGGGTGTGGGATCCTGTACATGATGCTACGCAAGCTCGCTTTAGGCGAATGATGTCAAACCTATCACCGTTACCGACTCATCAATAGTCTCTGTATCATCTTAGATTGCCGTATATGAAGTTCCCCAAAGATCTCTCCATACCTAGTCCACATCCATGTACATCCATATACATTTTCGTAGTGTCATGTTGTCGTAGAGAAAGCATATCACTCGGCCATGTGTTCCCAGTTAAGAGATGCGTATTGTTCAGTTTTCGTAACCTCGAACTTCTAATGATATGGTGGTGGTTCTACACGGGACGGTCTAGTATGCCAGTGTAACACATGACACAGGATGGAGGCGATGGTCTAGGCTCTATACTAGGTCCGTCCGGCTGCATCTACCACGCTCGTTGGCACGGCTACTATGTCTCACATGAACCGAACACACATCCTTGAGATGTACGATAACTCCTTACAGCAAAAAAATGGAACGCAATGGCGCTCAGCATGCTCGTGACGCAAGTAATTACACAGACCGTCCTCCAAAACTCATCATACCTATGTATTAGAGGTAGGTAGTCATATGCAAGTAGCAATCGGTGAACAACGTCAAGTACAACTGCAAACTTCATTTAGGTACCGTACCTATGCAAAGCGGCTCCAATACACTCCAACATGAAAACGTGACCTTAAACTAATAGTTGAGCTTTAACATGAGCTACTATAATCACATGTTTCTCTCTATGAAGAAGCCCATTCGGTCTTTAGGGCATCCAATCATTGCCCTTTCTCAACCCATATCTGCTCCAACCACTTCGCTAGCTCTTCATCCTCGTTGGGGAGCTCCTCAAGAGGAAAACGCCGTACATGAACGTGGAACCTATATCCTTGAGAATCACTAAGACCCAGGAGCTTCATAGTTTCCCAAATGTTCGGGGCTACATGAAACTTATCGTTATGTTGATACGCAATGGTGAAAGTCGTACACTGCCTTCACGTGAGGTGCTGCTCTCAGATGCTGCACGGTAGTGACAAAGCCCTTGGTACGGGGATAAAGTAAATGCAAGGGCGGCCATTCTGTTTGCACCAAGCAGCAGATTCATCATACTTCTCGGGTGTAAATCGTGTTGCTTCGCTGAAACTTATCAGCCCTGCAGGTGGACGATGATCAGTTACACGGTTTTAATAAAAAGTCTGGAACGCGTAGGTATACGTCAACCAAGGGAGAAAGAGAGAGGGGGATAGGGAGGGAGGGCACTTACACATCGGCCACCTCCTACGTACGATACCACCAAAGACGCGCTGCAGCTCGCGCAGGTCTCGCATCCAATTCCGGGTCACCATCGGCATTCCCATGGCCCAGAGACCCCAGCCGAGGAAGGGGACCCAACACAGCTGGATCTTCGCAAACCATCGGCATTGCCCCAGCATTCGCGATCGCAGGGCCAAGCTTTGGATCAGGTAAAAGTCGGCCCACGCGACATGGTTCGAGACGACAACAGCCGACTCCCTCGTGGGCAACCGATCTCCTGAGATGGTGATCCGAGCGCCGTTGCAGCCCTCGAAGATAAACTGGATCCACCTCCAGACAGAGTATCCAAGGCCACACGACGCGCGGTAGAGGAAGTCCGGCGCGAATATCCTCACTACCAGCAGTAGAGATAGCACCACATCGCACACCGCAAGGTACAAACCCCAGGGGGTCACTAGTATGATCCCCCTCAAGTCGGCGGGAAGGTCTTCTAGCATAGCCATGGCTCATGGGACCTGCATCGGCACTAGGAGCGGCGCAGTAGCTGATCTAAGCTTAGATGTTAGGCTCTAAAGGTAGTCGATCTTTTCATAGTTTTTGAAAGTTGACAAATAATTATCCAGGGTTTTAAAGACGAATTAAACAGATTTTTTCTTTTTTTTTCTTTTTTTTCTTTTTGCATATTGTTTCGGCGTCGGAACCACCTAAGCATTCTTGTCTCACCTCGGCGATCTTTCAAAGGCGAGCTTATATCCTATCAGAGATACGGAAGATATTAGACGAGGGCTTCACAAAGAATACACCACGCAGACATCGTAGAGCAACGAATATCCCTTCACATCCAGACGGTATAGATTAAGCTACGTCAGCGGTTGTACGGGTCGGAGACACAGCTTGAGACATCCCGTTCCAAAGGGTTGAGCCAGGATTGGTCAATCAGCTTTCCACTTAACGGGAAATACCGTACATGGTTTGGTGAAGACCAAAGGTGTATGTAAATCCGTTACGGATTACGTAGGGGACGAACGGCAATGGAGTCACAGCTTAGGGTACCCTAGTAGGGTAGTTAACAAGATCGCTACCCGGCACACAGCCCGGACAGCCCACGTTTTGACTACCTACCTCTAGGCTCTAGTAGATCCTCACTTTTGGTCTCAGATTGGCGGTCAGGAATCAGGCCGCGGGACGAGGGGAAGAGGGGTCGCTTATACATACCCTGCATACATCACAGTACTGCACACATCACCACTCCAATATCTGGGGTTTTCTATACACCATGACTAAGTGATAGAGGTGTATTTCTATGCACTTGCTACATATAACCAACTGTATATAACCTAGGCATATAATTCCTCTACATATTATATTCCATACTTAACAGGTAGGCTTCCCGGTTTTTCTCATGATACACAATTATAGATATACATATACTACCTCTACCTAGGAATACCATGTGTCCGAATCCATGTCGCTAAAGGGCGCTAGAACCACTTCGTTGGGCGGCGCTAAGATCTTTCACTGGAAGACCCTTATCAACAAATGTTCCGATGAAAGACTCCATGACGAGGAGACCCATCAAGTCCGAGTATAATCTCATATTTTAGGCCGCATAGCCCATACTAGGCGGCCATACCATACCAGCCAAGGCATACATCCTATTCATACATACACACTACGGCCAAATAGGCGGACGGCATTCTCTCAGCCACGAATGCAACTACCTTATATAATTATACGACAAAGCATCTCGAACTGTGATTAATATAGCAAAGCTGACTAACGACGCCGCCATTTGCCCCAGAAAGGAAAAAGAAAACGACGAACGACGGCATACGGAACAATTAAGTCCCCATATCCAATCTCACGATAGTGGCCATATTACGTATTCCCAACTATCTACCTCTCTCAACTATCTATCTACCTACCTAACCTTAGGGTACTTATTAGGCAGTTGATTAGTTTATATACACGCTTAGAGAAAGGGTACGCAATCTAATACTAGGTATATTATCATAGACTACATAACCTATACATGTAATATATACGTCCAATACCAAAGAGTCAAAAAAGGAAATAATAAATCCAAGGCTAAAAACATCGAGCTTCTTAATAAGTCTTTAGAAACCAACCGACAGCTTGCGGCGGCATTTGACCATCACAAGCGAGGGAGGCTGTGCATCAATCGCGGGATTACGTATCAACCTACCAGCTCTCGATGATCTTAGCTGCAACATGAGCAGGGTCAGATCTGTAGGATTGTTAAGGGGAAACATCTTTTCTTGGTGCGCTGGCCTCTAAGAACGGCGACCAGGTAGTATCCTAGTTAGCTTACCGTGGGGTGGTTTCTTTTCTTCGCCCCCCCTCCTTCTGGAGTCAATGGATCAACACTTTTTTTTTCAGCGTATCAACTCAAGATGGTATCCTCTATCTAGTTTCGTTGCCAATTGGTGAGTGACTATATAGAGTCCTACTCACCACGCGGTTGTATATTACATCCTACAGCATTTCTGCATAGTACCGGACTGGCGGAATCGCTTGAACTACAAGTATATATAGTAGTAGTAAGAGCCCATCATTTTTAACCTCATATATACCCTATATATACCTTACATATACACCTATTAAACGAGATCCAAGAAGGTGTGGGAGATCATTCATATAGTAGTAAGTATGTAGCATTCTTCACCCCGCTCTACGAAGCAGCAGCAGCACATTAAACGAAAGGCATTTTCCCATCAATTTGGACCCTATCACCTTATTCGATGCCCTTCCCTTCCTCCCTTCTCCCACCCATCATGTGTCCCAGATCTTGGACCGCGCATCCCGCCGTCCAAGTGGCTCTCGAGAACAATGGCTAAACTTCCTAACCTGAAGCCCGTAGTTGGTAGTTGTCCGTCGCCTCCAACGCATTATTCTCCATCCGACCATAACAAACCCTCGTTGGGCTCGCTCTACGAGCACGTTTCCATGTCGTCATCCGCGTCGCCCCCCGACGACCCCCAACACGACAAGGGCCCGCTGGCCTCGCTCAACCTCAACTTCCTAAAGTCGCTGAACGACAAGAAGACCACCCGCGATGGCAACCCGCCCAAGCGCCGAGGTCCCAAGCCCGATAGCAAGCCCGCATTAACGCGCCGACAAGAGCTCAACCGCCAAGCGCAAAGGTAACAGCAACCACAATAACTTGTTTTAAAACAAAAAAAAACATGGGGGATTTCCAGCGAGTTTGGCTAGTTAGAAAAAAAAGAAGAAGAAGAAGAAGAAGTAGAAGAAAGAAAGAGAAAAGATCCTTAGCTAACTTAATACGTTTCGGGTAGGACGCATCGGGAACGCAAAGAGCTTTACATAAAAGCGCTCGAAGACGAGGTGCTGCGGCTGAAGGAGATCTACACCAACGTCGCGCAAGACAAGGACCGGCTCGCCGAGGAGAACCGGCGGCTCAAGTACCTGCTGCAGCAGAACGGCATCTCAGCCAGCCCGGGAGGTGGTGGTGGTTTGGACGACTTCGGCGGCGGTGGCGGCGGTGGCGGCGGTGGCAGCACCGGCCTGAGCCCTGGGTACACGTCGAGCGGGAGCATGTCGGGCGGGTACGGGGCGGGGAGCTCCAGCGCGGCGTACACCCCCGGCATGACGTCCACGTCGAGCCCGAATTCGATGTCCGGGTACCATTCGCGCTCGGGACAGGGCTATCATCATAACCAATCCCACCAGCACCAGCACCAGATTGATTACGAGCAGACTGGGATAGATTTCGTGTTAACGTACGATACCCCCGATGACCCCTCGAAGGCGTACATGTCGCCTCCCCCGCAGTGATTCCGGGGGGCCACCCATTCATTTCATCCATCCATCCACCCACTCACGCTCACTTATTCACTTACTCATTTCCTCGCTCACTCACTCCCTCACTTACCCAACCCGTAACACCTCACACACACATCCATAACACAAAGCCAAAGAGAGAAAGAGAAAAAAAAAACCCCCAAAAACCACCACCAAAAAAAAAGACAGAAAAGAAACGAAAAAATGTAAATGTTCCCAGTTACTATTAGATACAGCGAAGCTAATACCATACTAATCCCCCACAGGCTCGAGCGACCGTGTATGGACCACATGCCGTGGCTCATCGAGCGGGCGCAAGACGCGGCAGGCACAGCGGCGGGGCACGCGCTGATGGCGTCGTGCCCGCCGGAGCCGTTCGCGGACCTCAGCGAGGAGATCCCGTTCGGGAACGCGCACACGGGGGCCGGGGACCCGGCGCATCAGCGCACCTGGGAGCTGTCCAAGGCGGACCTGGCGACGCTGCTCGACCTCAGCGGCAAGCTCGACCTCGACGGCGAGATCACGCCCGTCATGGCCTGGCGCATGGTGCTTGCACACCCCAGGATGCGCGACTTGAAGCCGGAGGACTTCGAGAGGTTGGTGGAGGACTTGAGGGGGAAGGTTAGGTGTTATGGGTATGTTGGGGCGTTTTGTTGTTTGTTTGCTTGCTTGTTTACTTACCTACTTTCCTGCTCACCTCCTTACGCACTTACTCACCCACCTTTCTGTCTATCTGTCTATCTGTCGATAGCTTGCTAATGGATATGTCGACGACAGGTTCGGGGCTGTGATGGAAGAGTTCGAGGTGCGGGATGCGCTGAACGCGGTCTTCTCCGCAAAGTCGGAAGTGGGCATGGCGTATTAAATTATAACTTACTATGGTCGAACGGAGGGGGGTTGTCGTTTCAACTTGTTATTTTTTTTCAAGCTTTGAAATTCCTATCTTTTTCTTGGGAATTTTATAGTTGTGGACTGACTTGGTTTCTTTTATCTGTGCATGTATACAAAGCAATGATGACGATGACGATGGGTAGAATGATGAGAGAAGATGAGCAGAAAGGGGTTGTATACCTAGGTATTTTTGTATCTTGTCTTGTTATATTTAGTTACCTTATATTAGATGGATATTGGTGTTATAAAATGCTATCCTATAGATACTTACTTTAATGGGTTTATACTTCTACGAGCTGTTCATGGTTGAAGAGTTTAGGTAGGTATTTATATGGACGACCGGTTCTTATACATCTTATACATACCTAACTACCTGCCATACTCTTACGCAAGGTATCATAATTAATTTATATCAAAACCTTGCCTCTTGTTTTCTTTGATATGGTGAGTTATTTCATACTATATGTTATAATTTCAATAAGTCAAAACATAAAATACAGGTAGCTTTTACCTTTGACTATATCCTCCTCACCTGAACCTAAGTTGATAGTGATACAGTGTCAATAATTTTCTAACTGTCCTTGTCTTAAAAAAGATAAAAAGAAGGTACGTACTGCACTAAACCAAGATCCGACGCTGTGCGACTGCCCCACACCCCACCAAAACTCTCTAATTTACTGCTAAAATATTCGCCTGCGGCCAAAATTTCGACAAGCCACGCCTTCGCGAAAAAAAAAGAAAAGAAAACCAACATCGAGGCCCCCTCACGAACAGCAATATTATTCCCCCGGGTATAAACAAACGAACACAAATAATAATAATAGGTCAAAATTATTGCTGAAGTTTATCCAAATATGGCAACCAACTCTTTGGCCGATCTCATTGCGGCCTTACCTGAGGGTGATGGATGGGGTCCTCCTCCGGTAACCGAGACTACCCTCAATGGCGTCCCCTATGCCCCTTTCTCCAAGGGTGACAAGCTAGGTCGCATGGCCGACTGGACGGCGGATAGCAAAGATGGAAGGGACGGACGCGGTGGTCGACAGCAGTATAACCGCAACTTTAGGGGTATGTAAAGCTACAATCAATCACGTCTTGTCTCGACAGCGATCAAGCCACCAGTAACTAATATTCAACCGGATACAGACCAGCAGATCTACGGTGCCGGTAGCGCCGCGCTCTTCACCGCTCCGGTTGCCGAGGATGAGAACACATTCTCCGTCGTTAGCAGAGAACCCACCAAGACCCGATACGGCCGGGGCGCAGTCTTTACGCGAGGCCGCGGACAACGAGGTGCCCGACAAGACACGAGGGGTGGCCGCGTGGCGCTCCAGCGCTCTGGGCGTACCGGCCAGCAAACCTACGGATACGACAGCCGCGGTGGTCGATCTAACGCGCCTCGTGGTCGCCGCTTTGGTTGGAAGGACTACGACAAGCCGACTCGCAACCGCGATGCCTCTATCAACATCAAGCCAGACTGGCAACTTCTAGAAGAGATTGACTTCAACAGGCTGGCTAAGCTAAACCTAGACGGTGACGAAGGTGAGGATATGGATAGCTATGGTTTCCTCTACTACTACGACCGATCCTTCGATAAGCAACCTGTTAAGGCTGCCGAGAAGAGGCTCATCCCTCTGGACCGTGCGGCTTACAATGTCACAACCTCTTCGGATCCCGTTATACAGGAGCTAGCCGAGAAGGACGAAGCCACTATCTTTGCTACCGACAGCATCTTATCTATGCTCATGTGTTCCACCCGCTCCGTCTACCCGTGGGATATTGTCATTGTAAAGCAAGGAAACAAGATTTTCCTCGATAAGCGTGACAACGCGGCGCTTGACATGGTGACCGTGAACGAGAACGCTGCCGACGCTCCCATGGAATCCTCCGACGGCAACAAGGATAGCATCAACCACCCAGCTGCTCTAGCCGAAGAGGCCACCTATATCAACCACAACTTCGCCAACCAGGTCGTGTTGGAGAACGAGTCTCAGAAGGTCGAGATGGCGCACGAAAACCCATTCTACAATGCCTCGGAGGAAACCGAGCCGCCCGCAAGCAAGGCTTACAAGTACCGCCGATTCGACCTCTCGACCAGCGAAGAGGATCCGATGTACCTAATCGTGCGAACCGAGCTCGATGCCGTCCAAAAGAACGCTATCAGCGGCGAGGACCAATTCGTAACTGTCAAGGCTCTCAACGAGTTCGACAGCAAGGCGCAAGGTAGCGGTGGTGCCTTGGACTGGAGAACCAAGCTGGTGAGCCAGCGTGGTGCTGTTGTCGCGACGGAGATGAAGAACAATAGTGTTAAGCTTGCACGATGGACGGTGCAGAGCATCCTGTCTAAGGCGGACGTCATGAAGCTTGGGTTAGTTCTTCCATGTTCTAATATTATCACTACCTAAGGTATGTTTTGCTGACGTCTTTTTTTTTTATCTAGCTTCGTCTCCCGTGCCAACCCCAAGTCGAACGACAAGCACGTAATCCTGGGCGTTATAGGCTGGAAGCCCAAGGACTTCGCCAACCAGATGAACCTGTCGCTCTCCAACGGCTGGGGTATCGTCCGCACCATCGCCGATATGTGTCTCAAGCGCGAGGACGGTAAGTTCGTGCTCGTCAAGGACCCCAACAAGTCGATCCTCCGACTATACGAGGTTCCGGCCGGCAGCCTCGACGACGAGGGCGAGGACGACACGGTTCCGGAAACCGTTGCTGAGGAAGAGTAAGGGTGTTGTTGTTAACGTCAACGGCTTGAACATGGGATACCTTAGGTAGGTAGGTACCTAGATTTAGATGGATGTGTGGTCTAGTAGTATTTTTACTAGCGGACTAATCAAGTCAAGTCACCCGAGTAGTTGGTCTTGAAAGTGAATCAGCCTCGAGGTGAATGCTGTTCTTAATATACTACTATTACATTGACTTGCGGCTTATTGGTATTTTTACTAATCCAGCTTCGGTGTGGTATTTCAATCGTGAGATGTACCTTGTATTATGACTTTGTGAGCTTTCCATATGAGTGAATATTCCACACCTACAGAATATTGTATGACAAGAGCTCGAACAGTAAGGTATGAGGTATAATACCTTAGGCTAGGTAGGAGGTAGGGTATGAGATTAGGGGCCGAGGGAGGTATGTATATACCCCACCTTTCCAACCCCCACCAGCGAAACTGCCCCGCCATCATTTCATTTCTTCCTGTGACGTCTTTTTTTTCTCCCCCGAACCCTTGTTTCACTCTCTTCACGCAAACATCCCTCACCTTAGTTGCCTACCTGCCTACCTGCCTATTATCAGACCAAGACCAGACATCCGGGTCCTTTCTTCTAGAAGCTCTAGGTACAAACCGACTACTCCTGATTCGCACATTACATACGCGACCTACCTTACCCTAGGTACCTACATACATAGGTTCGGTCCCTTGCTTAGCTTAGCGTAGCTATCTAGGTACCTACCTACCTAAGGTATATCCGAAAAGGAAAAGAAGACCAAAAAAAGAAAAAAGAAAAAAGAAAAACCCGCGATCATGCCGCCCAAGGCAATTATAGCGCCCTCCATCCTATCGGCCGACTTCGCCCAGCTCGGGGCCGAATGCGCGAGGACCATGGAGCAGGGCGCCGACTGGCTTCACGTCGATATCATGTACGTCCGTCCCAACTCTAAACATATCCCTGATCCCAACCTAAAGCCCGGCATCCCCCCTGGCGGGAAGGGGGGGACTTGGATACTTTTTAGCTATGTATCTATTTATAGAATTTGTTCGCGAGGACAGTAGAGTAGAGTAGAGTAAAGAGAAAAAAAGGCTTGCTAACGCGTGTCTGGCGCACGCGCCGCGCGAACGAACAGGGACGGACACTTCGTGCCGAACATAACCTTCGGGGCGCCGGTAGTAGCCAAGGTCCGGCGGCACGTCGAGCGGGCGGGGGAGCGGTTCGGGCGCGGGACGTTCGACTGCCACATGATGATCGCGGAGCCCAAGAAGTGGGTGCGGGAGTTCCAGAAGGCCGGGTGCGACCTGTACTGCTTCCACTACGAGGCCGCCTTCTCCAGCGACGCCGAGACCCCCGACGGCAAATCCGACCGCGCGACTAACCCCAGGGACCTCATCCGCTATATCCACGACTGCGGCCTGCTCGCCGGCATCGCCCTGAAACCGGCTACCGGCGTCGACGTCCTGACTGAGGTGCTGGAGAGCGAGGATCCGAAGGAGCGTCCGGATGTGCGTAACCTAACCCATACTTATTTCCTTTTCCCCCCACCCCCTTTTTTTCTTCTATGATTTGGTTTCAAAGTAACGGGCCATATATAACTAACCCGCGCGCGCGTGCGTACAACGTAGATGGTCCTCGTCATGACGGTCGAGCCCGGCTTCGGCGGCCAGAAGTTCATGGCCTCGGAGCTGCCCAAGGTGCAAGCCCTGCGCCAGAAGTACCCGGACCTGAACATCGAGGTCGACGGCGGCCTGGGGCCCGGCACCATCGACCAGGCCGCCGACGCGGGCGCCAACGTCATCGTCGCGGGGAGCGCCGTGTACGGGGCCAAGGACCCCGCCGAAGTCATCTCGCTGCTGAGGACGAGCGTCGATTCGAGGTCGGGAAGGCTGTGAGGTCAGGTGGAGGGATAGAGTTGGGGTTGGGGTCGAAGTTGAGGTGGGGTGGGATTTACATATGAGGTAGCGATGGATGTATGTATCTAGCATGCGAGTTTACTTGGTGCGGCTTGGTAGTTGGGTAGTTGAGAGTGGGAGGGATGTTGGTTGGTTCCCGGGGATAGAAAGTATATAAACGCAAAAGAAAAAAATGAGCATAAGTAAATACACTTAGGTTTCAGTATTACACCTCGATTTGTTGGAACTTGGGGTAGTTGCGTTCTTTATTGTTCGTAGAGATACCTTTGATCTACCCGACAAGGGGCTCGAGTATGGCTACCTGCATAACGGTCTACATTCCAAACACGCCATGGCCGATAAAGCAAGTACCTAACCACACCTAGGAGGTAGCTATCACTGCACAAAGACGACCGAGATAACTTATCTCGCGCAAAACCCGCTAGTTAAGACGTTTTCGATACCACCCGGTCCAGCGCCTCCACGAACCCCTTTATCTCGTCCACTACAACACAACGCATTGCAATCATTAGTCTTGGAAAACTTCACGACCTAACCTAGGTACCTAGGTAGCTTTCATCAGGTACTTACGGGTGTTATAATGCGCCATGCTAACCCTAACAACCCCACTCGGGCCCAAGCCCAGGAAATCATGCACCAAGCCGTTGGAATAAAAAGCGCCCCAGCGCAGGCCGTAGTTAGTCGTGCGCTCGAGGGTCTCGACCAGCTCGCGGGAGTCGTGGCCCGAGACGACGAAACTCACGGTCGGGAGGCGCATTTGACTATCTGCGGAGGGGGAGCCGAAGATGGTGAAGAGGGAGGGGCGGGAGGTTAAATACGTGAGAAGGTGCGTCTGGAGTTGCGATTCGTGGTCGCGGATGCTGGGCCAGAGATTGGTTTTATCGTCGGAGGAGGAGGAGGGAGTGCCGATGTACTCGACGACGGCGGAGATGGATTGGACGAGTTCGTAGCACCCGCTTCCTGGGTTGGTGTTAGTACTAAATATATGGGAATACCTAGGGGTAGTTATTTATAAGGTATATAGAGAGTAAAAAGGGGGAGGGGGGGTTCAGCTTGTCAACTCATCCTCCCCTCACATACCGAGACTAATCTTATTCTCAAGCGTAACATCTGGATTAAAAAAGTGACCTAGGGTACGCATCTGCTTTTGCGCCCTTCGACTGCCGTACAGCATCGCGATATGCGGGCCGTACACCTTATACCACGAGAGAACATAAAAATCCACACCCAGATCCTTCACGTCGACCGGCCTATGCGGGGCGTACGCGACGCCGTCGACGCACAGGAGCGCGTCGGGGACGGCGGTATGCACGACGTCCGCGATGGCTTTGACATCGTGGATCGTGCCCAACACGTTGCTCGCGTGCGTGCACGTCACCAGCCGCGTCTTGGGCGAGAGCAGGCCCTTCAGTTCGGAGGCGAACAGTACCGGGTTCGCGGAGCGGGTCGTGGGGGTCCACCACTTGAGCACGAGGTTCCGCCGGGCGGCGAGTTCTTTCCACGGCGAGATGTTCGCTTCGTGGTCGATGGACGAGACGATGATCTCGTCGCCCTCGTCGAATTCGAATGTGAGAGATAAGTTCCGCAAAAGCTGGGTGGCTGAGGGGCCAAATGCTGATATACGTACCTCATGTTAGTAACTACTAGGACACACATCTAGATACACACATTCCCATACTCTATTCTATAGGTATAAGGCGTATGCGTGTATACATGAGGACGTATGAGAGAAGAAAGCGAAACAGATAATCCTACCAATCTCGTCCTTCTCAGCATTTAGGAACTTGGCCCCAGCGCTCATGCCGCTATCGTATCGAGAGCTCGAGGCCTTGCTGGCCTTATAGCCGCCTCCAAACTGGACATTGCTCTTGATGAGGTAGTCACTTATACTAGTAGCTAATTAGAATGTGGGATGTTTCTTCTGTTTCTTTTGTACTCACGCTTCGACGACGGTGCCTAGCGTTTGGCTTCCACCGGCATTATCTAGGAAGACCTGGTCTTCTTTTAGGGCAGGGAACTTGGCTCTATCGGCTTCGACGTCGAAGGTAGCCATTTTTGTATACCTACCTAGGTACTTAATATATCTCCTATTTTCGTCGAGTTTCGTCTCGTCGGATCTAGATGTACCTGCCTCCTTTGCTTATTCTAGCTGGTTGATTTTAAAGACAGCTGGTATCTTTATTCTTTATAGTTCAAGGTCTCTCCTAGGCTTAGTCGTCTTGAACGACACAAATCAACTTTGTACTTTGTAAGTCCCTTCCAGCTTCCAGGTACCGAACCCAATGACCTGGAACTTAAGCGCTATAAAGTTTAGCTCTGACTTATGACGTTGGATGCGGGGCGTGCCGCGAAGGCGCTATGCGATCTACTTATACTATTTCTGGTATTTTAACACCCACTAACTTGGAAGCACTTACCGTACGAATTTGTAAAAGGTTGTATAGAAAAGAGCTAGCCTGGTGACTAACAAACACCTACCACAATGCGCTCTACTATGTATTTCCCATTCGACTTCCCCACTCAAACCGTTGGATTCTTTCTCCACATATTGGGGTAGCATGGCTTAGGCCTATACATAGTATAACTAGTTGATTTATAAACCTTAAACACTCGTGCATTGCGTGCCCTGGTGATCGAAAGGGCCAGTGCTATACGCAAGCAGTATTTAATAATAGTCATATCTTTCTCCCGGCGCTTCGTGGGTTTACACCGGCCTCGTGAAGACTGTATCTCGAGCCATGAGTGGATGTTGTATATACAATGTAGGCGCTTGCAAGCGGCAAGGAGCAGTGGCACAGTTATGCAAGTCATACCACGGGAAACGACCAACTAGACAGATATAACTATAGTATTGTGCCTCGTTACTTTCGATGTGCTCATGGAAGGCAGTTTGGGAGGGTCCCCTTCAGTCGAATGCATGTAGTACCTAAGACCGAGTCGTATACCCCCCTTTTCCCTTCACGTAACTCAGATAGTAATATACTAGTAAGTCGCACACTCAGGCAAGATATATCGGAATGTTAGGTAATTCTCCTTCCTTATTAACATCGTTCTCTCTGAGCTACAGGCGGCTAAGTGTTTTTAGCATTAACTGCAAACTCAGAAGGACCCGGGAAACCCCCCAACGATCCAACCATGCCATTCGTCTGGAGAGGGTTACTCTCCGCTGTCATGATCCAGGAATGGAAATAGTATGTCTTGTCGACTTATGGGACACCCCACTGGCTGAGAAATGCTTAGGATATGCATATCTGATATGTGATAGAATGATGAAGTAAAGTCGTATGGGTCAAGGTATGATACACATCTTGGAGGACGATCAAATCGATATCTGTACGGAGAGAAAATGTTATTTTAAGATGCATCGCTTTTATTTCAAGGTCGAAGATGAGTTTATTCTAGACGGTTCGTATATGGCAATGCTTCTCTTTGGACGGGCTTGACTCGGTGTGAGAGTCAACAAAAATGTTAGAATACCCATTGGGTATCTATGGGGCAACTCAAACGGAATTGGTGGAATTCTTCTACGATATAGCAGTCTCTGACCGGTATCAATTACAATTTGGTCCTGCGTACAGCATTTCTAATAGGAGAGTCTAGTTGCCGTGGGAGCAATAAGTCGACGGTAGGCAACATGAGTCGTCGACTCTACTCCAAGTGGTATTGTAAAGTCGAGTATATCGATCAAAAGAGAAGAAGAGGAAGCAAATAAATAGAATGAAAAGACATATCGATCACGATAGGGGAAGAACGATAAGAGCGGCATCGCTAAACGAACCGAAGTATATTAGGACCGTGGTTGGATGCGACTTGGGCAACCATAAGAGAGAGTTATAGTAGAGATGCCGCCCTCGGAACGCCTCCTGGCGTGATCCCGTTCCACACGAATAAGCCCTTTCCGCAGGAGCCCGTATCGATATAACACCAAGTTGGAACCCCGATTTATAGAGGATTGCCGGACATGACGGCTTAACCGCCAATTAGGGACCCCACCCTGGAGGCTTTGGAAAGGGGGGCGGGGGAAGGTGTTGAGCACGCATAGTGCATGATATATATATACATAATTTTGGTTGCATCTGTTCATGTATAATGAGACAAGAGACGAGATCCTGTACGTCGGGATGGATAGGCGCTTAAACTATCATGCAGCCAGATCAGTTATTTTTACTTGGTATTCTTAAGCCATTGGTGCTGAATAGTGAACAATATTGAAGTAGTGCAGAAGCCATAGCGGTAAGACAAAAATAGAGAGAGGAGTTATACATGGTTATACATAGTAGTGAAATAAGGGAATAGGAGGGCGGGAGAGTAAAAAATACCTACCTATACGAGGGGCAGTTTGAATAGCGGCATGAGTGGATCACTTCTAGGCTTAGGTAAACAATTTAGACTACCCAGCAGCCCAGCTACCCTACAAGTTTAAGCTCCACTGTGGATCGAGCGGTCAAGATCGCGCTAACTTTGATAGATAAAACTTAGATGGAGCGGCAGAGCGGGTCCCTTTTTTTTGCTGGTGTTGCTCCAGTTTCTTTTTTTTCTGCCGCTACTATTCCGCATTGAAAAGTGCGAGGTACTGATCATCAGTCGATCAGAAAGAATCCCGAAGTTTTATTTCTTATATTCATATTCCCGGTAGCTTTCCTATTCTTCAGCTTCAAATATTTCCAAACTTTACAATTGACTAGTTTCAATTAATATCAACCTAATTGGGATTATATAAAATGAAGCGCAAAGCCCAATCGCAACTTGTAGGTAACAAACCTGCCAAAAAGAAGTCCAAGAAGACTGGTAAGTTCGCCCAACCTGGCAGATGATACCTATCGTATCGTACGATCTGTTGGAAATTTGTAAAATTTTCGCAACAGGCAAAAGACTGACTGTCACTGCAGCACTGAGCGATGAGGAAGCTAGGAAAAGATTCAGGAAAGGGCTATTCGACAAAGACGTCTTAGACAAATACACCCAAGGATATGCCAAATCCACACCCTACAAACACAGCGTTATCCACGAGCTGATCGACGACACCTTACTACGATCCGTTCGCGAGGAGATCAAAGAGAATGTCTCCTTTACCCCTAAGGAGACTGACATCTACAAGATCCATCAGTCTGGTGATCTTGCGAATCTCGACGGCTTAGACGACGAGGCCCTAGCCCGGCTCCCTTCGTTGCTTGCTCTCAGAGACGCAATATACTCGCAGGCCTTCCGAGACTATGTCGCGCACATTACTGGATGTGGCCCCTTGAGCGGTAGGAAGACAGACATGGCTATTAACGTCTATACCCCGGGGTGCTATCTTCTATGTCACGACGACGTCATTGGCAGTCGCAAAGTCAGCTACATCCTCTATCTGACCGATCCTGACATTCCCTGGAAGCCCGAATGGGGTGGCGCACTGAGGCTCTTCCCCGTACAGACGATCAAGGGTAAAGATGGCGAGGTTGCGAAAACACCTGCGCCGGACGTCAGCAAGGTCATTCCTCCTGCTTGGAACCAGCTGAGTTTCTTCGCTGTCCAACCCGGCGAGAGTTTCCACGACGTCGAAGAGGTATACCATGCCGCATCCAAAGAGCAACTCCAGAAAGAGGGGGGAAGGGTCCGCATGGCCATCAGCGGCTGGTTTCACATCCCTCAGGTTGGAGAGCCCGGATACGTTGAGGGCGCTGAGGAGAAGCTAGCTAAGAACAGTGGTTTGATGCAATTGCAAGGAAACCCGGACCAATACGACTTGCCTCAATTGAAACCAGTCCCGGTCGAACAACCCCAGTCGAGCTCTCAAGAGGAATTCAACGAGGCCGACTTGGAGTTTTTACTCAAGTACATGGCTCCGACGTACCTTACCCCTGATACCCTCGAGCAAATTTCAGAACAGTTCGACGAGGAATCTAGCATCACGCTACCCAACCTCCTTGGCAAGAAATTCGCCAAGAGATTACGGGATTACGTCGCCGCTCAGGACAGCGCACCTCTACCAGAAGACGCTACGGAGATTGAGAAGGGGGCTTGGCGGGTAGCGAAGCCGCCCCATAAGCATCGATACCTATATCTTCAAGCCGACAGCGCTTCCACCAACAAGAAGAACGGAAAGTCGAAAAAGGACGACTCGCCTATAAGAGAGCTCCTAGAGGAGTTTCTCCCAAGTCCTCAGTTCCGTCGTTGGCTGCAGATCGCGACGGACTCCGTGATCGAGAGCCACAACTTCGTCGCCAGGCGCTTCAGACGCGGCAAGGACTACACGCTCGCTACGGGACACGAGGGCAAGCCTCGCCTCGAGCTATCCTTAGGCATCACGCCGACGAGCGGATGGGGAGACGAAGACGAAGAAGACGACGCCGAAGACGCTACCGCCGAAGAGAACGGCGAAGGTGCTGAAGACGCCAAGACCAACGGCAAGGGCAAAGGTAAAGCGAAAGCCAAGTCCGACGCCCCGAAGAAGAATAAGAGCGGCAAAAAGGGACCCGAGCCCGAAGAGGAAAAAGAAGAAGAAGAAGAAGAGGTAGAAGTCGGTGGCCACGAGGTATACATGGCGGGCGACGACGACGCGGCGAACGAGGACGCGGCGGTGTACAAGTCGAGCGGAGACGACGACAACATCCTGTTCTTCCAGGCTCCCGCGTGGAACAAGATGTCCCTCGTCCTGCGCGACAGCGGCGTGCTCAAGTTCGTCAAGTACGTCAGTCGAAAGGCTCCGGGGGATAGGTGGGATATTACCGGTACGTTTGAGGTTGAGGAGCGGGATGATGATGAGGAGGAGGGGGATGAGGGAGAGGGAGAGGACGAGGAAGAAGACGAAGAGGAGGGAGAGGGAAGTGGGGAAGGAGAAGATGGGGGAAAAGGGGGTAAGGCTGAAGGGACGGGCATCTTGGATGATACGGAAGAAGAGTGGAATGGCTTTTCTCCGTCCGAGGATAGCGATTCCGATTAAGTTGGCCAGCCGGTTTGCTAGCTGTCTGGTCATCCATCATACCAACGAACAGTTGAAGGGCTAAGGTTAATTTCACCTAAAACGCATATAAACCATCCATAGCATAGCACCGTCTCGAGACGTTTAATCTAGGAGATAGGCCAGGAGATACCAGGAATGATAATGACGATTGATGATAATCCTTGGGTGATAACCTGAATTCAACGCTGTCTAAGCGATATATAATAATAATAATATCCTCGCCCTAGCTGAGGAGACGCAACGCTGTCTAAGAGAAATGACTTGTTTGCCTGCTCGAGGTCCTTCCCCTCCTCAAACTCTCCACGCCAATATGCCTAATCAAATTCAGTCCAGTCCAGCCCAATTCCAAGTCTTGAATTCATCCAAGGTGCATAGATATATAAAAATGCCATGCCATGTCATATACCAGATATTCATCATAATCATCATCGTCATCCCATCTCCCTCATGCCAAAAAAGCGTAATCCAACCCAAACCAACAAATCCAGCTATGCTAGCCTACCTATATATCGGTAAACTCCCATGCGCCATTCCATGCCCAACCCAAGCTCCCTAAACTAACGATACGATGTCATGTAAACATGGGTATGATAGATGCAGGCAATCATCATGACCAAACCCAAACCCAGACCCAAACCCGCTCTAGGTAACTAACTACAAGGCTAAAAAAAAGGAAAAAAAGGACGATGGTTCGTTAAAGATCCCTCAGCTCGTCTATACCCTTCGTGCTGACGAACGCGTGTCGGAGGAAGTGCAGCCACACCTTTGTGTCTTTCCTCTTCTTGTGGCCTTTGCCGTGCTTCTTCTTCTTCCCCTTCCCCTTCTTCTTGTTCTTCTTCTCTACTTCGACCTCTTCCTCCCCCTCCTCATTGTCATTGTCATCCTCGTCTGATTCTAATTCTAATTCTGATCCCGAGTCTTCCACTTCGCTATCTTCTTCAGCTTCATACTCGCCATCACCAGCGCTATCGTCATCGTCGTCGTCATTATAATTACCCTCGGGATCCTGCTCAGCAACAACAAGCCCCTTGGCATCATCACCATCGCCCGAAGTCTGCCCGATCCTATGCGCGAGTCGCAGCAAGCTCCTGACCGTCAGGTCCTTGAGCTTGTAGATCTTGTCGTCGAAGGTCGTGTATTCCACTTCGAAGGCGAACTGCCTCGGCTTGGGCTTCGCGTGCTTCGGTTTCTTGTCCCGGTGTTTGCCCGAGTTCCAGCTCCAAGACGACACCCCGTCGTCTCCGCCTCCACCCCCCTGCTCCTCTTCCTCTTCTGTGATGTCGTTGTTGATATACGTCAGGTTCGCGTAGTACTGGGTAAATCCTTTAAGAGTTAAAGGCTGGGGGAAATATGCCGGGCCCGGTGGTGTTCCCTTAGCTGGCGGTTCCGGGATGGGGACTTCAGGACCCTTTGGATTCTCGGCATCCTTGTTCCCCTTGCCTTTCTTATTTTTCTTCTTTTCGGTTTCCCGGCTTGGTTCCTCGCGAAGTTCTAGTTCGCGCCATTCCGAGTCGGGAGGAGAGGAAGAACCTTGCGCATTCAAGGTGCGCATCGTATCTACCCATGTCGGGGTATCTTCCAGGCCAGTTATATTGTATTCGAAAACACGGAGACTTGGGAAGTAGTTCGGGACGATGCTGGGGCTGATGAGGGTCAATTGATATCGCTCCGCAAAAGGACCGCCTAATTTGGCTTTCCCGCCCTTCTTGCCTTTCTTGCCCTTATTCTTCTTATTTTTGTTCTTCTTCTTTTTCCCTTCAGATTCTTCAAGGTCCTGGTCTTTAACCGGGTCTGGCAATTTGGACCAATCCTCTCGCAATTCTACAAGATAATCTTTACTCGATTTTATCGAGATATCGTCTTCTATCGTCTCGCGGGTATTCGCTTGTTGAAAAGACTCACTTCCGATATAGGAATAGTCGATGTCCTCGGTGTCTTGAAGTAGGAAATGATCTATGTTCATATGTCCGTATAGAGAACCAACAATAACGTCGCGATATTGCTGCAACCAAAGAGTGTACTTCTGCCAACATGTTTCATCCCATAGTTGCTTGCCGGAAGTCCTAGCAGGCGGGACATGGCCTATAAGAATAGCCTTCATCCCGCGGTCTCGCATGAACTGCAATTGGACTCGTAACCAGTCAAAGTGCTTGTATCCAGGTTCGCTTGGATGCGCACAGTCGTCAACCCCCGCGTTGCGATCGAAAAAGTAAATGGTATTAAGACTAAAGACGGCAAGCTTGTCGGGGATAACCTCAACATAAAACCAGCCACCGTACTCAAATGAGTGCCGCTGCGCTTCGGGAATGAAGTCCTGCCAAACATTGGTATAAGTCTTTAGAATCTTATTTGGCCCTGGCAATAATATGTTGTGCGGGTATATATCGTTGTTGCCGAAAGTCGGGACTACTGGGACTACGAGCCCCTTGTTATCCGAAAATGTGGTGACAAAAGCATCAGCAATTTTCTGGTTCATGGCTAAAATTTCCTTGTTATGGCGGGGTATTTCCTCATCGCTATCATGGCGGGCTGAGTCGCCGGTCCAAACCACAAAATCAATTTCGTCTTTTAAGTTGGCGGCAACCCAATTGAGGGTCGCGTCGACCAATTCTAACGGGGAATCGCAATCAGAAGTTTCTGCGCCGTAAAACCCAGCCGGGCCGTGGCCTCGGTGACATGCGATATTCTCTTCCGTGGATGTATGAGCTTTGTAGTATTCGTCTGGATGTAGATCTGCGCAAGGTAATGAGACATTAATGTCCTATCTTAATGGGGGGGAGCTGCTTTGGAGATGATGGGGAATGTAGTATGGGATTTTGAGAAGTGTATTGTCTTATTACCATACCTGTAATATGGAGAAATCTGCCGTGCAACTTGCGCTGCGACGTAGGCTGCCCGCTGTCGTAGCTTGCCTGTTGCAGTACGTATTGAGGCCCGGTAGTTGGAGCGCCTATGACGAAAGTCGCCAATAGGCTGGAAATCCCCCATAACCAGGTTACCTTCTTCATCGCCATCCTGGACCGTTTACGATGCTCCAAGAGCTATAGAGGGCAAGGCAAAATGAAGAAGAAAGATGGCATAGATAGGTGATAGTCACTCTAGGTAGCTTATAGGTTTGACAAGTTGAAGAGAAAGGGATATTATATTTAATGTTGCCGTGTTCAATGTTTTAAGAATTCCGTCATTACTCGCCGTAGTTTCGAGAAGCGTACCAAATGATCGTCGGCGCATGCAAAAACAGGGCTAGCTGGGGCCGCTCAGGGGATCCAATAAAACGGGCTGACTGGCTGTAAAAAAAGATTGCTAAAGAACCTTTTCTGACCAAAGATTCGGTGGCCAAGTGGGTAAAACGGAATGATGGTAAGTCTCGAAGAGGTAGTCTAGATACTACGTTCTGACTCTTAAGTGAAGTTATTGTTCGTTTTTTTTTTGTTAGTGAAGAAGAAGAAGAAAAACAGGAATCATGACATTATTCGGTAAGATTCCCCAACATCGTCTTCCTGGTAGTCCCTTTAAAACCCTAGGACAAGCGGAAGCAGCTAGTTAGCTCATGGGGTTCTTAAATTAGTTATTAGCGATAGTTAGTTTTCCTATCCACGAGGCTGAAAACTGACAATAGGCGACGAATCATAGCTCCGGATTCCGCACGTGTAAGAAGTTAATCGTGGAGAGACGAGCTTGAATAAGTGAGACATCGTGGGACATAACAACCTAGGCGCCACAAATATGGCCACTATACGGGCACACGACAGTGATCAGCTTTCCACACTTGCCTAAATAGCATGCACTCCCCGCTCTCGACCGTCTCGGCCCCAGGGTTTGTTAAAGATCACTTGCGCTGGGGTTGAACTGCAGGAAGCCATCACGAAGCGTCAGGTGGAGATAGCAAGGGGGGGAGCCGACGGTGATGGAAGGGAAAGATCCTTCGGTCAATCTGCCGCTCTACTTTTCATTACTACTGTTCTCATGTTCGTCAGAACGCAACCAACAACCAAGTGCCAAGTGCCTAAATAGCCATCAAGGTTGTTGTTTATGGGAAAGTGAATGGCATAGAGATTCGGTGGTTTTCTTTGGTTCGAGATTTCTTAGTCGTTCCTTCAAAGCTAAATGACGTCAGGCTCACCACACCAAAGTAATATTATGGGCATTGGGCAATTCCGTAAAGTCGTAAAGTGCCCGACTGAAGTATGTGACTAATAAGTCACATTCATATCGATGGGCTTATTTATTGCCCATCTTTAAAATCGCATCTAGAATGCTTATCGAGAATTTTAGGTTGGTAGTAACCGGAAGGTCGGAATCATGTAGAACAATGAAAAGGGATTGTTTTGTTGAACAAGAGAGTTGCATACATAAAATTTCAAGTCTGTATGGACGTATTGATGCTACCTGTACCTAGGTAGGTTAGGTACTCAAGTACGTACAAGTGTTGGAATTGGGATATGTGCAGAGCACTCCCAAATTTGACCAATGATAATCCCTTAACATTCTTAAGGGTCTTTTGATCGACTTAGCATTAGGGCCTGTTACGTAAGAAGCAAGGGTCACGTAACCAATTTTCTGTGAGGGATGAATTTTTACTCGTTTTCTTCTTTTTTCATACATTCATCAGCACAGCCGATTCTATGATTTGCTCAGAGACGAATAATCTTCACCGTCTTCAAGGCTGAGTCTAGTGCGAGAATATGACATGCCGTTCGTTTGAGGGAATACGATATTTGCCAAACATCGGATTCCTATGGTAATCCTCGGCGACATTACGATTTGCAGTCTGCTGGCTGCATTTCTTAACAGTCTCTTGCGTCTCTTGCGTTTCATTCGATTCTCTATTGGGCGACACGTGTCATCGGATACGGCGTTTCGCTTCATCAAATGCACGCAAAGTCGGTTGGATTATATTGTGTCTGCTTCATACTACTAGCTCTGTGACCATACCCAATTAATGATTTTGAGTAATAAGTCGTCTCTTATTGCAGAAAATCATTGTCGTCCCTCAGGCCAGGCCCCTACTTATAATACGCTGCAACTAGTCATTCCTCCGAGCGAGGGGAACATCTGTTTCTCCCCCTTGCAATAAATACCATTGATTCGCACCCTAATGTCTTCGACTTGTCTTATAACCCTTGTGGAATCAGGAGACTCTATGCTTGATCAAAGACATATCTGTCGATCTCGTTGAGTTTTAGGTCATCCTCTTCTTTGACAAGTTCATATGTTCTATACTCTACATTTTCATATTTCGGCCCATTGATGAGTCTCCTTAAGAACCCCGAGTGCGTGACAACGATGATGCACTTTTCGGGCCGTTCAAAGAGCCATTGTTTGGCAAATGATGCCCTCCTCTTGAAGGCCTCTTCTGAGTTTTCGTATAGACCGGTCTTCTGCGGATAGACTGGGTCTAAAGTCGAAAAATCGAAGTCGGGCCATTCATGCTTGATCACTTCGGGATCATCACCAATGTCACAAGGTTTATCTGTGGTTTCCTGCATATGATTAGCATCCGAGCGGACAGGTTTTTCAATGACGCGCTATGCATACCTGCCATTCCGCACGAACTTCGGTAGGGACTCCACGGTTTCGAAGCCACTGTAGGCCGCATTGCACCGTCTGCAACGTCCTTCTTAAGGGGCTCACAACTATGCGGCACTGTTCCGGGGCAAAGTCGAAACTCGACTCGAGTTTTTCTGCGAGAGCTTTGCATTGTTCTATACCCTTTTCAGTCAGGACTGGATCCGGTAGCTCCCATTCGTGTGTCTATCATGTTAGGCCCCTATTATTCCACAGCCAAATTGATTGGGGATGACTTATCAGCAATATCTATATAATCTGTTAGAAGTTGCTTCAAAGGTAGAGTACGAGGTAAATACTTACTGTGTAGAGCTTCGCCGTGGCGTATTAGAATGATAAGTGGTGCCATCTCGAATAAAGCAACCGACTGTGTAGGTAGGTACCTATGTTTTAGGCAAAGGGATGGAGCAAAAAACAGACCGGGAGTTCCTTGGTATGCTCTTCGGATCGCTGCATATTATATACCTTCTACACTGGATGCAAATGAGTCACAATATAGATATCCGACACCCTTTTGTTGTTTTCCAGCATCAGACAAACTTATATCTTGTAGCCTTAAAAACAAGAGACAGACTATTAAGTGAAGCAGTTTGACTTGTGAGGAGCAGACTTTTTGAAGCTTCATAATGTCACGGTTTCGTTATTCATAAAAAGCCGAATCCGGATTAGCGTAAACGATGAACCCCTTTCGGCTGGCTTTGTTACAAGTTATTGCAACCAATCACACTTGTTCTCATCGGAGATACCGCCACAGACCAAGAGTTCCACATAATACTAGAATCTCATTCGTTGAGATAGATGAGGTCCATGTACCTACATCATAGTGTAGCTGCCTACTGCCTAGTTATTACATATATCTTCGAGCCGCATATCTTTGCCACATATCTTTGAGCCAAGGTTAAACTCACCTAACCATCTAACCATTATATCATAACCGTAGATCGATCTTTTTCTAGAGGGGGGCATTTGACATTCCTCATGATTTGTTCTGCTAGAAATGAGTTTGAGGTCGATCTTAGGCGGCTCCGGCCGGGTTAAGAAGTCTTCTAAGAAGCCCAGCATAAAACGGTCTTCGTCTTCATCTTCGTCTTCGCCATCCGCATGGACTTCTTCGCTGCCTCGTCGCAAACCTGTACCCAAACGTGGGAAATCGTTAGCAGAAGATGAAGATGGTGTGGACGATTTCTTTAATGATAAACTCGATGACTATGGTCTTGTCAAAGCCCTAGCGACCGATTTGAATTTGCGCGACGTTCCTCAAGCCATCTTGTATATCCGCAGCCATATGTTCTCCCCCATGCCCGAACAAGCCGCTGGAATGAACTCTACCAGGATCGCGGAAGTCCTCAACTATCGGAAACGCCTACCTCCGGTCGTCACCGTGCCGCATATACAAGCCCTACTCTCTTCGCCAAGCGCGGTAGAGCGGGAAATCGCAGAGCTCGCGCGCAGTGGATTTCTCCGCAAAGTCGTCGTTCCTGGGAGGGGAGACATAGGCGAGACTGTGATACTCGCCGCAGACTTTGAACAGCTGGTGAAGGACTCCACGATATTGGATAAGGATGTCAAAGATAGCCTGGCTAGGCTTCTAAAAGAGAATCCGGGGGTTCAAGCACTTGGGCCGAATGCGCTTCGTGCGCCAGAGGTAGATCAACTTATCAGGGCCGGGTTTCTTATAGCAAACAACACTGGTGCAACGCACTATGGCTCTGCGTCCCATAATACGAACCTGTATTCGCGACCGGAGGACAAGGTAACACTTACATCCCTCGATATTATCTCAAAACAACCAACCGGCTCGCTTGGCGCCGTAGGGGGTGAGGGTGTAGTCCATAAGGCTGGCGGGAATGGCGGTGGCTTACTTGGCGCATCTCGGCTCGACGCCACCGGCACCGAGCTCCGACTTGCCGTGCCTGGAAACGGCACATTCCTAAAGCTTCTGTCCTCTGCGCTCGAACACCTCGTCTCCCTGCTAGGCAAGTCGCGGTTCCGCGAAGCACCTGAGACTGTGCTTAGGGAGCGGTGGAACGGCGGGATCGCCAAAGAAGAAGCGCACTACGCGGCTAGGCGCTCGCGGGGAGAGTTCGCGAGTATCTTACCTGGACAGACCAGAAAGTGGAGGCAGTTCTACGGGCTTTCGTTCGACTGGATCTTGCAGGAGGCGGTCGGGTCTGGCCTGGTCGAGGTTTTCGACACCCGAAGCGTCGGCCGCGGGATACGTGCCCTATGAGGTCTTGCGCGACACGCCCCTCCCATACCTACCGGATGAAATCGCCACCCCTCGCCGGCCAACTGTTTTGGGCACACGCCCGTTCATACAACACTGCCTAGAGTAACCAAACCTATCTGGGGTTCGATACGGCACGATCGGATCCGGTAGTATATATTTTGATGCAAGAGAGAAACATCATACGATTGGGGCGACGATGGAGTTTCCAGGTCGGTTTGCTTGACTTAGCGCTTGCCCAGGCACACAAAGAAAACGCAAGGTTTCAATCATGGCGTTCTAGAGTTGAAACCCCCACAAACCCGGTCATTTAGTGGATGAAGCCGCCAATGCAAAAATGAACAGCGCCACGACACTGCCAGAACTAACGCTATGATCAGACGGGGTATGAGCATTTGGATGAGATGGTATACATTGACTAGAAACCCGCGAGCAGAATATGTGAAACAGTAAAGGCTGAAACGTAACGGCGGCCCCGGTATCAGATTGATTCGCGGGATCCCCGGTAGATCAGAAGAGTTGTGTTGTGATCACTCCCAAGCATCAACGGTGATCTGGAGGGCCACACCCGAAATAAGAACGCTTACACTTACATACCTAGTAGATAGAACACGATCAACTGGGATGATCAGGTGGCGCTCAGAGAGCGATCAACTGGCATGCATTAAGTACATATTTAACATACAAGATACATGCATGAAGCAGTCAGTCAGTCGGTCACATTTTCTGACACGCCTATATCTTGCATCTGCAGAACAAGAAACGATAAATCAAACGCGACATAGCCAGATTCCCGGGAACAAACCAAAAAAGAAAAACACTAAACAAGGCCATGAGACTCTCCGAGCAGGGCGAACGATCAATCCCTGTATGCTGGTGCGTAGTGTGTGTACATACGCACATACGTATTGAGGGACAATCTAGACAAGGACCCTTCGGAAGATTCCATGATCCACGCGCCTAGCATATATGCAAGCTCTTTATGCGTTCTCTCTCTCTCTCTCTCTCTCTCTCTCTCAGAAGTTGAAACGGCTGTACGACGCGACTGGTAGCAGCCTCATATACACGGTAGTAAGGTATATGATATACCCTTACCTCTATCGCTGATACAATAGGGGTCTAGAGGCAAGACTGGGGCGGCCCGTATCCTCGGATGCGTTAACTACCTATAATACAATGGATATGATTAATTATCTAGGTACTTACCTAACTTACCTACCTATCTCTTGCTTACCTAGTACTTCGTAATTAGAAATAGATTATATCATCCCTATTATCTCCACGCTTTGTAAAGAAGTAAAGAAAACATCGAGAAAAAAAAAAGTCAGCGTCGGTCTTTTATTTTTAGCTTAACTGCCCTAAAAGGCGATTATCAACGAGATGATGGCATTGCAGATCAGTGGCATGATTCCTATTGTAAAATGCATACCAGGTACCTACCCTACCTAAGGTTAGGTAGGTTAGGTAGGTAGTCGTATATAGTAGTACATACGACGTTAGAATCGACCAGTATTTTTCACATGCCGCTCATACCTAGGTATGCATTATATAAAAAACTTGGATAAACCCCTATCATTATGAAACCCGCCTGGGCAGATAGGCTATATATTAGGACGAAGATAATTTTTAACTCATTTCATAAGGGAAGGGGTCTTATCCAACACTGCTTATTAGGTACCTTAGGTAAGCATATAAGCCTAGGTGTAAATGTATTTTGCAAGTTTAATAATAATAAATGGTATAATACGGATAAACGAACCCTTAGCAATAACCCACCCCAATGGACTAACATAACCATATGCAATCTAAATGGAGTTTTCGCTTTGACGATAGGAATTTTCCGTCATTGGGGGACCCAGGTTCATAATTCGTTTTTTATACCCCCATTCCTCTCGGTTGATGAGCCATAAAGGCAGTATTCGGTATGTTATTTCTGTATTGTATGTGTGTAGATTAGAGAACGGGAGTAAAGAAAGAAAGCCCAGTATTTTTTTCCGAAAAGAAAAATTCCCCTGACGGTTGGTTCCCGAAAATACTTGGCTCTCGGTTGGTTGCGCAATGAGCTAGCTGCGCATCTCAACCGCATAATAAGGCTTCGTTACCATAGTAGTTGGAGGAGCGGGATGATGAAAATGCTCGTGCTTTTACAGGCGGAGACCGCAGCGCGTAATTCCAATATCACAGATTAGAGCGTGCTAATATTGCGTCGCTGCACAGACTGTCAGATTTAATCACGTACATATCTCCATGGTATGAAAATGTGGTACGTAAAAGTGGGATGAAGTGCATAGGCGGAGCCCCTTGTACGGTATAGTCCATGCAACCTATTCCTTTACAGAGTAATGAAAGTTGAGCGATCAGCACATTAGAGCACATAGAGTGCTTACACGATGCGCGGGCACAGACCCAAAAAATCTTACCGAAGCGATCAGCTGCGAAGCGATAGCATGGGTGGCTAAATTCCGAAATTACCATCATTATCGGTTGTTTCGACGCATATTGAATCATTGAAGATCTCAAACCAATGAGCCAATGTTATGTACGATAAGTACCACATGGCTGAGCTGTGATGAGAAAAACTAGTGAATGCGCGTAAAAAGGACCCCTGAGCTCAGATTAACGGTTGATCGTGGGGGAGGCACAGATGGACACTTAAAAGCTTTTTTGCCCAAATGATTTCTCCCCACTTTGCCATTCGCCGTCATACTTTAGTAGAATTTCTCTCGAAACCAACTGAGGCTTAGACGGTCTTAGAGATTTGTAGTAGTCTGTCAATAGTCTCTCTCATGCTGCGTACCTACCTGCTAGAGGTAGGAAAAAAGAGGTAGAAAAAAACGGCAGTTCGAGGTCGGCAGCTGTGCCTGCGTAGGTGAAGTTCCATTGCATCTGCAACTGTAACTCCCGCTCTTGCAGGAGGTCCAAATATCGTACCTAGGCGGGTATGTAGCCTGTTTGGGTCAACGAATACAATGCCTATTACTGATCCGCAACAAAGCATGAATGCAAGTAACTCACATACGCACAAAATAGCGGATCATGGGGAAGGAACCGTCAACGACTTGGGAATGGGGGATAAGCGTATTTCGATGAGATATGTAACGTTTATGAAGGAAAAAAAAAACCAAAAAAAAAACCTGATCTCTTACGATTGCTAACATCCAAAGTACCGAAGGCATTGTCCAAAGGGGAAACTATTCCGCCAGTAATTGGCGTAGCCAGGGGTCCGATATAGCCCTGTTAGCCCGGCAGAAAGGTTTGGCAGCTCTCTCGTGGAAGACACGTTCAATTGACGATTCTCGACGAGTGGTAGCCCTACCAACTAGCGCACCTCTCTGATATGATAATAAAGGGGGTTCGACCAAGGTGCTAAGTCAAGAAGTCTGAGAATTGTAATTTGTGGCATTTTAGCAGATGTTTGTCCTGCCCTGTAACTTGTAAGAGAAGGGAGAAGAAAAGCAATGCCAATAGTGGCGTTAATGGTTTCCAATTGTCTTTGATTCTAGAGCTAAGCAGCTCGCGCCAGCCACAACCGAGAGACCGTTTTTTTGCTCGGAATTGCCACGAGCAAGTAAGACATGAATGTAAATGTGCGTAGGAATCGCGCAAGCTGACGAGATTTCAGAGCCAAAGAACTGTGAATGGAGGCGAAAGAAGATCACCTAAACTCGAGCCTGTTGGATATTTCAATACGCGGAAGCTGTGTACTATGTACTTTCTCTTCGAATAGAAGACGAAGCCTCTATCACAGACGACAGGGGGGGCCTTGTCGGCGAAAAGCGTGCTTGTCCAATCCCTGGATCTGGAGACCATACTTGGAGAATGGCCCGTGATTGTGCAAACCCCTACAGGCAATCTTGGCTCTAATTTGCATCTGAAGTACTGTATTGGTCCAGGTTGTATCAGGGGTTGGTTAATGAGGGAAAGGATGAAAATACTAGTTGTACATCCTAGGCCGTCATTTGGTTGCTGTAGCCTGTAGCCCTGTGATACCTAATAGACAACAATTGTTCGTTCTCCTTTTTTCGTCTCGAGTCGTGCTGCATCATGGGAGGGAAATTCCTCGTGGTCGTGGTCAAAGAAGAGAAGGAAGAAGTAAGTTGAAGGTTAGCCGCGTTAAATATTGCGGATTACTTACATTATGTATGTATCTTAAGTAGGCACAAAGGTAGTAGATACCTAGTGGAAGTACAATGCCTAGCTTGACTTTTAAGGTTGTCTAGTACATGTACTTGAGCACAGAGCTTGGCAATTGCATAGAGGTACTGAATGTAAGCAGCTTCGACCTTGATGTACACCGACAGGTTAGGTATAATATGTGCAACTTAAATATTACAAGGTACTTGCCTACCCTAGAGTTGAGCTTCTGGCTTTGCCATCCTCTTTCTCATCCCACCCGAACCCGCGCCAAACCTAAAGCAGCCCAACCGTTAAAAGCCTTGACCACTTTTCAAGGTTGGTAACTTCCATAGAGACGGCAGGACGGATGGGAGCATTGAGAGAAAGCACTTTCCACAAGTTACAACCTATCTCGTTCCTCCTCTCCGCTGGGAGTTCGCGAACCTTAGCTTCCAAACTTTTGCGAATACTCTTTTGAGAGCGTTCATTGTTCTGCTTGAGGTAGCTTCTTTCGTTTTAATTCACGTACTTACCGAACGTACTTGCTTAATTTTGTAACCTTGGATACCTCTCTCTTTTTATTTTGATTTTTATTTTTTACTTTATTTTCTCACATACCCCAAAATCTACTTCTGCGATACCTACCTGGACACACCTGGACACACGATCTTTTGCTTTTTCTTTCTTTTTTTTTCATCTTGCCCTCAAAATAGAAACGACTACGCGGTGTCTCTGAGAACTCGGTGTCTCGGCTCTATCATACCATAAGGTCCTCAATCAAGAAAACTAGATTACACAGCAAGCCGCGACAAAAGTACCAACCACCGATCTAGTCTCATTTGTTCTTTGTATCCGTTACCGTCCCGTGAAACCAGGAATTGCTGGATCCTTCCACCGTCGGTTTCCGGTAATTTGTTCTTTGACTTCTAAGATACCCCCCCAATTGAAGACGTCTATCATTCTCGATCGGGATTCGACACTGCGATACCAATCGTACATTCACATATCTATCTGCTTAGCTTACGGATAGAGTAAGTCCATCTGTTAGCATATCTTTATACATAACGTAGGGTCTCTTACAACATTTGAATATCTGACGTATTGACATCTTAGAGTAACTTAATACCTTCAAAAACGCTGGCTTAGATTCTTGCTCATACGTGGGGGATTCTCGGGTAACTTATCTTACTGATAATACATTTCGAGATCTCTCCTGAGTTTCGAGGGCGCATCGCTTGGTTACCGCAGGAGAATCGGCTCGGCCCCCTAATTATACTAATCGCTACTGAACCCCAATCGCTTTTTCGAAGACCGAAAAAAAAACCGAGGCGCGCGCATTCCGAAAATTACCTGTCGGCGAAGACTTCAAGTATGAGACGCAAAGGATGCTTCTGATCTTATAATCTCCCATTCGACAATTCGAATCTCCGATCCGGTTCGCCAGCGATATTCGATAGGTGCCCCGAACTTCGCGAGATCGCATTTGATACGAAAGTAACGCCGTCGAACGAATATTTTGCTCGTCTTGTGCTAGGGCATAGACATTCTACATCATTGTCATCATGGCGACCGCATTGCCTAGGTCGCGTGCTCCGAATAGCACATCTGGAAGTACTCTTCCAGTTCTACCCGTCCCGAAGACGCGAAAGAGCACCGGTGGCTTAGCAACTCCCAGCGGCACTCCAGCCTCGCCCAGAAGTGGCCTTCGAGCACCCTCAGCAAACACATATTCCGGGCCTCCTCCGTCCCCTGCGCCCACCACGGCGCTACCGATCCCAAAGAGCACTCATGGAGTAAATAGCGCTGGAAAGTCAATTAGAAAAACTGTCAGTATAAACTCGTTCCCTCAACCACCGAGGCGCACCGCAACCCACCCTCCGAGTCCCTTGTCTGGATCGATTACACCTGCGAGAAAGGCGCGCACCCCGCAACCAGCGTCCAAGTTAGCTACAGGGAGCAGCGCCCCGAGCTTATTAAACGGTGGCGCAGATGGCAAATCGCTTATGGGCGGCGCTGGTGCGAGACACTCAGATGGGTTTATTAGTGTTTCATCTCCGCCGCATAGTCGAAGTAGTTCCGCTCAGGATTCGTACTCGACATCGGCCACAACCTATGATGATCTAGCCGATGCGGCGGGTACTTCAACCAGCGACAGACATAGTTCCAAAGGAATTGATGGTAAGGGGAACGTCATTGTTAGTGTTAGGGTTAGGCCAGACGCCGGAGGCAACGGTAACAACAAAGCCGAAGGCGAATGGATGGTAGATGGCCGTCGGTCATTAGTAGCCTATCGCGGCCGTGAGGGAGGCGATTATTTTTATGGTGAGCGTGCTAGAACCCCGTTAAATGTTGACCACGAGACTGATGAGCTTCTAGATAATGTCTTCACGACACATGACGATAATAGCAGAGTCTATGATCACATTGCTAAACGCTTAGTTCGTCGGGTTATGGAAGGATATCACGGTACCGTATTTGCCTACGGTATGACGGGTACTGGAAAGACTTTCTCCATGCAGGGAACTGCATCGTCACCTGGCGTGATCCCGCTGGCCATAACGGACATTTTCTCATATATCCGCGAAACTCCATCTCGGGAATTCCTGCTACGTGTCAGCTATCTAGAAATTTACAACGAACGAATTCACGATCTCCTAAGTATGGCCAGCGGCAATGGTGCTGGTGCGGGCGCGCAAGAAGAGATCAAGTTACGGGAAGATAGCAAACGAGGTGTTTATGCTACACCCTTGAAGGAAGAAATCGTCCAGAGCCCGACTCAACTCTTGCGAGTGATCGCCCGTGGTGATCAAGCACGAAGGACGGCGAGTACGCAGTTCAACGCCAGGAGTTCACGAAGTCACGCGGTCGTCCAGATCGTTGTTGAGAGTAGAGAGCGCATTCCTGGCGGCTCTGGCGCAGAGAGCAAACGCTCAGGCATACTTCCAGGTGGTGTTCGTGTTTCCACACTCAGCTTAATCGATTTAGCTGGCTCAGAAAAGGCTGCCGAATCGAAGGAACGCCGGGCTGAAGGTTCTCATATCAACAAAAGTTTGCTAACGCTAGGCACGGTCATATCTAAGCTTTCAGAAAACAAGGAAAGGGAGGGCAAAGGAGGAGATAAGGATGCAAAGCACCTACCCTACCGAGATAGCAAGTTAACGAGACTTCTCCAAGGAGCCCTCTCTGGAAACTCGTTAGTGAGTATTCTGTGTACAATCCAGACGGGCGCAGCCAATAGTGCGGCTTCCGCAAATAGTCATGCGACCGAAACGTTGAATACGCTCAAATTCGCTTCAAGAGCCAAGAACAGTATTGTCAGCCACGCCAAACGAGCTGAAGAAGCCCTCGGCGCCGGTGGAGAGGGGGGAGCGAGAGTTCTCCTGGAACGTTACCGGATGGAGATTCAGGAACTCCGAAGTCAGCTGGAGGCACAGGCCAAGTCGGGTAACAACAAAGTCGAGGACGAGGAAAAGGAGAAAGACGAGGAGGAAGAGCTCGCTCGGAAAAAGGAAGAGGAAGCAAGACACGAGGAGCAGATGTTGGAAATGCAACTTGCACGCACGGCGCTGAAGGAGCGTATCGATCATTTGAACCGATTAATCCTCAGCTCAAAGTCCACAGGGGTTAACACAGGTGGAACGTTTAGTTCGCTTGGAATGCACCCTAGGTTTTCTCAGGGGTCTTTGCGAACATCGATTGCCACATCCAACGGTGGCTACTCGATACTGGAAAGACCGGGTTCTATAATTTCTTCGTCATCCACCATTGGTCGGAGATCAATCAGGAAACGACGCTCTAACCTAGATGATCAGGCGTCAAACGACGAGGAGGATAGTATAGGTGAATACGGTGACGGCACGGCGTCCTTGCAGGCACAGAATCAGGCATTACAGGCAGATCTCGCCGATAAGAACCGATATATCGCCACCCTTGAGAAACGTCTCTTACAAGCACGGCGTGCTAGCTCGTCACGGACCTCGAGTGGATTCTCGGCGCCGCACAAGGGCATTATGGTCGGAGAAGATCATAGTGTTTCTACGCTGATTAGGGAGAAAGACGCCGAGATCGCGGAGTTGAGGGCGAGGCTCGAAGACAAAGACCGAATGTTGATAGCTCTGCGCAACGCAGCTCGGTCGAGGGATGCCGCCGAGGGAATTGATACTTCGAGGTGCGAGATTAGGTCCTCTCTCCTATACGAACAGGCAGCAAGCCCACCGCCCCAAGGGGCTCTCCCTGATCCACCATCTAAAGGTCAGTCACCGATTAGAAAAAGGACGACGAGTGTCGATGAAATGAGCCGTATTTTGGATGAGATGATCCAGGATAGAGTCGAAGCGGGCCAACTCGTTAGGGGCGCTCGTGGCAGCGTTCAGGTGGCTAATGATGGAAAGAGCGAGATCGCAGCCGAGTCGAATCATACGGAACTTGAACCGTTACGACAAAGCCCAACATCGCTATTAAACGAGTCAAAAGTCGTGCTGGAGGCGTAGATATCCCCATGCGCGATTCAGGAAGGAATATCTATCATTTTTGCGAATTAACGAGGCGTTCCGGTTAGGCTCTGCTTCCGCCGTTTGTTTTTATACCCTATCAAATTCATCTGTTTGCTACGCTTTGGAGCCTGTGGAACGTGAATGTCCTGACGAAGGGAAGGAGGTTGACGGATCATTTCAGCCGTTTCTAAGTCGTCGGAGACGATGATTATGTTATTGTTATCATCAATACCTATGTACCGAAAATGAAGGTGGTGGGATTGGTTTTTTTTGTCTCTTTCTAAATGGCAGTCGACGGGAATGTGAATAGGTCAGAGCAGCCATTCTCCCTTTTGGGGGCGTCTTCGTCTTGTATATTATTGAAACATATCCTAGGCCCAAGCTCATTAAAAAAGGGGCGCAAATATGATCTAATTGCCATGGACGCATCATGTTTCTCAGACTGCCTGGCTTCGAGTCCCATTACAGAAAATTTATTGAAGCTGTGAAACCACACCGAAGCTTTGAGGCTTCGGGAGCTTCACGGGATTGGCACAAAAGCTTGGGTAATGCGATGCTGTCATCTCCGCCCTCCTAGGATATGCCTACAAAAGGCAATCCTCATTTTCTATCTATTTCCCAGCCCAGATTTTTACTTTCCCACGTTTAGGTACAGACAGACAGGACGAACGCGAACAATAAGGCAACTAGCCTTCCCGCCGACCAAGCGCTCGGAGTTCGGGCGGCTGCATAGGAGGTGGTTTTTTATCCATTTCATCTTGGCCTTGGCCCCCCTTTTTGGGGGGGGAGTGTTATCTCCTGCGGAGAAAGAAAGAGGGAGAGAGAGGAAGCGCGACAAACGGGTTAGGACCTACCTACCTAACTTCCTTTCTTGGTGGTTGTCTATTACGTGCCATGCGTGCGGCTGGAAGCTGAAATGCGGCTGTTGTTGTTGGTGGAAGCGATACGCAGAGTCTGAAGTGCAACCCGAACCAACAGCAAACAGCAAACGACGACGGCGGCATCGGTGCGCTTAGGTATATATCTTCAGATGAGACAGACGGCTTAGGTACTTCTAAGTGCGATCAATTATAATGCTTACATATTTACATATCTCCTACGGATAGATAGAGTGAGATGATGCTGATGCAGTGCGGCGCGGCAACGCGCGTAGAATAAATGACGTGTTTAAACGTATGTATGTACGTGATAGGTTGGGTGGTATTAGGTATATGAGATTGGGGGTATATGTAAGTCATTGGTCGGAGGTCGGGTCTGTTGTGTAGTAGTATATCTATATACCTACATAGTAGCCTACCTAACCTATATTATATAGTTGAAACGCGGGTTCAATATGGTACATGTATTATGTAGGTTAGTTAGAGGTGGTTTTCGCCACGATACGGCCGGCTGTGGGGAACTAGGGATGATGATGGTGGTGGTTGACGATGGCTTGAACGATGGGATGGTACTATGTACGCTCACGAGCAGTTGGAGATAGGCTTAAAAAGTTACCTACCTATAGATAGGAACAGGAATACGAATGGGAATGGGAATGGGGAACGAAAAGAGGAGAAAAAAAAAAGATTGTCGATTCATTGAAGGGGCGGTGGCGGTGGTTACGGATGAATGAAGGATCTATGCTGCTATTTTTAAACGCTCGCGCCTCATTTATGGGTAGCATTGGAGATTTCGTTTGACTACCTAACCTAACCTAACCTGCCTAATTACCCGGTAACAGAAGTGATTTTTTAGAGAAGTCCTTTTTCATTTAAATAATACCTATACAAAGTAATTAGGGCAAGAAGACGGCCGGCTGTTCCGGTAAAATGATGGGGGGTGCTGCTAGGTATGAGTAAATGTATACCTAAGTAAATACAGTTCCAGGTTCTCTAGAGATATTATGAGTTCTCGAAGTTCACGGGAAGAGTAGATATTATCATGGCTTCACAGATCTCAAGCGAACATGGAAGTAGATCTTGACGGCGTAGGGAAATAAAGCACAACAGTTGCTGCTGCGAACAACAAGTCAACCTACCATCGTGGTTTGGTGACTGCTGTGCTACATCCCTGTAACGAACGGGAAGAACTCGCTTGGCGGATACAGGACATCTTGGTCCAACCGAGCGTCTCATTAGGTAGGTAGTAGGTATCTTTAAATAATGGCTCTCCATTAAGTACCGTGTAATATAAAGAGGTACCGGTTGGGGTCCGTACCTACAGACGGGGAAGGCCAATAAGCAAAAGCAACTCTGGGGAAGAAAAAAAGAAAGAAAAAAGAAAAAGTCAGCTATTAGCCTGCTGTTGAGGATTATTGCCAATCTTATATCAGTTATATACCCGTATGCGCTTTGTGATTGACCACCGAGACAAAAATGTCTGACAAGATTGTCGCTTGCTGGTCAGAGAAAATAAGTAGTTGGTGTAGTTTACTAATAAGTGTATGAACACTTTCTCTCTCATTTACCGGAACCCCGTCGTTATGGCTAACGAAACATACCGAATTTGGAATTCATCTCATAGGGCACCCGAAAATTCCGACCACCCGAGGTTTGGGATTTAAGGGTTTAGGACATTCGAGCTTGATTGCAAGCATACACCATGCTACCTGGGTATTATTTATTGTGTTGTATAATATGGAGTCTCATGATAAGGAAAACCAACTTCCAGGGACTGGTACACATATATCCTAAACCTCCCTAATAAGCCACATTATCAAGCCCCTCTTTCGGACTCCAGTCGAAAACATAAAAAGAGAGTCAGACAAAGCCAATGAGGAAATGCGCTCATTTTCAGCGACTTTTTAGTGTTGTTTCAGAAGCTCAGGGGTTCCAAATGGCGATCCTCTTCGAGCTAAAATGCGTCCAATCATTTTCGATACGGTTGTCTGTTCTAATGGCTAAGTAGGTGGCAACTAGCCAATTGTACGGATTATGCATGAAGTAATGTATGCTGCTAGTACGGTATTTGTACAACACACTATGTCGTAAATAGTAGTCTGATGGCACGGTGTTACCCGAGGATTTGGGGTACGCCCGTTGTGGGGATCCAGTAAGAACTTCGGGATCTGCTAAAAAAGGGCAAAGAAAAAAAAAAAAAAAAAAAAGGTAATTGACGTTTGTGATGTTCCTTCAAAAAGCTGTACGTAGTAGCTCAAGAGGGGGTAAACCCGCGTTGTGATTGGTTCTTAGCGCAACACTCATGCTAGACCTGCTTTTAGTAACTACTTAAAACGTACAAGTTCAGCTGCACTTGTAAAGCTTGATTTTTTATTTTCGTTTTCGTAGGAACGACAACCCGTCTTTACTATGCGCTGCTTGGGTAGTTGGAACCCAAATAGCGGTTTGGTATAGCCCGTTACCCACTACCCACTGCCTACTGCTCACGAGTTGCCATATTAGTCCAATAGATGTCATGGCAAGCACTGTCCAACAGAGCTAATATAAGTTTTTTTTTTTCTTAACCCGTTTGCCTGACCCAAGGTGAAAAACACATCCACATCCACATCCACATACACCCCGGCTTCCCTCGTCCCGTTTGTTTAGGTAGGTAGTCCTTGGATGTTTTCTATTATACCGTTTGGGAAATTCCAGAATCCAGCTAGAATTCCGCCTATCCCTTGCAAAGGAAGAAAACCCATAACAGGACCGACGGAAAGAACCAGGAATTCATAAGATTGCGGTAGGTCGATCTTCCACGGAGTAGGGAAATGGGGCCTTGCTGGCACATATGATCTGAGTCTCTCCTTCGTTTCCCTTCTCTTGTCTGACATCATCCCGCTACCCTGCGTAACCGCGATGGTGTCATGCCTCTTTTTTATTTTATTTACTTAATTTTTTTCTTTTTCTATCTCACGCTTAAGCAACATTCTCGTCTTCTCTGATTCAGGTGCTTCGGCACGTCTTCTTTTTCGTTTTCTAAACTTTTTCGGTAGGTAATACCGAAATCGTCTTTCGACTTATTACGGAATAGCCTCCGTCTTACACCGCGGCTTCGGTAGTCTGTTCTGGGTCTTATGACTATCTTGGTCCCTTTCAGTTAGTATTTCAGTTTAGTAGTGGATTCCCTAAACTACACTTTGGGTCTACCTATTCCCTGTGCCTATTCTCAAGCCTCGTGGTCCTCCACATTATTGGGTCGTTGGTCTGTGATCATCGTCCCACCACCTGAAAAAAGAAAAGAAAAAAGAAAAAGGAAAAGAAAATATATTGCTGGTCAAATTATTGGATCCTCTTGAACCCCCATTTGTCCCCATTTCTTGGGATAACCTATCACACATTAAGCGGTGCGGAGGGCCGTCTTCTGTCTTGCCAGCTGTGATCTAGCGCCGAGAAGGGGTGGCTATTACTAGTTGGACTGGATCGTCACGCACGGCGCAGTAGTGATCACCTACTTTTTCTGGGCAACGATCACCTCGAGTGTCGAAGACATTAGACATACAAGTACCGCGTCGCACAAGGCTCGGTCACCATCCGGAGTTTCCTCCCCTTTTTGCGACTCGAGGTTCACCATCTTCGGTAGTTAAGCTGGTAACTAGTATCCCTCGATAACACCACATATGTGGACGACAAACAACACATATCACATGCCCAATGCCTGGCTCTAAAGGCTAACCACCACCTCCTCTAAGTCGTCCAGTCACTCATTTTTCACAAGCTTACCTATCTATTCCCCGCCTTCCTTCAACCCCATAGCGCCCTGCAACTCAGCTCGGCTCACCGTCACTCTTTGTAGGCTTACGAGCTGTAATATCCGGGCGCCACATTCCGAGTCCCCGTCCCATTTATTTCCTAGGCTGTCATTGTAGTGTGAAAGCCCTCACTGTCGTCACAAAGTCCCCTTATACAATGGCGCCGACTCTGGATTTATCCCAGAGCACCCACGCCAAGATGATTATCTCCCCTCCTCGACTAAACTTGCGTAGAGGCGCATCTTATCAACATGAAAAGGCACCACTATCCGCAACGTCGTCACGTTTTAACTTTAACCATCTAATGTTCTCCCCGCCCCCTTCTCCCGGATTACCAGCTCTGGTACCCCGACCGCGGAAATCAGCCACTGGACCCAGGCCGAGTCGAATTCTCCGAGTTGCCGCGTGGATCATTGGTTTAGCACTGGTTTCCTTCGCTGCGAGGGCCGTCGTAAAGAAGGAAATAGCGGTGCCGGTCGTCGGATGGTCCCTGGATAACCATGAAGAATACGAAATGGTTGGTCAGTATGACTTGCCTGACTTTCCCACGCCCATCGCTGTTACAGATAAGAAAGGGAGATCCAAGTGGACGGTATCCATCCCACCCACATACAACTTCCCCTTGACCACCAAGGAGTATGCGGATATCTGCACCAAATGCCAAGAAGTGGCCACCCACGTCAGAGAGTTACACGGCTACACGAACCCCTCCCAAGAGGCCCAGATAGATTATTACCACAAGGATCCCTACTTTGTTGATGTTGGCGAGGCTGAAAAACGCGGGCTGCTGCCGGGAGTGGGGAAAGCATGGAAAGTGACGGCAGAGGCTCAAGAAGGTCACCTGGTAGGAGACAAGGAAGATGGACTGGCCGACAAAAGCACTTGCAAGACGTCCTTAACATTCGTTTTGGAGTCAGCCAACGCCGGATTAGGTCCCACGTTGATGATGTTATGGATGGCGTATGGTTTGGCCCAGAAAGAGAAGCGAGCTTTCTTCGTTGACGATTCGCGGTGGGCGTATGGGGACTACACTGCCATCTTCAAAGCCCCGCCGACTCCTGACTGCAGTGCACCGCCGCGTCACGAGATGCTACCATGCCCTCATAGCGCGCGACACTTGGTCGTATCCACGGCCACGGCGTCAGAGACATTTGGAAAGAGCTTCAGCTCCGAGTACGAGAATCGTCATCGAAACAACGTCGACCGAGAACGACCGATATATGATCTTGCCCGGATTGGTTATGAGGCGCTGTTCCGTCTAAATGACGAGGATCAGCCCTATGTAGAACGTCGCGTCAAGGAGCTCAGGACGATGATCAAGGTGAAAGAGGGAGGCTACAACGACGGCATGATCATCGGAGTTCATGTTCGACACGGCGATCTACACCCGTACGAATACCAGTACAACGGCGCGTATATCCCGCTAGAACTTTACGCAGCAAAATCTAAAGAGCTCATCGAAGAGTACCATAACTCCAGTACTCTCCTCGGAGGTGAAGATGCGATCGCGAAGCGACATTCATTTTCCATCGTCGCATCAGATGATCCCGACGTCTACGACACAGAAGAGTTCTCGCATTCTCTGAGAGCACAAGAGCAAATCAAGCTCGCCAGCAAGCAACACATCCAAATGGCCAACCCGGATAAGACGGTGATGCACAAGTTCGTGGACGAGACTTTCGGCTGGGAGGGCGGATTCTTCGCGAGCATGTTCTGGAACCTGGGCCGCTCGACGGTGAATAACGCGAATGCGGTAGGCGAATCACAGACGGTATATACCCCGTCACCGGAAACCATACGGCTTAGAGGGCTGATGGGTCGGGCCTACGTGATGGACCTCGCTGTCTTGGGCCAGGCTAGCGACGCTGTCATCTGCACTATCAGCGCGATGGGATGCCGATTGCTAGCCGTGATCATGGGCTGGGAAAAGGCGATGGAGAACGGGAAATGGGTCAACATCGACGGGGATTATCAATGGGCTGCATTGACATTATGAAAACTTTTACTCTTTTATTACTTTCGGCTTGGCGTTTTCGAGGCATTTGATCTTTTTTTTTCTCCTTCCCTACAAGCAAGCAAGAAGGTCGGCATTAAAAAAAATCTAAGATATCCAAGCATTATATAGCATAGCCATTCGGAGTTTTTTTGTTCTAAAGGGGGAGTAGAAGATAGATATAGTGGTGCTTTTTACTATTAACGGACGAGGAAGACCAAAACGATATGTGCGGCTAACACAAACGCACATGGTTAAAAAAAATAGTTGCCGTCGCAAAGTCAAGACAGAGAGAGGTAGTTAGAGGATATGTTTTCCTAAACACCGCAAGGTGGAAGGGGAAGAAAGGGAAGGGAGGGGAAGGGGATAGGGCCCTTGGTTGGCCAGATTTAGCATCAATGGAATTTCATTCATTCATTCATTCATTCATTCATTTATAGAGGTGTGTTTTGGTTGAGTGCGAGTGATTGTGGTTTTGGTGAGGTGTAATGACAGCTTATCTAGGTAGGTAGGTACCTCCTATGTGTGTCAGTCTAACGAGAGAAAATCGACGACACATATTTAGGCTCGTTGAAGGTCACTTGCTATAAGCGTTACGATATGAGGTCAGGAAGAAGGCGCAGTCGCATGAACTAATATCGATGTGGTGAGTACTCCGCATCAAGGAGAACTCTCGCGTCCTCGGCGAGATAAACAAAGAGAACAACTCATGCTCTGCTCTTATAAGGTATCTAGGTAGGTACGGTATTCAACATACGTCTTCGCAATACCACTTTCCAGTGCCTAGCCTTTGCCCCGGCGCCGTGGGACTGTCATAGGAATCATATTGCCTATCTTGCACAGATTGTACCTATCGTTGATATCAAGTGCGGCATTGTGGAATCGTGGAGAGCCCCTATACACGCTTTGCAACGGTGACTGAGGAGATATCGGTTCTCCTCTGCTATATCCTCTGTAAGAACAATCCTATATAGCTTTATTCGCAACGGGTTTAATAGGTGGAATAAGGTAGGCGGGTGACGCTATGGACGTAGGGCACTGCTACGAAAAATGTATTTGAAGACTTCTCGGAGTGTAAGGAGGGACATCTCCGAGCCTACGTTGGAAAAGTATATTTATCTTGTCATTGGATTCTCTTATTGTCTATAGGACGGCTCGAAGTTGGGGGATTTCCCGGGCAGGGGGTAGCCACGACGCCGCAGAATTTGGCGAGTCAGAATAGGAAATGTCTAGGTAGGTTAGTTACGTGGCTGATACATGTGCCGTGACCGAGTTCCGGAAATTCTCGTTCGTACCTTAGGTACTTATTAGCCCCCCTCTCTATCATGTATATCATATAAATGTTGCCCTCTGATTCTGGTTTAGGACGTCCTGTAACTAGTGCATGTTTATAACTCTATACCACGACTTTGTGTTCTTGTCCGAGACATGATTGAATTTTGTATTGAATCAATTCCTGTATATGCCGTTTTCACTTTAGGACGTTAATATCAAAATGTCCATCTTGTCAGCAGAGCCAATCCTAGGTAAGAAGCTAAAGTTAAATACAGATCCTCGACCCTCGTTCTTCAAATCTCTGATAAGATATACCCCTAGCAATTGATAATAATGGACCACGGGTTCCAAGGAGGATCACTTTCTTCGAGAAATAATATCTGTAGTTACCCACGTGTGAATACCTAATTGTAAGTGTAAAGATTACCTAAGGTACCTAATATTATAAAATGTGAGAAAGTCACGATTTGTTGTTACGAAGTTGGATAAGGTATGAATGTTTACATGTTTACAACTATGTACCTAAAATAGTCCCCAATAAAATAGAATAGGGGTTGAGATTCGAGAAATGGTTTTCGTTGAAATAAGCTCGCCAAGCCATATCGAGTCAAGTCGAGTCGACTATAATATCAAATCGTGTCATTGTCATGCTCTGTAGACTGATCGTACGTACCATCGGGACGTTTTTAACCAATTCCAACGGCTCATATGTAATTGCAAAAAAAGATTGGGTTGCGGTTTCGGTAGCGGTGTGAGGACTTTACTATTACGCACAATATTCAGTTAAGCAAAAAAGCTATACACGCGGACGGAGTTACTCAAGGCACGAATGCGAATACGAGGTACCTCTGTACCTACAGGGATCTCTGCATGGGCCGATCATCGATTTGTTAAATTCCCCTTCCAAGGTTATCGATTGGCCAATCGTACAACATCTTTTACGGAAAAAAGGGTCTCTTCCTTAATTCTCAATTTTGGTATTTATTAATCTCCCTCCTTATATTCCCTACCTATCTGAGATCCCGTCCCAGCTTCTCACAAGTCTACAAGCTAGGAAGTGCAAGTCGACAGAGAGAATCGGTCGCGTGCGCAATTTTTTAGCAATGGGGCTCATAGAAGATATTTACGGACCTGTGTCCCAGTACATGTCGCAGCTCTCGACGCCCTCTCAGGTTGTCGTCGTCGTCGCTGCCGTTCTGTTCTTCTCCGTCTTTTTCAATGTACTGCAACAAATACTCCTCCGAAACCCTAATGAACCCCCCGTCGTCTTCCACTGGTTCCCCTTAGTTGGGAGTACCATCACCTACGGCATGGACCCTCCTCGATTCTTCAAGGAAAACCGAGCTAAGGTACGTTTTCTTTACACTACGACTTGCATCGGTGTACTAACAGACGTGACTAGTATGGCGATATCTTCACCTTTATCCTACTCGGAAAGAAGACCACCGTCTACGTTGGTCCCGCCGGAAACGACTTCATTCTGAACGGAAAGGTTAAGGATGTTTGTGCTGAGGATATCTACACCGTCCTTACGACCCCTGTCTTCGGAAAAGATGTCGTCTATGACTGCCCCAACTCGAAGCTCATGGAGCAGAAGAAGGTAAAAACACCCAAACCGTTTCATATAGAGGCTAGAGTTCTTACTAACGTGAGAATAATAGTTCATGAAAGTCGCTCTTACTACTACCGCCTTCCAGTCCTACGTCCCCATCATTGCCGACGAAGTAACAAGCTACATCAAGCGATGCCCTGATTTCAAGGGTAAATCAGGCGTAGTCAACATCCCCAAGAACATGGCCGAGATCACTATCTTCACTGCTTCGCACTCTCTTCAAGGAAAGGAGATCCGAAACAAGTTCGACGAGTCGCTAGCTGCTCTGTACCACGATCTTGATATGGGCTTCACCCCTATCAACTTTATGCTTCACTGGGCTCCCCTACCCTGGAACAAGCGACGTGACCACGCGCAGAGGACTATCTCGAAGATCTACATGGACACCATCAAGGAACGCAGGGCCGCCGGCAAGACTGACGCGCAAGATATGATGTGGCACTTGATGAACTCGACCTACAAGGATGGCAAACCCGTTCCCGACCACGAGATTGCCCACATGTTGATTGCATTGCTTATGGCTGGCCAGCACTCTTCTTCTTCGACAAGCTCTTGGATGATGTTGCGTCTCGCTTCGCGTCCGGATATCATGGAGGCTTTGTACCGCGAACAGGTTGAGGCTCTTGGTGCTGATCTACCGCCGCTACAGTACGAGGATCTCGCGAAGCTCCCCCTGAACCAGGCCATCGTTAAGGAAACCCTCAGACTCCACGCGCCCATTCACTCTATCATGCGCGCCGTCAAGTCCCCCATGCCAGTCCCCGGAACCAAATATGTTATCCCTACCAGCCATACCCTACTTTCCGCCGGTGGTGTGTCAGCTACGGACCCTGCTTACTTCCCTGATCCGGACCGATGGGAGCCTACGCGATGGAGCAAGGACTCGCCTCTTGCGCCGACAGTGATCCGCAACGAGGTGGAGGATGAGAAGGTAGACTACGGATACGGACTTGTCAGCAAGGGCGCTAACTCACCATACCTCCCGTTCGGTGCTGGAAGGCATCGTTGTATCGGTGAGCAGTTTGCCAACGTGCAGCTGCAGACCATCACCGCCATGCTGGTTCGCCTGTTCAAGTTCAGGAATGTCGACGGAAGCGACAAGGTGGTTGACACCGACTATGCTTCTCTATTCTCGCGGCCGATCGAGCCGGCTAATATCTTCTGGGAGAAGCGAGATGCTTGAGCCCGAAAAAAAAGAGATAGAGCGTCAGAATCGGGGGAAGGGCGTTGTTTTAAAGTATACCCTCTTTTTAAAATACCTAAAAGTCCTGTATAGCAATGACAACAACAACAACAGCATTTTTGATAAAAACTAGATGACGACCACGATACGAGTAAGAATGGCACCCCGAAAAAAAAGGGGGGGCACGAGATGAGAGAAGAAGAAAAGAAAAGAAGATATCAGCATTAGATAACTACCTAACTAGAATAATAGTAATTAATGGAATATGAGTATAATACACTCTTTATGAAAAGTGACGATGTTGAATTTCCTACGTGTTTTACATATACGTATAACCTACTTAAGTATATTACTGTGGAAGTATTCTTCAGCATCTCACAGCAAGGGAGGATTTAGTCGGGACGGGATCGGATCGGGAAGCGTAGCCGGTACCTGAAAAGCTTGACCTCGTATGGAACCAACCAAAATCTTGTTTTGTTTATTGTGATCCCCCGCATGTGACATGAAGCAGTTAGTTAGTTACCTAGCCTGAAGCTTGAAGTATCACAAGTTAGATGTAGTAATCTGTACAGGTAGGGGGTACATGTTATGTATATTAATCAAGCTCATGGTGTAACAATCTATTTGCAATTGTTCTTTTGTTACTTGTATACGAAGTTATTTTCCGTCTTATTTCCAGATTGGAAACGTTGTTAGAGTTTATGAGGTACCTAATATATTGTACCAGATCGAAACATGCGACCCCTTGAAACGGTTGATCTATTATCTACCGCTTACATTAGGTACCTGTATTATTTCCCCTACCTTACATATTTCATCTGTGCTCTAGCTACTACTTAAGTTATTAAAACGCACCATTTTCATTTCATTTCATATAAACAAATCACCAAGGCTCCCGTTCCGTCATTCATTACAACCGCCCCGCATGGGAACGTGAGATTTAGTCTGTCTACCTACCTAACTACCTGAGTACTTGAACTTACCACACACACGTTCAATTCGTCTTTATCTACCTAAGCTCAAACGCCACCCACGATGTCCACAACCACCACCACCCCAAGCGCCCTCGGCCCGCTCATCCGCCTCCGGGGCCTGCGCACCTCGCAGCTGCCGGCGCCCGACGCGCCGTCGCCCGCCGAGCTCGCGCCCCTGCTCCGCGCCATCCTCCAGGAGGCCCTGCCGTTCATCGACTCCGCAGCGCCCAAGGCGGGGAGCGGGAGCGGCAGCGACGGGGTCCCGGGGAACACGCAGCAGGGCTGGAGGAGGAGAGGCGCGCACAGGCACACGGACTCGGCGGCGGAAGTCGAGGTGCTGGAGCGGGTGGTGCGGGGGAAGGAGTTGGAGAGGGCGCTTGTGCAGGAGGGGGATGAGAAGGGGGCAGGGGAGGAAGAGAAAGGGAAAGAGAAGGGGACGGGGAAGGGGAAAGGAAAAGTGAGGGACGAGACCTGGTGCTGCCGCCGGAGCCTGCACGCGGATAAGCCGGAGAAGGGCACGGCGTCGTGGGCCGAGTTCGTGCGGAGCTTCCGGGACGAGCACGCGGAGACGGAGCGCGCGTTCACGCCGGCGTGCGTGGGGGCGTGGCGGGCGTGGGCGTGGGATTGTGGCGGCGTTAATATTACTACCACCACTACTACTGCTCAGACTCAAGTTTCCGAGGGAGAAGGGGGAGGGGGGGAGACTTGGGGACGGTTCAGTCTGGTCGTGGAGGAGATGAGGCATCGGATCGGGAGGCCGGTGCTCAGGGACAGGACGTTTCCCGTGCTGCAGATGACGGCGACGAGGATCTCAGGGGGGGAGGGGGAGGGGGAGGGGGGAGAAGAAGAGGAAGAGGAAGAGTTTGTCGTGGTGAGTATTCCGGTGCCGGACTTTGGGGACTCGGAGATGAGTCAGTTGGCGAGGGAGAAGGATGCGCAGGTCGCGAGGTATGTTAGCGTGGAGCGGATCCGGAGGATAAAGGATAGGGACGGGGATGGAGACGGGGACGGGGGAAAGGTGGAGTGGTTGATGGCGACGGCGAGCGATGCGGGAGGCGTGCTCCCGGCTTGGGTGCAGAATATGGCGGCGCCGGGGGTCATTTGGAAGGACGTGCCGCTGTTTCTGGGGTGGATTGCTAAGGAGAGAGGGAAGAGGCAGGGTAAAGAGGCAGGGACAGGGTCAGGGACAGGGTCAAGGACAGGGTAAATATGATGAGGGTAAGGAGACGACGGGAGGTGCTGTAGGGAGTAGAAGTGACTCAGATGGAGAAGGCATCGGAGAGTATATCATGATGTTGTTTAATGGGATTTTGGAATGGAGTGCAAGAGTTAAGAAGGCAACATAAGGACTTATATCCCTTAATAAGAATGTATTAATATCACATACTAATATAATTATTCGCAAGGCTTAATAATAACTATAGATTATGAACTATTCTCTCTTATGCATCCAAGGATATTTTATTAATATACCAAGCCATAATTATAATTAAAGTTATGTACTATTTAACTGTCTTATTAAATCACCCCGCCATAGCATAGTCTATCTTATCGATAACGTTATCCGGGGGGGAACACGCAGAGAAATAACGGCAGTTATTACCCCTCCGTAAATCGTTACCTCTTCGTTTTTTAGTGAGTCAAAAGTTTAGTGTGAGTCAAGAAATTTTCGATAAGGGGAGATACAAAATTGCATATCAGCCAAAACCCCCCAATGCTACGAATGGTTTCCCCCTGAAATTCTCCATCGAACACCGTCAAGTTGTCTAGGCTATTTCTTAGGGCACTCTGGGTGCGCAGGCCGCCGTACAGATCGACTTTTCGCTTCACTCGCGCCACAATGGCTACAAATTCCGCCCGTGGTAATCCCATCAATGCGACCGAGGGCCCGAGCAAGGTCGGCGAAGGTCCACCTCCTCCAGTCGCCGCCGATACAAAAGGCGCCGTGAAAGAAGCTGCGGGACAGTCCGACGGTGCCGGTGTACACGCCTCCGGTCAAGATGCCGGAGCCGCCTCGACCCAAGGCAAGCCCGAACCCAAGATCAAGACCGAGAAGGAGTTAGAAAAGGAGAGGAAGAAGGCCGAGAAGGCCGCCAAGTTCGAACAGAAGAAGGCCAAAGCTGCCGCCCAGGCTACCCCTGCTGCCAACGCCAAACCAAAGGACAAGAAGCCTAAAACTCCCAAGACCGAAGAAGAGCCTCTCCCCCCTTACGTCGAGGAAACTCCCGCCGGTGAGAAGAAGCGACTCAGGTCCCTCGACGATCCCCAGCTGAAGGCGTACAACCCTATCGCCGTCGAAAGCGCTTGGTACGAATGGTGGGAGAAGTCAGGTTTCTTCAAGCCCGAATTTACTCCCGATGGCAAGATCAAGGAGGAAGGGTCCTTCGTCATCGTTATTCCACCCCCCAACGTGACGGGAGCGCTACATATGGGTCACGCCTTAGGAAACTCTCTTCAAGATGTTATGATTAGGTGGAACCGTATGCACGGAAAGACAACGTTATGGGTACCGGGTTGTGACCACGCCGGTATCAGTACCCAAAGCGTCGTCGAAAACATGTTCGTGCCATTCACATTATCAATATTTTATATGTACCTATGTGTACTTACTGACTACTCTATAGGTTATGGAGGCGGCAAGGCAAGACCCGACATGATCTGGGCAGGAAAAAGTTTATAGACACCGTCTGGGAGTGGAAAGAGGATTACCACAAGCGAATTAACAACGCGCAACGAAAGATGGGTGGCTCCACCGATTGGAGTAGGGAAGCTTTTACTATGGATAAGAACCTAAGTGCGGCTGTGGCGGAGACTTTCGTGAAGCTTCACGAGGAGGGAATAATCTACCGCGCGAACCGTCTTGTCAATTGGTGTACTCAACTCAACACCGCGCTTTCCAACCTGGAGGTCGATAACAAGGAGTTGACTGGACGAACTCTCCTCGACGTACCCGGATACGACAAGAAGGTTGAGTTCGGAATTATTGTCCACTTCAAGTACCCCATCGAAGGTACCAACGAGACGATCGAGGTTGCTACCACGCGTCCCGAGACGCTGCTGGGTGACACAGGTATCGCCGTCCACCCCGACGACGAACGATATAAACACCTCGTCGGCAAGAAGGCTGTACACCCCTTTATTGAAGGCCGTCTCATGCCGATCGTGGCTGATGACTACGTTGACAAGGATTTCGGTACTGGTGCCGTTAAGATTACCCCGGCCCACGACCCCAACGATTTTGCGTTGGGCCAGCGACACAATCTGGAGTTCATCAACATCTTGACCGATGATGGTTTCATGAACGAGAATGCCGGTCCGTATAAGGGTCAGAAGCGATTCGACGTAAGGTACGCTATCCAAGATGCTCTTAAGGAGCGTGGATTATACGTAGACAAGAAGGACAACCCAATGAAGGTGCCCGTCTGCTCGAAGTCCAAGGACGTTATCGAGCCCATCATGAAGCCCCAGTGGTGGATGAATATGAAAGACATGGCCGCCGAAGCTGTCAGGGTCGTGAAAGAAGGCCAAATCAAGATCAAGCCCGAGACGGCCGAGAACAGTTACTACAGATGGATGGAGAATGTCAATGACTGGTGTCTCTCGCGCCAACTCTGGTGGGGTCACCAGTGCCCCGTCTACTTCGCTAACATCGAGGGCGAGCAAGGCGACCGTGCGGACGGGAAGTTGTGGTTCTCGGGACGAACAGAGGAAGAAGCGCGAGCCAAGGCAGAGAAAGCTCTGCCAGGGAAGAAGTTTACGTTAGAGCAAGACGAGGATGTGCTCGACACGTGGTTTTCTTCCGGATTATGGCCATTCTCTACCCTTGGATGGCCGAACAAGACCCACGACTTGCAGACACTTTACCCGACTAGCGTCCTCGAGACCGGGTGGGATATTCTGTTCTTCTGGATCGCAAGAATGATCATGCTTGGTCTTAAGATGGTTGGTGAGATTCCTTTCCGCGAGGTTTACTGCCATTCGCTTGTGCGAGACTCGGAAGGAAGAAAAATGTCCAAATCTTTAGGTAACGTCATAGATCCTCTCGATGTTATCAGCGGAATTCCCTTGGAACAATTGCACGAGAAGCTGCTACAGGGAAATCTCCACCCTAGCGAAGTTGAAAAGGCCAAGAAATACCAGAAGACTGCATTCCCTGAGGGTATCCCTCAATGCGGAGCTGACGCCCTTCGATTTTGCATGATCAACTACACGACCGGTGGAGGCGACATCAATTTCGATATCAAGGTCATGCACGGTTATAGGAAATTCTGTAACAAGATTTACCAGGCTACGAAGTTCGTGCTTGGCAAGTTAGACGAAGGCTTCGTTCCCGAGAAGACCGGAAAGCTTACCGGCAAGGAATCCCTTGCCGAGAAGTGGATTCTACACAAGATGAACGCTGCCACCAAGGAGATAAACGAAGCTATTGCGGCGCGTGAGTTCAACAGATCGACGACGACTGTGTATCAATACTGGTACAACCATCTTTGCGACGTGTACATAGAGAACTCGAAGGCTCTCATCCAGGACGGTTCGGAGGAGGAGAAGCGCTCGGCTATCAACACCCTATATACCGCGCTGGACAACGCGTTGAAGTTAATCCATCCCTTCATGCCTTTCCTCACAGAAGAACTATGGCAGCGCCTCCCGCGCCGACCTGGTGACGAAACGCCGTCAATCATGCTTGCCAGGTATCCCGTGTACGATCCGGAGCTGGATAACCCCGCCGCCGAGACTGCCTACGAGCTTGTCCTGGGTTGCTCCAGGGGTATCCGGTCACTGATGGCCGAATACGCTCTCAAGGACGAAGCTAAAGGTAACTCTTTGATCCAACTTACACGTCTTTCGCTTAGCTAACACACATACCTATAGTTTTCGTCCAAACCTATGACGAGACGGCGCACCAGACCGCCGTGGAGCAAGTCCAGTCCATCAAGTCCCTCAGCGGCAAGGGCGTGACCGGAATCGAGGTGATCTCGGGATCGGACCCCCGGCCGGCCGGGTGCGTGGCGTTTTCCGTATCCAGCGCGGCGGCGGTGTTCCTGCACGTGAAGGGGCGCGTGGACATCGACTCGGAGATCGCCAAGGCCAACAAGAAGCTCGACAAGACACGCGTGGCCATCGCCAAGCAGTCGAAGCTCCTCGCCGACCCGGGCTACCAGCAGAAGGTCGCGGCCGCACTGCAGGAGGCCGACAGGAAGAAGCTCGCCGACCTCGAGTCCGAGGCCAAGGGCTTCGAGGGCACGATTAAGCAGTTTGAGGGGCTGAAGCTGGAGTAGAGTAAGATAGATAGATGGGGGCGGCGGCGGTGTCAGGTATGTTAAAGTGATTGATGGGGAGGAGCAGGGAGCGGAAGCGGATAAGGGGTGGGAGGAGATTAGTGACCTACCTAGGTACTTACCTAGGTAGGCAGTTGCAGCTTATGTTGCGGATTTGTACCTAAGAAATAGAGAGAAGGGGGGAGAGAAAGAGAGATTAAAAGACATAAAGTAAAAGGACGTTTAATGAATTGCGTGTAGTTTGTGGTTTTGGTGATGTTCGCTGCTGCTGCTGTTTGGTGAGTTAAAGAGAACATGAAGTGAGTGAACTAATTTGAACCAGAGTAGTTATGTCTCCGGAATTATCCTACGATGACACTATACCGTAGTTCTTCTATCGTAGCTCCTATAGTACCTGTGGTATAGTAGTGCGTAGTAACACGTGCTACGTTACCTCTAAGTTCTAACCTTAGCTTATGGAGGTGTAGAGTAGAATAGAGTACCTAAGAGTAGAGCCTAGGCCAAGGGGCTAATTTAGTCCACCCGCCACTTGTTCCCTCAGGCTTTGCGGGCACGTTTAAGTGGCCGAGACCGGCCTGCGAGTACCTAACCAAACCAAACCAAACCATACCATACTATACTGTCGGGTTCGAAGTAAGGAGGTGGCCGTTCTGGAATTGTTAGATGATGAGAAGGTTAATGCTCGTTTGTAATACTGGGCGAGGGGAGCTGAGATACTGTAGGTGAACTGAGAGGGGAAGATGTAAGTGCATTAGATACCTCCTCATATCTTTTTAAAAAGGAAAAGGAAAAAAAAAAAAAAAAAAAAAAAAACCTCCGAGAAGCATGTAAAATAGACACAGCGGAAGGGACATATGGCTTATATATATATATTCGTCTGCTTGTCTTAATACTATAACCATGGTAGACCTCGAGTATACTCAAGATACCCACCACGTAATATACTAAATAATCCTCACAAAAGCCAGTATTCGCATGAACCATAACAAAGTTATTTCAAGTATTTGTATTGGTAGTTGGCAACATTGGTATGCTGTGCCTAACCTAACCCTCCCCTTCATATCACATCACATCCATACCCCTTCTCCCTCTCTCCCTCTCTCATCCTTAATCATCGCAAGCCTTACAAATATCTTCATTTTCATCTCCCTTTCCCTTGCTCCTTTCCCTTTCCTTCTCTCCCATGTCAGAGAGAACAGAAAGACCAAATAGGAGTAGTAGTAGCAGCAGCAGCAACAGCAGCAGAAACGCCTAGACGCCATGCCTTCTCGGACGAAAAGCACACACACACACAAAATTCAATCCTTCCATCTTTCCGTCCACCGCTCCGGAAATATTTTTAGTTGAAGAAAAAACAATATACTGGTTAAAAAAAAGTGACAAGAAAAATAAAAAGGGGGAGAAAGAAAACTGATGGGTATTATGTAATAACACATGCGAATTTTTATGTCAAATAGTGTAACAGTGGAAAGCAAGGGAATAGACAAAGAGGGGGAGAGCTTGGTTATTCTCCGCTTCCTCTACTGCTCTGCGTGGCCGCCTTCGCAGCTTCTTCAGCAGCCCTTTCTTTAGCGGGTGCTCTAGTTGACGCGCCTATCTTCTCTTGTTCTTTCTCGAGAGCTAGGCCGTTCGTATTGGCCATATGTTGGTGCTCTTCGATTCCGTGCTGCGGGATAATTCTGTGGCCGTCCGCGGTAGGCTCCTCCTTGGCAGGGGTCCACGCCAAGAAATCGCGACGCACCTCGACGTAGTCGTAGGCAAATTCTCCGAGCTGATCGTCATCCATACCCAGGAGTTCGGCTTCCTCCGTGGCACGTAGATGCAATCCGGGCACGAGGTCGATAAGCTTGGCGATGATGGCGGACATGACAAACGAATAAGCACATGCGGCGACGATGTAGGCGATCTGGATATATAATTGGGCGTAGTGGTGGTCAATCCAACCGCCGGGTAATACTCCGTTGTTGACACCGTCCAGGCCGATGATATAATTCGCGCCGAATAAGGCGTTGAAGACGAGACCAACAATACCACCGATACCGTGTTCAGCGAACACATCGAGGGAGTCGTCGATTCGAACTAGGAACTTGACTGTTTTCAATTTCATTAGTAAGAATAATTCCAATACTTCTGTTTCAAATAGACATACCTTTGGTGCCAAAGTTACAGCAGACACCAGTGACAACACCTAGGATGATCGACGCCCAAGGAGGAATGAAACCGGACGCAGGCGTAGCCGCAACGAGGCCGGAAATGACGCCGGAACACCATCCAACCATGGACCACTTCCTCGCAAGACGGAAATCGAGCAGACACCAAGTCATAGCGGCGAAAGTAGCCGTCAGACACGAGTTCCAGCACGCCATCGTAGCTCGCAGGTTAGCGCCGAACGCGGAGCCGCCGTTGAAACCGAGCCATCCGAACCAGAGGAAAACGGTGCCGAGGGTGACGAGGGAAACGTTATGGGGTCGGAAGTTGAGCATCATCTTCTCGTGGCGGCGGCCGAGAACCCAGGAGTAGGCTAGAGCAGAAAGACCAGAGCCGATCTCGACGGGACCACCTCCGGCATAGTCGAGGACACCGTAGTTGTAGGCCCATCCGTGAACGTTCCAAACCCAGCAGGCGAGCGGGCAGTATACGAGGGTAGCCCAGAAGAAGACGAAGACCATGGCGGGAAGCATGCGGCCTCGTTCGGCGACCGCACCGATGACGAGAGCTGCGGTTACAGCGCAGAACATCATCTAAATCGCGTATTAGTTAGTCATTGCGTATTTCTCCCACGAACGTAAACCTGAAAGTTCAATTCGTCCTAACTAGTAAGATAATAATAGGAAACTTACCTGGTAGAACGAGTACAGCAACTCGGGGATAAGGGGCGATCCGGGGGAAGGTTTCGCAAGGGTGTTTAGGAGGCCGAAGTGGTGCAAGTTGCCGATAAAGCCGTTGGTGGCCGTCGAGCTAAAGGCCAGGGAGTAACCCCAGAAGTACCACTGGAAGATGATGACGCTGAACGACATCATAACGACCCAGATGAGAGATAAGGCCGACTTTCTTCGAGATAGACCGGAGTAGAGGAATGCGATGCCGGGCACCATGAGCAGGACCATGCATGCCGAAACGATGATGAAGGCCTGGTCGCCTGGTTGGTACCATTGGTTTAAGTTCTCGGTGCCTGTTTTTTTTTTAAGAATTGGTGTTAATTGCGATCCGTTTTATTTATCACCTTTTATAGACTCGTATGTAATTCTCCTCCTTCTATTCTAGCTTTTCCACGCTCATTGATAATAGATGATTGCGATTATACGTACTGGAATCTCCACCGGTCTCGGGATTGGTACCGTTGAACTCGGCAGGCGAGCCCGTCCACGTGTAGGAGGGCGACCACGACATGATACCGGTATTGGCCGAGGAATTCGGGGGAAAATCAGCGGGTTAAAAATAGCCGATGTCAAATTTCCTGTTCGTCTGTTCCTTTTTTTTTTATAAGTCGCCTCCCTCGTATGTTAATTTAGGTTAAGTAATGTCGTCGGAAACTTATAAGTTAGTGTTAGTTTCTCGCTCGAAGGAGAAAAGGGAGGGAGGACAAAAACAGAGGGAAGGAAAAGTATAAAAAAAGGAGATGAAAAATGAAAAGACGACCGAAAGATTCAGTCGACAGGCAATATGAGGATCGAAGGCGACATATATGTATATGTAAATTCGAGAAGAGGAACCCGAAAGTGGACTCGAGTTTTTTTTAGACTTAAAAAGGTAACCTGAACTTGGACTTTTAATCGTTCGGCCAGACCTTAACAGAAAAGACGGAACCAAATTTGGGAAGATAGATAAAGTATTCTCGACCAATCAGATCTTTCGGTCTTACCTGTAAGTGTATGTAATTGAGGAAGTAAGAGGTACCGGGGGGTGATGCACCCCAAACCCTACCTCCTAGCTAGAAAATGAATTGCCTGGGTATAAGGTTCAAAAGATAGGGAACCCCCATGTAATCGTACCTGACCTTAGGTAGGTACTTTCCTCTGCCTACCTCATAAACCTTAAACCTCGCTATACAATACCTTATTTATATGGTACTATGGTATTATATTGTACATCTATCTACCTTAGGTACCCTTGAGTTGCCTGGGTTGCTTAGGTTGCCCCACTGGAGGCTTACACGCATACGCATGTACAATACTCCCATATCCCCCGGGGGAGCTAATGTACATACATAGGTAGTAGAGATACTACCTAAAACTTGTAAATTACCTACTACTAGTCTTGGCTATGTGAGCATCGAAAGGGCGTCGTTCACTTGAGCGACATCGCTGGTCTACTCCAAGGAGAGTTTAGTATATCTAGAGGCCCTTTATCTAGCGTATTTTAGGTAGGTAGTTTCATGACGAGTATGGGGGATATACTGGATCTAGGTAACTACCTAAATAACCAAAGTTCCTCGCCTCACGCTGACATGACATGTGGTGGTGGTTGTGGTCGATATCACAGTAACATCTACCGGGTAATACATAGTACACCTGTCTCCTTGTGGGTTTCCTAAAGCCATGCGCAATCAATCCCTTAGGCTCACATTTCCACCCCGTTGGGATCAGATCTTTGTGTTTCACATCACCCGGTAGTTAGGCATACCTAGTATATTTTATTTCGATACTTTGATATTATGGGTGCGTGGAGTGGTAGTAATGTCATGTACCTAGGTACCTTAGGTACCTAACTAATAGAAAAAAACTCCCGCATTGTATGACCTCATAAACCGTACACTAGAGGCAAAAGCCGCCAAGCAAGGGATACATACTTACAAACCGTGTAACCGGTTCGTGTTACAATAAGTATCTCATAGGTAAATATAAAAAGAATTGATTCACCAAAATCTATATAATTAATACTAACGCTCCTCTTCTTCGTTCTCTTCACCTATCCTCGTTCCAAAAAGAAAAAAAAACACAACCCAAATCCAAGGGTCCCTTTTCCCAGATGCAGGTCCTAAAAGCTCGAGCCACTCGCGTGGGACGGGAGGAGTACCTGTTACGAAATAGTTTGTCCGCTTCCCTGCAAACCATTTGCAAACGCCTGAGCTCCAGGCGAATAAGAGCCCCAGCTTTCCAACCCGAACAATTCCTATCTACTATCTCTCTTTTCCCGCCGTTGTGGATTTTGAGGTCGGGCGATGGGGCTGAAAAAAAGAGAGGGTGAGAGATCGGGACAAGCCTTGGCTTTTAGAGACTAATAAATGCCGATAAGGGGAAAGACAGAATACGGTCTCGTATCGTCTAGGTAAGTGAGGTACATAGCCAAGATCCTCGAGTTTCGGCACCGTCGAAGCTTAAACGTTGCTAGCCACGATATTCTCGAAACCCGCCGTCCCGATTATTTCCATTGGTGCGCATTTCCTCACATGTAAGCCATTCAACTAAAATAATATATCAAGTAACTTTACCTAGGTATGTTAGGTATGCATTAATAAACGAAGATACCTAACCACGGAAACAAGCTTAACTCAAAAGAACAACACACATCCCGCGCTCACCCGAAACCTAGATACGGCGAGGTATTTTCCTCTTCGAAGAAGCAATAAGGTAAGTCCTCGAAAAAAATTCAAAAAATTCTCAAGAGCTGCTGAGACAAGGAGATTACTAGTGGCGGGATCGACATTAGGTAGTAGGTCCCCGATTGCTTCAGGTAGGCAGTCAGGTTGATTAACTCGGAAACCCAATGTAGGTACCTAACCATACCTATAAACAATTTCTGGTGTAAAAATGTGGATGTAGATGCAGATGTAAATGATAGGTGATGGTGATGGTGCTGGTGATGATGTCAAAGCCATCAACCGGACGAACGCTGCGTTCAGCAAACCTTCCAGAACGTAGTACACGCACTACCTCTTCGCAGGATGTAGGTAATGCGGTAATGCAACTAATTTTTAGCACCAAGATATGCTATTTGCAAGTTGCATCGGTGTTACTCGAGTAATTCTCTAATTCTCTCCTGCCTTACACCCACACATACACACCGCGGTCGTTTCACCACCTCACCGTCTCGCCTTTTTCTCTCTCCTTTCGCAAACACGAGATCCGCATGAGGCTGGTCCGGAGATTACCTACCTGTACCTAGTAACTTACAACCCAGGTCCTAGATAGGTATACATATACATAATGGGCTGAAAGGGAAAGCTGAATTATTATTAGACCGCTACCTACCTACCTCCCTACCTTACCTTATATGTACCCAATCTTGTTGCCTTGGTTGTCTTTGCCAATCCTCATCCAAAGAAAGCTTACCATATCGAAATGACAAAAAATGCGCCCCACCCTGATCCCCCGGGAGATAAATTGGGTAATGGTCCCACATGTCCCCGTCTAGACCTTATGCGGAAAGGCTAGCTCAAGCCTTATCTCTGAGATCCAATCGTCCAATCACGTCGCCGCCGCTTCTCTATTGATTTATCATTACCCTACGAAATCGCGTCTTGGCGTCCGATCTTGATAGACATGGGTTACTAGGTATGGGTACATCTGGTATGTACTCGATCTACGGATCTAGGACAGGTACATCATGTCAGGTACCTCTACCTACAACCTCCACCGAGCCCTGGGGTTCACATCATCAACTGTGATCCATAAGTATGAAACATCTTATTAGTTTCTCAAAATTCAGATAACACTTTTGAAAATACGTAATATTTATACTTTTTTTCCTCACTACCAATAAGTTATACTTGATTACTTGCGATATGCTCGTATAACTTCACTGTCGAAAAGCTATCTCTCTAAGCAAAGCTCAGTTGCAAAATCGTCGCGTATCTCATACCTAACATTCATTGTTTCCATACATACATAGTACCTAGGTAGGTAGCGAATGCAATCCTCCCCAAAGAAATTCATATGCATCGGATTACCCTAGTCCGGGTGGCTTTTTCTAGAAAGCAATCCCTGCCCGGCTGGCCTGGCCTGGCCTTCCCCCACGGGTCAGCCGCCCTTGGGCATGTCATAATATGTATCTAGCCGTACAGTTCCTTTATCAATCCTTCACGGGAACGCCATGCAACATGACAAAATGTTTCTTCAAGTGCCTCGTCCGTCCATCCTTACCCTTATGCAACCTAAACGCCTGTTGGCTAAGCCAGCTTTAATCCGCAAAAACCCCCACGAAACCCCTGGGTATCTTTGATTGGTATTGTAAAAGGAAAAAAAGAAAAGAAAAAAGAAAGAGGTAGATCTGTGACCGTCAAATAATGGAGAGAGGGTCTGTCAATGAATTTCGAGAAATTTCGTAACTGAGAATGGTGAGATCGTAGTACTGAAGCATGACGCGGTATCGTCTCCGACCAACAGGTCCGGATGCTCGTTCTACATTTCCGGAGAACGGCACTGGCCCAACAGCCACGCCTAACAAGGGACATATAGGCCGCACTTCGTTATCTTCATCCCGCTTCAGGGGTAGGATAGCCTCAACCTTGAAGCCGCGTTTGAAAGGGAAGCCTTTCGGGGGCCGCGTCAAAGTCACAAGCGCCACCCGCCCACACAATGAGCCCGCTACGACCAACGACAGTTCCGGGACGTGTATAAGATTCGCTAGACGTTCATGCGAAACTCGCATGGCTGGGATTACCGCGTTCGGAGGTCGAGACTGGCTGATGACCTTCTCAAACATGATGCCAGTACCACCCTCCTCAAAGCTGCGAAGCTCAATATCAAGCTCATGCGTCCGCATGATGCTGCTTCCATCCGTTAGAATGGTCTTGGGATCCTCCATGTATTCAACTCCGGTTTTCCCTAACTGAGACTCCTGCTCGGCACTCGAGTCAGGAATCTTCATCTGGTGGGTCTTGAAGTCAACCCACGAACCTCCGTTGAGCAATGTCCTATGCTGCTCAACGGGATTGAACGAAAACCGCGAGATTTTATCCCACCTAAGCCACGGGTGCACCGGCGAATTGTTCTTAACGTTCTTGATGCCTTTACTGATATCAAGCCAATTTCCAATCTTCTCGTTGCTGACGTATCTTATATTATCTTTGTCTACGCCCAGCGCATCTGTATAGTCGGCTGCCGGGAGGAAACTGCTTTCGGGGAGTACAAGCACGCCCCAGCTACGAGGCCTATTTCCTGTTAGTGTCTTTAACAGAGATATATTAACATAGGGCAAACTCACTTGTTATAGTTATAATTGAGCCTCGCCATCACGCAAGCCGAGTAGATGTCGTCGATCTTGACGAAAGGTTCGAACTGCCAAATGTCCATAATCCAGAGGCATCCGCAGATACCTATTGCTACAATCTTATCTGCCTCCCCCGTATTATCGCTACCGAAGGCGACATTTGGGATATTGGATCCCTCGCGCCCAATTTCCAGGATGATTCGCCAGTTGGCGTCCCGGCGCCGAATGACTTTCTCTAAAGACTTTTTGCGTCCGGGGTTAGTTCCCCTATAGGGTAGAGGTCTATCATTCGTCCATTCCACAGCATCGCCATTCGTGTCCTTGGCAACGTTCCTAAAGAATTCAACCGAGTCGACTAGCGGATTGTGTCTGTAGCTTTTGCCGGTTAAGGCAAAGACAAAAACGCAGACGTTATGGGAGTTGGAACCGACAGCTATGATACGAGATTGCTTATGGACTGCAAGCCCCCAGGCGCTTTTCCCTACGTTCTCGTGGAAGAAGGGTTCGGGAATGATGTCGTTATCTCGGCCCTCCCTCTCACGTCGGAGAAGTTCTTTCTCGATGGTCCGAGTGTAATAGCCAATGACATCACCATCGTCGTAGGCAAGCAGCATAATTTCCTCGTCGCCCAGGTCGCCAACAATCATATGGTTTACCTGGTGCGGTAAAATCCTGTCCAGATAACCACCAATTTCGATGCCCATGGCACTGGCAGGGGGTTGCAAGATAAGGTCAGGCTCAGCAGGTAGAGAGTTCGTGACGCAGCTTCGGGGCCGAGAGACATATATCTTGTCTGAGTAGGCGGCCATGTAGATGTTATAGACTTGCGATAGCGCCGTGAGGTTCAACCGCCACGTCGAGACACGCGGGGGGCCTCCTTCGTCGACGGTATTGTGCCCGGTGTTATCTCCCAGGTCGTCGTCCAAATCATCAAAATCATCGTCATCCATGCCGGGGTCGAAGAGCCCATCTGTAGACAAATCATCAGGCTCAGCGGGCACTAAGGATTCTATAAAGGCCACATCATCTGCCAAATCCATTTCGGTTACACCCTCAAAATCATATTCGTCGTCATCGTCATCAACTATAGGCGCCTCACCTTGTGCGATAACTTCCTCTTCCGAATCGCTGGTATCGTCGATGCTTTGGTCGTCCACGTTACCTTGGTTGATATTCACTGCGGGGTGGGAAGCCTCGAAGGGGATTGAGACTGAGGCGGAGATGCGATGCTACAGACGACAAGATTAGGGAACAACTACTTAAAATAGATAATATCAAAATAGGGACTATGAACGGGGTATTCTTACTCTCTTGCGACCAGATTCGAAATAGCATTTGCTCACTTGGAGCTCCCCCACGGAGCTCGTGTCCTTCGCCATATCATCACAAGTTTATGAGCGATTAGTAGTAGAGTTGTTGTTGTTGTTGGTTTTATTTTGGTTTTTCCTTTAATTTTTAAGGGAAGGCGAGGGAAGAAGAGAAGGTCGGAAGAAGAGATTTGAGACGAAAGCGCGGATTGATTAAACGGTACTTGGGTAGAGGGTAAATTTATAATAGGTAAATCTAATAGGAAGTACATAAGGTAAGAGCTCTTTGATCTTTCAAGAAGTCGTAATTTCTGGAAGTCATTTGAACATGCACACGGCTGACGCATGTTGGTGGAGACGGGCTTGAGGTAAGTTGGATAACGATAGGTGAAGCTGCCAAAGTTTTGTAGCAGCTAAGGCAACTTTAAGGGACCACCACCACTACCCCACCAATTAGTGCCATATGGTCCGTGCACGATCACAACCTACCTGTACCTAGATGCCCAGTACTACATGTACAGTATGTACTGTGCAACTTGTACCTTAAGACGGAGAATCCCACCAATAAGGTTAATTCTTTCTTCTCAGGGGTAACCTCAAAGCTGTACATAGTACTATGTACACACATGTGCGCTTTAAGCAACCGTACAGCATCTTGGACAAAGATTCTTAGGTAGGGTAATTTGTTGTAAGAGCACTTTAAGAAGCGCTACGTGTACTTAATGCAGTATATACAATGATGAAAGCCATATATAATAAACACTACAACGCACAGGTGAATCAGCACAACTCAATGTTCGTCAGAATCTAACTTCAGCACAAAGCCGCTTCATAACAAACTGTAATTTAATTCTTCTGCCTAGGATTGGCATTCTATGAATATCTAAGGTAGTATAATTAACAACAACTCCTTACCTAGGGTTAAATTAGAATTGTGCTTCAGTCCAAAGGTGCCTAACAGACACATGCTAGCTTTATGAATAGACACACACGAATGATTCCAGTTGAGCAATCCTTTGAGCTTTTAATCTTCCGCGATCACGTGGTCTAAGATCTGTTTACTGTTCCTCTCCTTCTGCTTCACCTAGGTGCCAATAGGTTAGGGGTTAAGCTACAAACTCCTATAAGTGTCTAATACCTGACATTCTCTCATATATAGCCTGGCATATGAGGCAAGTAAGTACCCAAAGTAACACTATCTCAAGAGTCTAAGTAGGTAACAACCACCAGAGGACACCCTTTGTATATACACATTACCACCTGTGGAGCGGTAGGCAAGTAGTTGCTGTATGGTGTATGTGTATAAGTGTATAATATACGTACGATAAAGATGTCTTAACACCTACTTCCGCTCAGATCTAGAGGTGTGATTCTGGTCCCCCCATGTAAGAGTACTACCTAATATCTAACCAGCTACCCATGCCCCTAGCGCAATCATTGTCTTCTAGGTAACAACTGCAACCCCTAAAATCGCGCTCTACTCTAACATATCAATATCACCAACTCTTAGAACATCCACTCGACCACATAAACCCCCCTCGGCTATTCAGCACTCTCTCCCTTAGCCGAACGATACTCGGCATAACCATATAAGCCACAAGTTATACCAGGAAATTCACACCGTTGATGGATATCATCATATAGGTACATATCGAGTGAGTGTTAGGATCGCACATACAAGTACATACCTGGGTTGGGACTAGTAGGTAACGCCTGGCCTTGTATCCTCTCGCGAGGGAGCTGAGCTACCTTTTATATACCTGCCAGTTAAACCCCTACTCTAGGTATCTAGCTAGCCTATCCCTGCGTCACCACATATCACTAATAAAGAAAGAGAAAAAAGATGTAATACCCACCCCGTTCTGCCCTCTGTCTTGACCTTAACTCGAACATGATAAATAGGTAAGTATACCTATCCCTATCCCTGATATAAACCATAGAATAGCTTCTATAGAATAGTTAGGTTAACCAGACGAAGGGCGGAGAAATGTACAAGGAGGAGAGGGGGGGCTATATTCCCGTAGTTACTATCCATATAACATGCCTATCTACTGACATACATATCACCAACCTACTTACTGGGCAGGCAGTCGATATATACCCAGTCGTAAATAATCCCTAGGTTAGACTCATTCATGGCGTTACCTTGAGTACCTAGGTAGGTACCTAGGAATGGAGAGAGTCCCACGAACGTCGTCTGGTATGGGATCTGGGGAGTAGTAGAGTCGGGATAGCAAGTCCTGTATAGGTATGAAACGAACTCACACTCGGATCTACTTATCCATCTCCCCCCCCCCCCCTCCTTTCCCTCTTCCTCTATCTGCCTCCCTATGTATATATATCTTCCCCAAGCAGTCTAGGGTTGCAACTCGTCAGTGCTCCTTCCTTCCATTCCGTCCCGCTCCGATCCGTCCATCCATCCATCTATCTATCCCCTTCCACCCTTCCACTCTTTCCACCCTCCCAGCCAAAAACAAGCTAGGTATGCCAACAAAACCTCAAATGTATTATATATAGTCATGAATCCCACTTAACCATATGTAAACCCCTTACCCACGCACGCACGCACGCACCACCACCCCCCTTCCCTCCTTGAAGTCAATCGTAAACTATAGTACAAACCAAACTACCCCCTTCTCTCCCTACATAAGGTACCTAGGTAGAGGCAGGTAAGCAGTGCTGAAAACTACCCAACAAATAGCATATATGTGTTACGTACATACCTAACGCATATAACCAACCCCGGCTACCCCTTCCTTCCCTCCCTCCTTCCCTCCCGATCCCGTCCATCAGTCCACCGGGCCACGATCGACCTAACCTACGAGCGCATCAACGGCTATTAGCTGTACGACGACACACATCTAGACGCCGAATAGGAACGTACTATTGCCCTTATACGTTGTTGTTGTTGTCCATATGTGTCTTCGAATTGGAAGGGGAACTACCACGGAGTAGCAGCGTAGTAACATCAATCAGTAAACCTAGGTAGGTAGGTAGGTAGTTATGTACAATAACAGGTATGGAGATATATGTACCTACCTCTAACCTACCTATATAAGGTGTGTAGGTATATATGCCTGCCTATCTATCTACTATGTATCTATCTATCTACCCAAAAAACCAAATCCCCTGGAACAAGTCGCCTGCCTACTACCCACATCCCACCCACCCATCTATCCATCCCGGTAAAGAGACAGATATGTACCTACCTACCTACGTAAGGTAAATAACGCATGCCACTGCCGAGGGGGACACCGTGTTCTCTCGCACTATACCTCCCTCCCTCCCTCCCCCTCTCCCTATATACAAACTACAAACCGACCATCTCATCTCGTCCCATATCAGGCCACGTGCCTGCCTACCTACTTATATCAAGTCCTCCTATGACGCTCCCGGGGGAGCACGTGTGCAGCACGTAGCAAAGGGGGTTAACCAACCCCTTCATCCTTATCTCGACCATGCAAGCAAGGGGGCAAAGGCAGCACACGCTTCTCCGTAGTAACAGCCCACCCGCTCCCCACCCCCTCTTCAAGTCGTCAATGTAGTGTAGTGTAGTGTAGTGTAGTGTAGTGTACCTGTTCATCCCATCCCATCCCACCTCACCTCTAATCGTACTGTACCTAGTATACCTGCCTAAGGTAGTAGCAAGACCCCCCCCCAAGGTCTAGGCTCATCCGTACTAGCCAGGGGCTAGCTGATACATTAGGTAGGTAGGTGGTAGGTACATAAATAAATGCTGACCTACCAGTTTGCGCGCGAGCCCCTTAACCACCAAAAACCAAGACCGGTTACGCGGAACGGGACGCTCGATGATTCGAGATCATCGAGTATGTAGGTTAGGTACGTATGTGATCCGTTTCAAATTTAATTAGTGCTTACCTACCTCCTACCTATGCTTCACCCCGTTGCCCGTGGTAGGTAGATAGATAGGTAGAGAGGCAGACAGACAGGCAGGTAGGTAGGTAAGATAGGTATTTATTGTAACACGGCCTACCTGTATGTATCTTCAAACGGGTGACGACGACGAGTCTAGATCGGGCTGTCGCACAAAGCTGACGATGATGGCCAGATGCTGCCGTCATCATCGCCTTTCCCTTTCCCTTTCCCTCCCCAACCGCGGGATCGACAGTAGGTACCTATATAAAGATTCGTCTGGATCCCACACCGTTGGTTGTGGTCAAATTCTTCGTTCATCCTCCACACACAATAATAACCTGGATAGCCTGGGCTTCGTTCTCCCAAAAGCCGACACCCCGCAGAGCCACTACGCACCGTGTGCAGCTCTCGAAACTTCTAGAGCGTACCCTGCTCATGCTTCGAAGTTGATAGATCTCGGCGCAACTATGGCGTTTTCTTTCCCGCAAGAAATCCTAGGCTCCCATAAATCCAAGTCTTATGAACGACAAGAGCTAGTATAGACTTCACACTCTCAACACCGGCCCGTGATGGCCGTCCGTACGACCGGACCTATCCCTCGGAGACTGAGCTGCATGGGCGGCTTACACATCACATCTCAGTGACATCCAAGCTTGGCTTAACTTGAAATCCGTTTCAAGCTATGGGGATCTGATTCCGGAAGTACCCAATATAGCGAAGATGTGCAATTTGAAGCACTGCAAGAGAAGCCGGGCAACTTTCCCATGGGGCATGACAATTTCGATGTGAACCGGGCCATACCTATTGAACGGGGTGATTTTTTTATAGGTTGAATCAGGTTAGAGTTGCTAAAACGTCAGGTTTCTTGGGTTACTCTCTCAACGGAGATCTTACCTGTCACTTTCCTCCGAAATCCAACTATGCGGAGCTGCTATTGGAGCGCTTGTGGATCGAGAACCCCAAGGAAAAGAAGGCATTGTAAAGTACGGCGGGCAATTGTGTGACAGTGCATATCCGGAGCGTTCCGATGCATGTCGACTGATATGGCATTTCCTTACAATGCCATATACCATAGGGTTCCATTTGGTTCCGTCGAGAATCGGAATGTCGTGGACTAAACATAGGAAAATGGTATGAAAGGGAGTTTGCACCAATGCGACTTCGAAGAGGTTAGGCTATTGGTACCGCCCTTCTTGGCTAAGAGCAAATGGCTACTTATCTGATACTTACCTACCTTCTTAGGGTTTATACATGAGGTACGTAGAGATATATGGCAGGCGTATACCTATCTTTGCGTATGGCTTTCTACTGACGGCATATTTATCAGATAGCATTAGCCGAAGGCGTCTGGCACGCATCCTAACCCGAGCTGTACGTGTAAAACGTGTAAGAGTAGGAGATTCCTTCTCTGAGCCAAGTGCTCTTGTCCTTCAGAAGTTGTTCTTGGCCGTTCTGGATGTATGCGTGTGTGTCGACATCCACATAGGAATAGGTTGGGCAGTAAGGCCGAACAAGCTGTCTTACCGTTTAAAACCCCTGCGTCCCCTGTCCTCCTACATAATACCTACATTGCGTATGTAGGTGCCTGACCTTTTATCTTAACACCCTATTCCCATTTTCCTATACCAGGTTTCCATCGGCGGATGGGGAAGATTGGCTGAGTTGATTCGACACGAGGCAGATATTGCCGAAAATAAGACAAAATTGGTTCCCACGAAATGGGGGACATCCTACATCAACTTTCGACGAGTCACGCGACGATTTGGCCCGTGGTGCGGTCTCATTAGTCGCTTTTTGTGCCCAACCACGCCTCTCGCGTCTCGCATTCCGAGACCACGATTTCTCGAGGATCGACAATTTCAAATCCCGTCTGCAATACATCCATACCATCATCCAGAATCCCGACTACAAATACTACGCACAGCTCATAAGTTCGTAGTCGTGTCACACCACCTTCAGTCCTATCGAGGTCCGCTCGAGAAGTAAAAGAAGGGTTGGATAGCGGCATAGAGGTACCGCATTGATCTCGATCGCTCTCTTTTTTTTTTCGACCGGGCGAGGCCCTTTTCCTTTTCGGATACGGGGAACACATGTGTTCATCGACACGTTTCTAATCTACGAAGATCGACGTCTCTTTTTTGTTGGACCGATTGTGTTGTAACAGGGCAACAGAGGTCGATTTCCTATCATCTCATTATGTGTTTTCGTTGGCTTTGCGTCGTGGCCCCCGACGACGAGAGATAGTAACCCCTTGGCTCATCTGTGGATTGCGCGGGTGTGTCTAGCAGCTAGCAGGGCGTCGAGTTGCCGCTGTCCTCGCCTATGCAGTAGGTTCTGTACAATACCGGTGACGGTCACGGTGCCCAGTACCCATGCAAGCCTTGCAGAAAGTACCCATACCCATACCCATCCATACCCACTTCCTTGGCTCTGACCCCATGCCTCAGATCTAATATGCGGATGCAAGTACACGCCTATGCCCTAGCAGAGATGTTGGAGGCGTGCTTGGCTTCTCTACTAGAACCAGGTATTTGCTAGCGGCGGCACGTTACAGCATCCGCGGAGGCGTCCGGCGTTACCACAACTGCCACACCGGTGCTGGGTAGTATAGTGCTTACGGCCCTATCTTGTATCATTCTTGTACCTTTTTTTTTTTTTTTTTTTTTTTTTGCGTGTGCGTTGAGCCAAGCAGGGAGTAGCTATCCGAAAACACGGTGTCTAGAGAATTGGGAATCCAGACGCCATGAGCGTTGCGTAGGTGGCCCCATCGTACATCGGGAGATCTGAGATTACCAGATGAACACGAGCGAGCTACGTACGGGTGCTGCAGATGCAGGCGACCTGTATAACGAAGCTATAGAGCGGGAGCTCCGTATCCGCAAAGGACGAAACTCTACTCTTTGTCGTTCTCGAGCTTAACAGAATTCAAGTAGAAGGGCTTCTTTTCTTTTCTTTCTCTTTTCTTTTTCCACCTTCTATTACTTCCACTGGCCCCAATTCTCCCCACTCTCAACGTTTGCTCAAGGATTTTTTAAAATGTTTATTTTATGAGATATGATAGTGCCCCTTTTAGTGCTGAGGCGAATTATTGGTACCAAATGAGGTACCGGCCGTCATTTCCGCCAGCCCCGATCCAGTGGTTACGCTCCCCGGATGTTATAGAATAAGCCAATGTTTACTTTCCTAATCGAATCGACCGTCCTCATTAAGTGAGCTGACAGCATCCTGACATAGGAATAACGTGCGTGGGTCGTACGCAGCAAGTTAAGCGATAGATGAGAGAGTCCAGGCCTTTGCTTTCTAGTCCTCGTGCTTTGCATGCTTTCTTTTTTTGCTGATCGTCATTACGGTCCAGACCTTAGAAACAGACCCGACTCTCAGAGCCCGACCGCTTCTTTGGAGGAAGGAGTGGGCTTTTTAGCAAATTGTCGATATGTAAGAATCCTAGACCGACATAATGGTTTTCTTTTTTTTTTTACTCGTATGTAGAAGGATGATGGCTCCACGTGAGTTGGTAGTAATACGATATGTGACGAGAACTATGTAGGTTCCAAATTACCTAAGGCAATACATAGGATGTAGAGATATATTTTTAAGTCAGGGTCAGGTTCTAACGGGTATTTACATAAGGGAAAGGCTTTGTACCTGTGTATTGTAAATATAAATATAATATAGGTACCTCCTACCAGGTAGTCACCTAAACCTAAAGTCATGTATTGTATTGTACCACCTGAGCTGCTAAGGATAGGTACTTTTTGTGGCTGGAGAGATCTTGGCGTCCGCGGACAACAGATCCAAGAAGCCGGTTGGCACTAGTGGCACTGGTAGCAGAGCTGTGGCTTGCGGGAGCTTTCTTCAAAAACGTTGCACAAAGATAATGATCACTAATAGGTAAATATGATAACGATCTAATGTGACAAACTTACAAGTACCTACCTTTGGAGATATACTGTATCTAGGTAGATAGTCAATAATGATCATCTACCTATTCATCTATTTCTTTTTCTTTTTCTCCTCGAACCAACAGTAGCCACCTGTTATTTGCATATGCGGCGGAACGCTGCATACCTTAGCTACCTCCTACATGTACCTACTGTACGTATATGCGGACTACTTCAAGTCAACCGGAACGTCCAAGCTAAGGCCCATCTGCATGCTACTTACTGCTTGCTGGTCTGCTGTCCTACTGTTGCTGCTGTGCGACTATGCACGTTTATTAGTTTAAATTACTTTAGGTTAGGTAGGAGGGAGGTTAGGTATCTGTGTACCTAACTCCGCTGCGGATAATGTGGATATGTATAATAGGTACGTTTTTGCCTTTTACATACATACCTCTCTCTATACTTGATCCGGGTGGGAGCCCGGAGTGGCGAAATCTGAGCCGGGCATCGAATTAAGCCCACCACCGCTTACGGAGAATGCTGAATCCCGACACATGCCTTTAGATACGGACGTTACATATTACCTAGGACATAGGTACCTCCTTATTTACTTAACCTTACCTAGTAGGTAATTTGCATGCCCATCCCATAGGTATACTTTTTTTTTTCTTTCCCTCCGAGACCTCATTACGACGCACCCTGCAAGGCCAAGCGAGCAATGCGGGACTTGTACGGGGCCAAGGCGCGACGAGGGAACAGCCACCTACGCTCCTATTACGCTTCTTTGCCTCACTCTATCTTGGAAGTACTTACGCACTTCTTATACGAGAGAAGGTAGTGTACGGCAAAGTCATAGTAGTAGTAGTAGTATACGTCCTACTCCACCGCAATGGAGTTGTAGAATGGGTCTCAAACCGCACCTCCCCTGCTCTCACATGGTTAACAGCAGCAGCGATTATATGCATGCACATCGATCAAAATGGTTTGAAACAGCTGCATCTCGAGATAATAAAAAAAATCCCAAGACTTAGACTTGAGACGGGTTTACCTCAACTACTGCACGCTTAGCCGTACGTGGCACCTAAGTTACATACATACATGCATTTACATACATGTCGGTTCCGCCTCTGATCTCCGATCTTGACACTCGTCGGATGTTAAACCGAGGAGTTGGGAGGGGTGTCAATGGATACGGAGACGGAGACGGAGACGGGAGCCCTAGCTAAACCTACTTTAGTAAATTGCTAGATACATTAGGTACCCCCTACATAGTTTCGACTTGAGAAATCTTTAGCACGCGGTTTTAATAGATTATTAGGTACCTATTTAAGGTATATGGCTCCCCGTGGGCATGATATACGCAACCATATTTCCTTAGTACCTAAGCTCCTTGTTGGTTTACCATCCTGTTCTCATCAATGGCTTGGGAATATTCTAAGAAGAAAGGGGAGATGGGGATGGGGATGGGGATGGGAATGGGAAAAGGAAGAGTCGAGGCCTAGCTTAAAGATGACCATCGTTTCGTTGGTACCATAGAGCTTGAGGAATTCAAATCCTATCCTGTTTATCTTTATCTCCCTGGACCAATCTTGTTCCTTGCTATTTCCAGCATTCGAAAGAATTACATAGTAGAAACACTACGGCTGCAGTTATTGGTATTGCCCGCCAATTCTGTTTTAAATCCCGGTTGGTGCTGCATCCATGACGTGACTTTGGTTTTCGGACAACACGTAGTATTGGGGAAAAAAAATGCTGCCAAGTCAAATGATGAGATGTAAACCAATCCATTTGGTCATTGTGGGGATTGGAGAGGAGAGTGGTCCAGACTACAACAATATCGGATTTCTTTTCTTTTCTTTTCTTTTCTTCCTTTGCAAAGTTTGAATGCTCTGTATTTATAGTACGTACCTAGGTAGGTAATGATAATAATAGTTGATGGTTAGACAGTGACGGACATATCGTATACTCCAAACAGACAATAGAATCGTGCTTCGTAATAGGATTCGGACACACTTCTCTCAAGCCCCAGTATCGCCCATGAATTATTAGGTTGCTCAAACCGGAGCTCAGACGAGGAAAACCACAAAATTGACATAACTTGACAGGAAACCATTGATGAATACCCTTTTTATCCCCGTATTAACCTCTCTATGCCGGAATCTTATTGGTAATTTCCCCAATCCCAGCCATTCCCCGTGAAATGCAATGCATAAGTACCCGCCATAACGAGGTACCTAAGGTATCGTGGGCCGGATTATTTAATTAGTGTACTTACGGAGAGGGAACACGTCGCCAGGCATCGGTTCCAGGTGCCATGTCTGGTACGTGTCCGCGTCGAATGCATCATGCCATTCCCGCTTCAGTTCGTCCGGAATGTCCCACTTCAGCTGCGAGTTGCGGAGTCTCATGCGAACCAAGTGCCGCTTACGCTGGGGAGAGTCTCCGTCAACGAATCCTTCGCGTCTGTGGAGAATGGCAAGGTTGTTGATGAAATGCATATCGCCAGCTTGGGTCTTGATCTCCAGTTGGACTGCTTGGGCAATCGCTTCCACCACATCAAGAGCCTCGCGCTGGCGCTCGTTGAGCTTGGGAAGATGTTCCGGACGCGGGTGAATGGCATTCCCCAATAGGGGCGTGCGGCCAAAATTCATCACCAGCCTTGAGTTGTGGTGGAACAGCAAGGGCCGGCATTGGAAATGCGGGCTTGAATCGAGAATGTCAGTGTTATCTACCAGCAGTGACGAGAATATAGGATAAGCTTACAAAGCAAATGGCCAGTCGGATTTCGCAAGGGTGCGTATGATGTCGGGACGATGAGCCGCTAGGATGTTGTAGATCGTATAAGCCGATGCGAGGATACACTTGCCTCCGGCTGCCGCAGTGCTGCGAGTCAACCAAGCAACGACGTCGCCAGCCTCCTCATTGTGGAATGACTATGTTCGTTGTAAGCACGTGAACAAAATCCAATTGTCAAATGCTACTTACAATGGCAGAGGTAGAATGGCGATGGTGACCCAACTTCAACTCAGAGGAGTTGTCTGCCACGATGTGGACTAAGGTATATGTCAGCTCGATACGACATCTAAGTTATGTACCCGTATACTAACCAAGCATGTTGCCTTGGTGGTCTTGGCATCCTCGCTGGTCAGCGATGTATGCTTGGATTCCCAGCCATACAATGGTCAAGTCTTCAACCGAGTAGTCCTCCGGGTTAATTCCGCGGATGACGCAGAGGCCGCTGCCATTGTGAATGCCTTGACTAAGCTCGTCTAACTTAGGACCAAGTGTGGGAAGCGGAAAGTTGGCACGGCTGACTTGATCGCCGTCCAATTCCAGAGCTGAGCATCCAATGTTAGCCTATATAGCACAAGGACTAGCTGCAAAAAGACTCCAGAGAGTACATACATTTGAAGTGATCCTTTGCGGAACGTATCTCCGCCAGGTTCTGGCTAGTCAAGTGGTAGATGAAGTGGAGCTCATCATCCTTGAATTGGCTTCCGGTCCAGCCAAATGCCTGACCCGAGTGAGCGGGAAAGCCCACGGGGAGGCCAGACAATCCCTCGGATGTAGGGTTAGCATGTGAGGAATGCTCTGCATGGAGCCATGCATTTGCCGAGGAGAAAAGGACTGGGCCGTAGTTCGAATCCATATTCAAGTCTTTTAGCTTGTTAGTTGCATCCAATAGAAGGTCAATACCATAAACTAACCTATAGTGGTTGACTTCGAGGAGGTGTGTTGGATGCAATGAAACGAATAAGAGATTCTACTAGCTCGTTTGAGATCTACTGCTACTCAGATGAGATATTGAGAATGATGGATAATGGATGATGAACGAGGAACAAAAAGTTGGAAATTTGCAGATCTTTAAAATCAGAATCTAGACACCGGAAAACTCTGTAGCTCTGTAGAGAGAGAAGGAATAACTTACCCCCATGAGACGGAAGCTGCACTGCCTTATACTATCGGTATACATCTCTGTTGCCGATGCTAGTTCTGCAGGGGGGGAGAGCAGCGGACTAGGTTCGAGTTCCTGCTTAAGAAAGCCGATCCAAACGTTAGGTAAGATCAGAGACAAGTATAGAGTTTCGAGCGTATAAGTCGAGTTGTACATGGGAACACAACTTACATTACATGTATGTTTATAACGACGTGGCGTAGGTACCATGTAGCTAAAGTGAGTACCTTATGTAGGAGGTATGAAAAGTCCCCGTCCAGACCATCATGTACCATGTATGTTGGTAAGGGCCTGTCCAAATGCAAGACATTCCTACCTAGGTACTCTATAAGGTATGAGCAGGTACGTGTGTAGCATAGCATCGAAGCTACCTATACATACCTTAGGTTAGGTATGTACTTAGGTACTTTCGCATCTTCCCAGTCATTTCAATTCTTCTTTCTTTTTGTACCATACGCAGCTCCCAGCATGCAAGCCACGAATCGGGACGCTGCAGCAAGCCCGGAGCTCGTTCTGCTAACCGGGTAGGTGGGAAGATGCATGTCTTAGGTTATGTCCCTGCCTAGGTGGGTAACCCAAGGTTAGTTACCTATCGAACCTTCAAGCCGCAAAGTGCCCATAGCTCCTACTTACCTATTAATATACACAGCCGCTACTTGTACAGTGGGGGCAGGGGTTTTGAGTAGCTATCTCGGATAGGTTAGGTTCCGCTTGCCTCACCGGACGATCTCGTGTACGTACATAGTCCCATAAGTTCAGTCTGCAGAAGGCCTTTCCTCACTCGTATATGTCATGTAGGTTGTGCTAGGTATTGCTATTTCTTTATTCCATTTTGCTTTGTATGACTAGACTTCATGAAGAAAGTGCATTGATATAATTGATACCTGATACGTACATCTGTTGTCTGGCAGATGCCCCCCCTCAAGGAGTAACGACCAGTATAGGTTTAGGTTAGGTACTTGTAGCGCTTATATGCCATCACCATTTGATCATTGGCGTTTTAGAAAAGCAAATCGAAATAGCATTGGGTGCCAACAAAACTGTAGGTAGCACTTAGCTATTCGTATACGTATACGTCCTCGAATAACCTGAGTGGTTGAAGAGTGAGGTAGCTACCTAGACCTACATGTAAATTGGCATTAGGTATGTTGACTAGGGATATGATAGACGGCAACTTCCGATATAATGCTTTTCGGTAGGGGTATGAACCATTCTATACTCACATGCACCGATAACGGCCGTCGTACCTACCTTAGGTACAGAGGTAAGATGTCTTCAAATAAGAAAAGCTCTGGTAAGATGAGCAAGAAGGAGCCGGACCGCTGCAGCACGGCGTTTGATAGATAATGAATGCAGCAGGAAGTTCCTGCAGATGGCCATACGTAAACTCTACTCCGATGTCAGTTAAGAACTAGGCAGTTGAGAACTGTATCCCAAACACGCTAGCAATATGCTCCTAGAAACTCTGTATTTGTGGCAGGAGGCAGGAAGAATGACAGGAACTCTTATATACCTGGACAGGCAGGAAGGTGCCTACCTACCTACCTAAGGTACCTGACATGTAGGTAGGCGTAGTAATTAGAATTTCCTGTTGGTGACTTCCAGTCGACGTTAGTCTGGACAATACTCGCTGTCTTCGTTTCTTCGTTATTGCAGGCGGGTATGTAAGGGGGTACCTGCATGCAACTGCCTATATATACCTAGGAGGTAGGTATGGGTATTTACTGCATCCGGTCTCGCATGGCGCAGAGCACCTAAGGTAAGGTAGGAGGAGGGAGGAGGGCTCAGGAGGTAGGAGGTAGGAGGTAGGTACCTGCACCTAAGCCTGCAAGTTCTACGCGGAAATACAACATTATTCTTCGCCAACGTTTGATTCTTGGTTCAGATGTTGTTCGAATTGGATCTTGCCCAAATGTCTTTCTTTCATGCCGAGTTCCCCACCACGCGAATCGACTCATCGACTCATATCGTCTCAAATTGTGGGCTGCGGAGTCCAGTTTTCCTCGTACATTTGACTTATATAGTAAAAATCATTCTCGTAATCGCCACTCTGCCGTAACTTGGTCCAATGTTTTTCTGTGAGTTGGACTAATTAGCCACTTATCCACCCCGTCTTGGGAACTATGCACAGAGAATTCGGTGTTAGATTGGGCGGTAGGCTGTATGTGGCTTACTGTATTTTTCGGCGTGCGCCCTTGTGTACTGGATGAGTTTTATCTTAGTCTCATCCAGTTCCGCCACTGTCGACAGGTCTTGCTCTTTACACTCTGAAGAGAATGGATATACGCCTATGTACGGTCAGCACAGTTAATCCATGATTAGCTCCTATAAAACCTCCGAGTTGCTCACCTTTATTGCAGTAATGGAAGTACGCCAGCAAAACATTTGCTCCTGTTTGAGAAAAGTCCCATCTGTTAGGATATTTCGGCTTCAAGAACTAATATTGGGAGAACCAGGCTCGTTCGAAAGGATGCCAGCGCTTACCCGTTTGATATTCTCTCACCATCTCTTCTCTCGCAAACCGGCTCTGCAACTTATAAAGTGAGCGCAACGTCTTTGCGATCGTCTAGGGGTCATTCGATACACACCTTGAAGCCGTGCTTTCGCGCATACCCGGCGTCGTGCTGGCAGAGGAGAGCTACGTTGTGGAGCAGGATAAAGGTGATCAGGTATGTCGTGAACCAGGTATTCTTCTTGTTAGCCTGCGTCATAGCTTGTAAGTTTTCCAGCATCTCCCGCCGAAGACTGGATTGTATTTGATGGATCAGGACGAGTTCAATCTGCGCGCCCATCACGGGTGGGAGTGGAATACAGCCTCGAAGCGGACTTGTCTCATCCATGATATCTTTAGACATTCCTAACGTCTCGTCGCCAACTATGATCGTCGATTTCGTGGTCAAGCGGACAGCCATCCACAACTGCAATGCCTTTTTCAGGAGTGCATTCTCCTTAGGGTCGATGCTCTGGTTCCTAGAGGCTCTGATCGCAGCGCCGTACGTTGCGAGCAAAAACTTCTCCTTGCCAGCAACCTTCTTGCAACATTCAGGCAGCCACTGCCGGATATAATTGGTATAGGTACTCTTTGCTTCCTCGAGATTCACGATGGCATATGGGGGAATTTTGACTCTTCTCCTATTTCCCTCGTAAACCCAACTTCGCTCGAGTTTATCACCTTCCTGCGGAACAAATTGCCGCACTCGAAGCTCGACTGTCTGTTCGGTGTACCCTTCAGTGACCTTGACTATTTTCGTCTCTGACGATGCCCATTGTGAAATATCATCCGGGATACCCTCGATCCACCTCCGAGTCCATTCGTACCCCTTCACATTCCCAGGTTTGAACAGTTTCACGTCGGTGATTTTATAGCGGAGACATGGCATCCGCCAAATCTTCGTATTGTTAATTCTCAGACATGTCAAGCATGTGCCGAGCTTGTCTGTAGGGTTCATTTCACACTAAAGTTATGAATTAGCCGATCAAATTCAAGCGCATTGCCTAGGAATCAAACAGTAAAACGATGGCAAGGCTTCTTACGCGAATCCGTTGCATTCGGCACCGAATACAGGAGCCAATCCGTCGTGTCTCGGCCGTCTCTTCTCGTTGGACATTCGTTTTGAATGGGCCCCTCCTTGCAGCAGGAGGTCGTTGATTCTGATGTACGATATCCAATTCACGAGGTTTGCTGTTTTCCTGGATTCTATCTACTCCGTGGGGTGATATATTCCCAGGAGTATTATTATGCACGAACAATAACGGGTTATATGATTGAGCTTCTATCGTACTGCTTGTCATGGAACTTGACACGTCGTGGTGGAAGTCTGACTGATTAAAATACTGTTGGCTGGAAATAGCCTCAGGATATATCATGCCTTCGCCGCTAGTAGAAGGCTGCATAGTCATAGGCCTATTTGGCTGCAGAATAGGATAGTTGGGCATCATGGGAGGTGCTGTAGAAGGGTCATTAGCAACAAACACATTCGGCTGGTCTGGGGACATAGTGCCAGGCGCTGGGCCAGGAGACGATGGTCTGTCGTCGAAATACTGACGTCCTGAATCATAGTCGTAGGACGAGCTGGCCGGGATCGGGCCATAAACTGAGTCACATTTAGTATGCTTGTGCGAAGGAGAAGTGGAACAGGAAGCAAACCTTGGGGTTCGCAGGTTGTGCATGGCGGGCAGATGGAAAAATTGGTGAAGTACTGCGTAAGACGAGAACGGTCTATGCCTATGGAGAACCCACTATTTGATAGATTAGGGGCTTGATGCCGCTCAGAGCCGTCTTGCGCGGGTGGCGGAGGTGGTGGGGACTTTTCATGGGGGGATGCCGAAGCCATATCTGCACTCATACGCGGCCTTTTAGTTGAAACAGGATATGGAATGGAGGAGAGCGGATATTGCTGAGGATGAGAAGTTCTATTATAAAGGCCTAGCAATTGGGGAACGGGGCAATTCAAGATAGATGCCGCCTGTTGAAGTATTTGTAGATCATGAGCGGAGAAGTCCTCCGGATGAGACGAAAGAGCAGAAAGCGAGTAAGACGAATCCTGGGGTATAGGCACCATCGGGGATTCCCCGTGGCCGTAAGGCCGGCGCTTTCTGATATTGGGGTTATTCTATATGCAAGTCAACAGACCGCACGCTAGGGATACAGACACAGACAAGGCATGGGGTTACTTGGCTATCTAGAGACGAACTGGGGTAAGGGGGCATAGTAAGAAATTCTTACCATTGTACGTTCGATGAGAGGACGTATGGCGTATGAAGACGGAGGTGGGTTAGACAAGAGGCTCGCTAGCTAGCACCACAAAAACAGGGTGTGTGCTGTGGGTGCTAATGCGTCTGGATCCTTTGCTGTACGCTCATACAAGAGTAGTCAAGAGCTGCGACTATCTTTTTTTTTTTTTTTTTTTTTTTTTTTTTTTTTGCGCCTCACTGGGGCGTCAGACGAGCAGTGGGGTTATGTTGAGACGGCGTATGTCAAGGTCTCACGGGCATCATTGCCGCTAATGAGACTGCTGGGATCATCAGAGAGCTAATGCGACCGTGTTTCGGTGTCGCGTTGTATTATGTTATGTTTATGCTGTGCTGTGTGTTGTGCTGTGTTATGTTTATGTTTGTGCTGGCTGGCGTTGGTGCCGGTCTTGGTGGCCGATACTGATGCTAGTACTGATGCTTATACTGACGCTGGTACTGGTGCTGATGCTAGTGCTAATGCTGGTGCTGGTGTTGATGCTGTACAATGTTGGGTATACGAGAACGAGCCGCCCTGCGTCAGGACACCTTAGACACCTATCAAGGTAGTTTGATATGGGAAAGGGGGCTGAATTAGTGAATGCGCAGTCAGCAGGTGGATAGCTAGGAAAGAATGGAAGAAGTCCGACGGGAAGGACGAGAGCAGAAGAAAACGGCAGTACACTGCCGCCCCGAGTTGATTTGAGCCGGACGGAAGAGATGATGATTGGAAGAGTGAGGAGACGGGACTGGTTGAGAAAACAACTCGGTGAGGAAAGATCCAGGGCGGCCGTTGAACCGGCGGCTTCACCGGTTTAAAGAGGGGGGAAATTAATCAGGCTTGGTCCTTGTGCGACCGTTCGACTTTCGCGAGTGGGTTGCGAATGAGGCAATCCGGATCCGTGCTTGAACTGGGAAGGGTCTAGTTATGGTCTGGTTTAATAGGATTTTGATAGGGTGAAAGGGGAACCTCGGGATGTTATGTGTAGGGATAAGCAGGGATGAGACGGATAAGGCCGCAGCTAAGTATGTTTGGTTCAGTGGTTATTAGCATGATGCGCTAGGTATTGGAGATGTTATCGGGGATGTTATTGGGGTGTGTTAGTTATTACAATTGGTAAATTGGGTTAATGTAGCAGTTAATATAGCATTGAAAACCTATCCATACTACCCTACTTAGCTCCTCCGAGATTCTGCCTCATTTATACACATAATATTGGCACTGCTATAGGTAGTGTACCAACCTACATGGAGATATTGCACAATTGATAATGATACAATACAATACATAATAATCTCACATGATTCCATTCTTTTTAGAATATTACCTTAGATACCTAACCTAGGTAAGATTACATATAGTTATGCATAATGTACAATACTCAAGGCTTTGGATTAGGTATACCTAAATGCACCTAGCTACGAGATATCTTATGTACAATGCTATGAAAGTAAGCTTGCAAGGAATAACCAGCTTTGGAGAACCAGCCTTGCGAACTTTATCACTTTACTTAGGTACATAGGAGGTACCTATCAACTTAATAGAGTTGGGGCCGATTGGGGTTAATTCGGCCGAAATTTGGGGGTTCAAAATTGTATCGATAAGGAAATTTCGGATAACAGTGGGATCTAGTGCTACGCTAATATGCTACATTATCAGCTTTGCACTTAGGTAGGTACCTAACCTAATTCTTCTTCCTCTTTTTTTTTTTTTTTTTTATATAATATAACTGCTCTTTTCTTATCTTCTTCGAATTCGTGTCCAACTCCAACCCAATCGAAGCCCAAGGAGGCTGAAAATAATAAGTTAAGGTAACTTCGCTTGGATGCTTCCATATGTGAGTTTTATGTGAGTAAATACATACCCCATACCTATACCCCATATTCCCCTCCATATGGAGAGAAAAGCTGATAATACTATGGTATGTAAATTAAGGCCACCCAAAAACTGATGCTGGGCGGTTTGCGGAGTTTGTTACTCGAACCCAGGCAAATCAGAATTAAGGACCTCTGTACCGTCCATGTCAACTGACCCTTACTGACAGCGAATTCGTCTACATCAAATCGCATTTCGTGGGATACACAAACTTGATTAACCTAGACTAGCTAACCGCGCATAGTCTCTCTCCATTCTGTTGGATCCGCTACAGCGGATCTTAAACATCGGCAAGTAATCGCGTACATCCACTTACAGCCTCAGCACCCGCCTACTATAAGGTACGTAGTGTTCCGCACGAGCAAGGGGTCTCCATGGATCTCCGTCGTTGTAAGCTCACGTGAGAACCGGACGAAAGAAAAGGGGTGGTAAGATTCTTACGATAATAATGTTACCTTAAGTTAGGTACTCGCAAGCTCGTCCCCACGCATCAAGCCTTTCAGCCCACGTGTATTTAATGTGATACCTTCCGGATAGGGAACACGGATGAATTTCCTAACAGCACCCTGTAACTTACAAGTGCCCTACTTACATGCCGTAGGGGACCGAGGGTAGCAGTCGATCCTCCAAGCCAACTTTTTTTTCTGTTTTGGAGCGGTGAGCACTTCGCTAATTCGGCTACTGGTCCGGTGATAAATTACACAGTTTGAGAGCGAACCGCTGGCGTAATTCGCAGTCGATAAAAGAGGTATACATGTCTGGCATAGGTACATCAATCTTTGACAGCTAACATTGCGTACGCCTCGTAGTGGCATATACCTAAAGTTAGAATGCTTGGCCTGGGAGGTAATTGATACATACGTAGATTGGTCCCTATAAAAACACGAATCCAATTGCTGGCATTTCCTAACATTTCCGCTTTTTATATGATATGATATGATATCCTATACCTGAGGTATGTCCTCCATACTTCCCCTATACCATTTACTATCATTACTTGGCAACTACAAATTAGACATTAGTCTAATAGCTCTACCGCTACTAGGTATGGGCCACGTACGGTTTACCTGGATTTTTAACAGTACGTTGGATACAGTGCCTGGTCTCGAATGTTGACTATATTGTTTATGCTACTGTGATCATCACCGCAACTCTGTCCATTCATACCTCTCCGTGTTCGCCTCATCACACTCCAACTCCCTTTAGACCCAAATCTGCATCTCTTTTAGGTTTCATCCTTCATGAGGTGGCAACGGCTCATTGACCGGTGAGAGTTGACGCTGATGCCCAAATGAAGCGGTACCGAACAAAAACGACTTGACCGAGACGCCCGACGAGCTAGAAGGCATGGTGATACCTACGAAAATGCCGCCGGGCTAGCCAAGATATAGCACGGCAGTAGATGCTCGGACCGGCGGTACAGCTATAGTATAGTCATAGGGTCTCATGCGCCCGACGCGAAGAGGGTCACGCGATTACCGACTTCATGTTTTTATGGTTCCGCTTACACGCACTATAGGGGGGGGGGGGGGGGGGGGGAAGGTGGAATAGCATAATCCCTGGTGCACGGAAGAAGGGCCACCAATTGGGTAGGAGGTTGGCGGGGTTGGGGAGGAAGCGTT